TATCAACAAGCAGAATTCGGCGGTCGCTTCTAGTTTTTAAATAATGAAATAGTGTGATTTTTTATAGAAATCCGCCATTTTTTTGTTGTAATTCAATCAGCTCGTAATTTCTTGGTGGTCATCATAAAAAAACACCTAACATCGAAGGTTAAGGCGGGAGCTGAGCTGCCGCCTGAACCTTCTAACCCAATCTATCCGAGTCGGATTCGCTCTGTGTCGGTTTCTGTGATTCATTAAATTAATAAAATCGGAAATCGATACGTGTATGATATCGCCCGCTTCCTATATTAATTTCATGTTTGGAACTTGTATTGATCTTGGGCTCCGGGGATACGTAGGGAAAACTAAGCGACCGCCGAATTCTGCTGGAAATCAATAAATATAATGAATACAGAGTGAGATATTTGATTGGATCTTGGGCTCCGGGGATACGTAGGGAACTCCTGGAAATCAATAAATATAATGAATACAGAGTGAGATATTTGAAGTCGGTTTTGTTTTTCGTTAATAAAACAATTGACTTTCCTGAGGAACACCTGGAAATATAAATGTACATTAGTTACACTTTACTGGATCCCCGTTTGAGCTAATTTAAACAAATCACCGTACCTTTTTTTTTTTCTTTTTTTATGTGAAAATTTTCCGAACGAGCACACGGTTCACCTGATGGTAAGTGAATACCGCCGCCCATGGACAGATGTGTATGCTATACCCATTACAGATGCGTTGACAAACTTTTGTAAATTGGTCTCCGGCTACCTCACTCACCAGACGAAACGCGAAAGTATTTGTCATACTTCCACTTTACGCCGGTCTTCTGTGAGGTCGTGGTACTTACCCGGACGGGCCTGCCCATTCGTGCAACAGCCGAGGCTGCTGCGTGGCCCCACCACCCTAAACTAGTACCCTACTTAGTGAATGAATACGTTACCGTCAGACTGCCGCTATACTTATCTGCATTACTACTACGTTGTATTTTAGTATCATCGCCATTGATTAAACATTGAAATAGTCATCGCAATGCGTTTGCGCTAACTTTTGTTTCATTTTTATTTATCCCACTGTACCACGAAAGGTAAGTGTAAGTGTATATCAGCCTTGAAGAAATTTTTTCGTTCTTCTACGGTGCTTTAGAGAATAATGTATAAGTCGATGATTCTTAAGTTAATCGAATTTTCTTAATCTCTAATTAATCAAGAATGAATAAGTTGTAACAGGTCATAGGAAACTGGCTGCAATACTGGCCTTTAATAAAAACTTAATCATTGTTACATATATTACGCAGTCTGGTTCTTAGATTTTTTTTAATTCTAGATACTTGATTAATGGAAAGTAAGCGACTAAGACCGGCCTCCGACATTCGCGGCAACCAGAGTAATTACAAATACGAATGCATTGTAGCATTCGTGTAACAAAAAACCTTTTTTTCCAAGAATTGTGAAGTCCGCCAATCCGCAGTGGGGCCGGGTGCTGGACCATGCTCTAATACCCTTCATACACAGGGGGGCTTTGCCCAGCAGGACATATTACTTTACTTCACTAACACTATTAATTATACATTTCCAGAGCAACCGCGTTACTATGAAGATAGACGTCAGCTACACCGACCACTCTCATATCATCGGCAAGGTGAGTTCGTCAGTGTATATTTTTTTATTTACACTTTATGCACAAAATAGTACAAAGGCGGACTTAATGACATAGGCATTTTCTACTACTCAACCTTAGGAATATAGTAGAACAATGAAAGGTTGGTTATTCATACTAAACATACTACATATACACCAAATAAATAAAGATATATACATTCGCTGAGATCTCGCCATCGATCCCCGTAGTGAGTAGAAAATCAGTAACGATGGTCTAACCGGACAACGATAAACTAAAATGGGTTCAATGAAACGCGCACAGTTAAATATGTATAAAGTTCTCGGCGATTAATATTATATGTTGACTTTTGAAAAGAGACAATCGTCTAATTTCCGTTTTTTATATCGTTAACTCTGTCCAACACTACCTTTTATTTATTATGTGAGAAGACTGCAAGCGACCTGGCGTTTCACCTGATGTTAAGTGATAACCGCCGCCCACGGACATTTGCGACAGCCGTAGTGTTGCGATGCGTTGCGACCTTTTATTAAAGTAGGCACCTGTTACCTAACTCATCTGACGAAACGAAGAAGTGTAAAACCACTTCACTCCGGTGTTTTGTGAGACCTTACTTAGTGCTTCGTGTGTTCCGTAGCACTGGTAGAGCAAACGGGTAGCAGACAAATGTAAAACTTATGTAATCGACGAAACTCTTTGACCACACCTTCCCGTCAACACCAAACGACCTCTCCATTCGTGCCTTGAACATTGCAATCGAAGAGAAACGGAAAACGGAAAATTGTTATGCTCAAGTCCTCATTACGCATGACAAAGCAAACCTCTTAAAGGTCGTTTACCACTATTGTTGGCTTAGTCGCCGAAGTGTTGTGAATGAGTTTCGAGAGTTCAACCCTGGACTTCTAATGTCAAACGCAGCCAACTGCTCCACTGATCCAGTCTGCCATCGGAGGTACACCAAACGCCAAAAACGCGTCGGTTATCAGACAACCCTTTTTTATAGTCGTCTTAAAGTAACAATACGCTTATCGCTTTTAATTGCTTTGTTTACGCGTTCACAATTAAGGCATCGCTCGTGACAGTCAGGAATCCGGCCTTGAACTAAAACGTTACATGAGTGGAGTAATAGCGGGGCATTCATTTAAATTACGCATTCTTTCGTTTGTTACATAGTCGCAGACTTCTTTTATGACGTCATATAAGACAATAAAAAATAACTTCAACTTCGTAAGAGAAACATTCGTAAAGATTTACATCCATTCCGTCTGTGGGGCTGTAGTGTAGGATTTATGGACACGGTGACACAGTCGATTATCCGAATTGGTTTCATTTTAATTCGAGAATCGAAGCTAATAGCCAACAGTTAGCGTTTTAAAATAATCGTGGAGAATTGCATTTCTCATTGTGTGAAAGGCGCAATATGACTGCTTTGAAACTCGATTGTTTGTGAAGTTATAAAAAAAAATGTTTAGAATTATGTTAAGGCGAATTTTTTCGAAATCAAAACCTTTATTTATCACTTGTCAGTTTTTGCCTGACACTACAGTAGAATCGAAAACGTTAATTTTCAAAAGGCTGTACAAGTTTGCACTTACCAACACCCTTATATTGAATAGCATTTGAATTAATTTTAATGGCTTAGCAACTACCGGTGTTAAATCATAGCAATAGTCTGAATAACTACGCGCTAGCAATGCGGGTGAGGCTGCTGGAATATTTTCTATGTCGGCAATCAACAACGACTTGCAACTGTAAAAATGTGCGATGCCGCCATTGCGGGCGCAGTTCTAGTTTTGAGTGTTTCCCGTGGAAAAAAACTGTGAGTTGTATGTTTTCGTCTTAGGTCTAATTAAGCGAAAAGAAATACCTCTTTTGGGGATGACGGAATAGTATATCTCATTACAAGTGCGGAAAGCCTGTCGTTGCAAACAGTTCCGACAAGTGTCTAATTTTTGGAAAATGGCGCCAACCGTAGAAGAATATAAGCAGAGATTTTTTTTGTTTTCTTCACCCATTCTTGGTAGGATAGTTGCCCTTACAGCCAAGTCTTCAGTAGATTCTTTTATTGATATGAAATGAAAATGAAATTTAATGAGATGAAATGAAATGAAACCTAACCTAACGCATTGAATGAAATCATTAAATCTGATATTGAAACAAATTAGTAGTTTCTTTTTAGAAATATTTGCATGAATCTTCGTGGTTGGCTTTTTCTTTTTAATAGACATTATTTTGACGAGAGACATTATTGACATTATTATGAAAGAGAACGCACGAGTTCGGAAAAGGTAAAGAAACACGAGTTTTTGAGCAACTGTATTAAAAAGTGGTTTTTCGTGGAAGTTGGCCGCCGTACAAAATTTTGTTTGGCGATTTTTGTTTTAATATAATAAAATTGACTAGGAACGAAATGATTTGTGAGAAGGTGGCACTGGCAAGCGAGATAGCGGTTCACCTGTAGATTACCGCCGCCCATGGAGGGTTTCAGATGCGTTGCCACTTTTAAAGTGTACCCCGGCTACCTCACTCACCAGACAAAACTCAGAATTATGACACGTCCACTGATGCCAGTCTTCTGTGAGGCCGTCGTATTTACCCGGACAGAAGGGGGTGGTGGGTGTGGGGGTTGGGGGGGGGGGGGGTGGGGTGGGGGTGGGGGGCCGTCGTATTTACCCGGACAGAACTGCCCATTCGTGATTCCTGCAACAGCCGCTGTTGCGTGGCTCTATCACGGTTAGGTTGTACATTACAACATGTTCAAAAAGTCAACAATTTGGTATAATAATTAACAAGCAAAAATCTCAGTCACTGTACGTTTTCTATTTGATTTTAATGAGATCTCTTATGTACCTGATACCAGAATCTAATACGAATGAAATTAATAATACCTATTAAACAAAAGAAATGCAAAATTCATCCACAAATTACGGCGAACATACATAAATCATATACAGCTGAAATTAGAACCTCCTCATTTTTGATGTCTGTTAATAAAAGTAATTTGTCTTTAATATATGTATGTATACCGTTTAGTACGTAATATTGTTTTATTGGAAACACGTTATGTTAAGATTAATCACACCATACATTTCCGCAGTCTGTGAATGTCACCGACCTTTGTTTTCAGTGACTCATTTCTGCAGCAAGTAATAAAAACGTTAGTTTGTTTAGAGTTTAACTGCGCTTGAGCCAAGCGGCAACTTCTTCTGTACCTTGAATAAGGCTCTACTAGGGCTCTACTAGGGACCTTAAAAAGTGGTGAACAGTAGGAATTTTATTACTTATATTTATTTATTTAAAAACTTTTTGCACAATAGCGTACAATTGCGGACTTAACACCATTAGGTGTTCTCTACCAGTCAACCGACGAATAAATAGAGAAAATTAAAATAATGTATCTGGTCGGCAAGGGAGCCGCGGACGCTAACACTATTGAGGCACTATTCTTGCAACCTGGTGTTGGAGTCAGGGTGATTGGTCTACCTGCCCTCAGGCGATCCGCTATTACGTTTAACCCAAAAAAAAAAACATCTATCGACATAACATTATAATGATATTTGCGTGTTTATGTGAATACTACACAATTTATGTATGAAAATCGATGTTTTTTTTTTGTTTTTTATGTAAAATGTGCGAAGGCGGGGCACTAGTCGGTAGTGTAAAATAGAAATTATGGCCTTTTTTTTCGCTTTTAATTTTGTTTTTAATTCTCGACGTTTACGAAAGCGTCAGAGATTACCTTCAGGGGGCATAATCGTCCCGATGTCATTGTTGTTGTATTAAAATTTTGATATTTACTTTTCCCGATATACGAGCTCACAGTATTTTGAAGACTTGCACTACTTGCGTGCGAAATTCTACTTAAAACCCAGTCGAATTCCCTTTTTAAATGGCTTAGAACCGCTAATACGTTGAGAAGTACTTAACAAGCGCGCTCAAGCCGGCCACTTGCGGCTTGCCAGTGCGCTGCTGCTAACTTGCCAGGCGCCGCCTTGCCAAACGTTCCGCCCAATCCCCAGGGCGGGCTGACGATCAAGCGCGTGATGGAGGAGACCGGCTGCCACATCCACTTCCCGGACTCGAATCGCACCAGCACCATGGAGAAGAGCAACCAGGTGTCCATCGCCGGCGACATGGAGCGCGTCGAGAGGGCCAGGGCGCGCGTACGGGTATGGACGGCACTACTTGCACACCTAGACGACCCCAATGGCGCAGTGGGTAGTGCCTGCCTCTTGCGCCTGGGTGTGGGTTCGATCCCCACTACTGGAGAAATATTGTGTGATGAACGTACTTGTTTTTCATTGTCTGCGTCTTTATGTACGTGTATGACAGTATGTTTTTTATGTTATTTAAAAAAGAAAAGTGTGTTTTAGTGTCTGTTATCTATAGTACCCACAGTACAAGCATTGCTTAGTTGGGACTAGAGAATGTGTAAAAACGTGTCCTAACAATAATATTGTTATATCTTCAGATGTATAGTATAAACACATTCTCTCACCCAGAAGGCATTCAAATAAGGTTTCTAATGTGTCTGTTACTTTCGTCTTCTGCTCTTTTCTCATCCATACACGTTTATACACACGCATACGAGTACTTGATTTTCTGTGAGGTCATGTTACTTACCCGGATGGTCCTGCCCATTCGTGCAACAGTCGAAGTCTGTTGCGTGGTCTTACCACAGCTGAAGTTATTTAACTAAACAATTATCAATTGCATTTAACGTCTTCTATCTGTCACCAGGCTGTATCTCATGAACTGTGATAGTAAGACAGTTGAAATATTCACAGATGAAGTATTTCCGTCGCCGCTATAACAACAAATACTAAAAAATAATAAATTTGTACTGGGGCATAAAACAGATAATAAAAAGATATATATAAGAGACATGACTTTTTTTTTTTTTTTTTTTTTTTTTTGCTGTTTTTATAGATAATGGTACGGAACCCTTCGTGCGCGAGTCCGACTCGCACTTGGCCGGTTTTTATTTTATTTAACTTTATTCAATCCGTGCAGGCGCTCACTCCGCTGGTGTTCAGCTTCGAGCTGCCGATAGTGGCGCCCTCGCAGCCGCTACCCGACATCAGCTCGCCTTACGTCCAACAAATCCAGGAACAATACAATGTGCAGGTAACTCGAGGCGGTTTCGATCGAACGCCGATAGATGGCGCTGTTCACAAAACTGGTTATTGCAGTGCCGGCAGTTTCCTTGATATGGTGGCCATGGACTGGAGAACGCGTGTCCAAATACAACATGTACCGTGTTTCTTCGTAAAGCGATGTGAGATTGTTCCGATGACTCAGTGGCCCAGTTGCCAAGGTATTTTACGTGCCGGGCGTCGTGGGTTCTATACCACGGGACAACTATTTATGTCACCGACAGACCGTGTGAGCTTTTTGTATGTAAAACGTACTCACAACGCGGCGTTATGTTAATCTACAGTAAGGGTACATGTTTTCGAAGGGAAGATTATAATAGAACTTCTAGGTAGCAGCGGCCGTTGGCACTTACTATCCAACCCCTTCCACACAAATACAAGATGAGAGGCAGTGTAATAGAGAGAGAAGAAGTATGATAGAGAAGAGAGATGATGAGACGCGAGTATAATACTTCCACTTGACGCCGGCCTTCTGTGACGTCGCCGTACTTACCGAACAGACCCACGAATGTTTTAGCAACAGCGAAGACTGTCGCGTTGAATGAGGTAATTGCTGTCCACTGTATAGTTTGACTCAACAGCGTCATAAGCGCCCCAGTCAGATTATAGCTACCGATGGAGCCGAGGTCACCCTCGAATCGGAATGCTAAACGGATATTGACAGCCCAAGCCGAGTATTTGTTTATAGACAGGTCAATAATAATAGTATTCTTTTATTAGGTTTTTATTACATTCATAGACCACAAGAAATAGGGTGAAGTTTAAACAAAAAAAAAATTAAGAACCACCAAAAAGTTAATAGCAATTAATAAAAAGGAATACAATTTACATGATACATTTTGTAGTCTTATGTAGCGAATACCGTTAAGACCTTATCATATTATTTGTTAATCATTTTAAACCTCGGTAAACCGCTTCCAGTAGAATTTGACTGTGCGAGATAACTGGCGCAGAATTGAATACCCTCCGTTCATTACGTCGATAGCGAAACATTTAATGAGCATTAAAATCGGGTTAATTAGACCGGCGATAGTCGAGATCGTTCAATGACTGGTCCCCTGGGACCACAAAGACATCTATTCAGAAAAAACCACGTCGCACTGATACTTTGGCGGTATTTCGTTATGTTGCATAAGTGCAATCGTACAATGTAAACTAACGAAAATAAAAGACGGTATTGTGTGATTAACAAGTACCCATGTTAATCTTCAAAACACGTGTTTTGCTCGAGTAGTGATAATTGTTTTGTATTTTCAATTTTTGTACTCACCTATTTAATACAATTAGTTTTACTTTACTTATATTAAAATACCCCGATAGCGAATGTTACGGTTTGTAAAGTATCTTTAAAAATGTGTATTTTGCTTGTGAACTGCTATAATTGCCGTTAATTATCCTAAAAACTAGAAAAGAGGGAACATTTTGTTTATGACTAGTTTTCATGACGTATGTGATAATTATACTATTTTCAAAAAAAATCCAACGCCCCTTTTACACAAAGTTATTTATACTTATTTTTATGACTGTATATTTTCTAATAATAATCTTTTATGTACAATATAATATATATAATAATTTTTTTGTACAAGTTACCAAACGAGCAGGCGGTTTACCTGAGGTTAAGAATACCGCCGTCCGTGTATATCTGCTACACCCGAGGGTTGCAGATGCGTTGACAACCTTTTGAAAACTGGGCTCCGGCCACCTCACTCACCAGACGAAACGCGAAAGTGTTATACTTCCACTTTATGCCGGTCTTCTGCGAGGTTGTGGTACTTACCCGGACGAGCCCGCCCATTCGTGCAACAGTCAAGGCTGCGGCGTGGCCCTACCACAGTAAAATTATTAAATTCTCTCATTAATCGCGATCCTAAGCGTTCTAGCTGCCACCAGGAGGCGGTACGACCCCCGTTGGCAACCAATGTTTTAATAACTGATACAATCAGTTTTTTACCGGAAGACCGGCGCGGCGTGAGGTGGAAATGTTATGCTTTTACATTTCGTCCGGCGGGTGAGGCAACCAGGATCCACTTTATTGAAAGCTGTCAACTCGTTCGTAACCCTACGGGTGTTGTCAGTTTCCATGGGAGGCGGTTAACTTGCAATAGAACGAACGCAGATAAGACGCCGTGAGGCCATCGGCCGCTTAGCAATATTTGCAAAAAAAAAAAAAACTATTTTTTTTTCCACTAAATTAAATCACCAAATTACGTTCAAAAATTTTTCTAGACGCCATTACTAATCGAACGGGAGCATAATCATAATTTCCCGGTGAAGTTAAACAGGTTTCCGTCTAAAAGGCACTGTTGAACTGTTGACTTGATTTTTTTTTCTTTTTTGAGAAACATTGCCCTTACTTTAGGACAATATTATCCTGTGTTGGAAGGACGTTTTACAAACATAAATTACACGCGGACAAACACCCAGATGCGAAACAGCTATCTGTGGGTCACACAAATAGTTGTCCCGTGTGGGAATCGAACCCACGACCAGCAACGCCGAAACCAATACCTTGGCAACTGCGCCACGGAGTCATCAAATTTTTATATTTATGATGTTACAATATTTTTAAATTTGACTGTTGCAAAAGGGCACTTGTCAACTTGACTATTGCGGTCGCAGGTGATGCTGCGCAACCGTCCGAAGCTGCACGCGAACCTGCTGGTGGTGAAGGGAGTGCAGTGGGAAGTGCAGGCCACCATGGAGGCGACGGGGCTGCTCATGAACTACATGTGCGGGCCGCTGGCGGTGAGTGCGCGCGGATCGGTTAGTTGGCAAGCCAAGCTCGGTGGTGGGTTCGATTCCCGCTGCTTGGGTGGTCCACGGATAACGAATTAATAAATGTAACTTGAAATAAAAAGATGTACGTAACTTGATGATTACAGCGTTACATGCAAAACAATGCAATGTTTATGCGATAGCAGCAATCGCGGTTGATTTCTTGTCATATTTCGAAGAGTTCCGTTGCTATCTCCGAAAATCATCATCAGATCTATATGAAATTTGTATGGGACCATTCCGGAATGAAATGCTTTCGAACAAAAAAAGACTTCTAAAAATCCGCCTATATGTGACGAAGTTATGTCCGAACATACATAAAAAAATATTTAAACGTCCGATTTGATAACCTCATCTTTTTGAAGTTTGTTAATAAAATACGTTGAGATTTTCGTCGGTGCGGCAATCAGCCGTTTAGCTTAGCGGTTAAAGCGACATTAACAAAATGTAACATATATCCTTCCGTGGGCAGAGCCAGACGCAGGTGCAGATGAGCCTGGAGATCTCGCCGATGCACCACGGCGCGGTGGTGGGGCGCGGCGCGGAGCAGCTGAAGCTGATCATGAAGGGCACCGGCACCCAGATCATGTTCCCGGACGCGGACGACCCCAACATCCCGGCCATCAGGAAGAGCTGCGTCACCATCACCGGCCGCATGAAGGACGTCTACGCGGCGCGCCAGCAGCTCGTGGTACCCCACTCCCACCGAGCTGACCTTTCAACGCGTTTCCCGCCTCGCACAACCACTCTGAGATATCGGATCTTATCTAACGCATCATCTTCTACCGGATTTATCACGGGGAGTGATCCGTGGAGTTGTTTGGATCGACCCCGCCCCCGAATTTCACCATCGGACATCGCGCCAAAACCAAAATTTTCATCCGCACCACCGTTCCGCAACAGCGCGACTTTTAAGGCATTTCCCGCCTCGCACAATCGCTCTGCGGAACCAGCCGCCGCCGGCGGTCTTCCGGATCGTTACGACCTGGGAAACTTCACGGAGAGAACATACTCCTTCTCAAAAGGCCTCGGGTGTTGCAGGTGTTCATGGGCGGCGGTAATTCACTCACCATCAGGCGAGCCTCCCGCGCGTTTGCCCATTTTCTCCATAAAAAAAATAAATAAATAAAAAACTGGAACAGTCTATAAATGTCCAACAGATGGGTAGAGGTCTCCTCTGTAAAGAGGGTATCAGGGCATAGTCCAACGCGCGACCCTACTGCGGATTGGCGGACTTCACATATTTTCGAAATATTTTTTTTATTATTATTTCGAAAATGTCAAAGATTTCTCACGATGTTTACGGTGGTAGGGCCACGCAGCAACGCATCTGCAACCCTCGGGTGTAGCTGATGTCCATGGGCGGCGGTATTCACTTAACACTAGGTGGACAACTGTATTATAAAAATATATCTTCTGGACATTTGCATGCTGTTTAAAACAGCTAAATAGGTTAGGTTGACATTTGTGACAACAACAAGATAACAAGACCAAAAATTTTTTTTTCTGTACTACCTATTTATCAGCAAATAAAGAAACTTAAACTAAACTGAACCGTCAGTTCGCTCGGCAACTTTTCACATATAAACTTTTCACACAAAAAAAACTAGTATTAATTTTGATGGTCACGGGAGAGTCTGTCCGTCTGTCCCGCGATAAAATCCGTACGCTAGTTTCATATGTATAATGTTCGAGTAAAATCAAGACCCAATATATTTATTATTATACCTCAGAGGTAAACAGCATTATGTAACAAAATATAAATTACACAGGAGAGGCAAAAATGCGTGAGTCCTTGAATGCATTATGATTATGATTTCATATACCATTGGAGATTTTAACAATTAGGCGTCGTACGACTTAAAGCTTTATGCTATTATGTAGAATTCGAAATTCAAATAAAATTCGCCTAAATCACGACCATTGCCCCCCCCCTCAGGGCAGCCTCCCGCTGGTGGTGATCTTCGACGTGGCGGAGGAGGCGTGCCGCGCCGACGCCGAGGCCGCCGGCAGACTGATGCAGAAGCACCGCGTCTACATCAGCGTGCGCCGCAAGCCCAAGCAGGGCATCGCCTCCGTCGTCATCAAGGGCGTCGAGCGCTGCGCCGGTGGGCACCCCCTTTCCACCTCCCAACGATCAGATCTCAAGTCTGTCTGTTAGTGACTAGCGACCCGCCCCGGCTTCGTATCTCGGACATACAAAGCTTCCGTTTGAATCATTCTATCTAGTACAAAAAGTGATTAAATATCATAGGTATTCGCATTCACTCTGGCTCTGTCTCTTTCTATTCCCTTTCCCCAGGAGCGTTGAACGTTTAACGCAACAGTGCTTTCACACCCCCTCAATGGTAGCGTTAAAAGTTCAAAGCATCCTTGTTGGAAGTCGCATTAGAAATTTCGCTTCAATATTGAATGAAGAAAATAATATTTAATAATAATAATAATAGTCATTTATTCCTCACCATAAGCAACAAAAGTGGCTATAAACTTAATATAAACTAATAAATGAATGAAGACATTGTAATCTGGATTCGCACAACGCTCTCCAGGCGACATATACGAGGCGCGGCGCGAGCTGCTCGGCGGGAAGGAGCCCGCGATAGCGGCGGAGATCCCCGAGTCGTACAACATCCCGCTGCCGGCGGGGGCGGCGGGGGCGGCGGGCTTCGCCTACAGCCCGTTCGCGGCTTCGCCCTGCTCGCCGTTCGGGCTGCAGCTGGAGCTGGGCGCCAGCCCGCTGGGGGCGCCCCTCTCGCCCGGCACGCCGCCCCCCTTCGCCCCCTGGCTGCTCTCCCCGCAGCCGCGCCCCCAGATGCACTTCCCCGCGATGGCGCCGCACGGAGCAACGCCTGTGCTGTACAAGAGTCAGCCCGCCTCCTGGAACCGTGAGTGCATCAACAGCCCTTTTTTACATCACAAGTTGCACCTCCACCTCCGTCCAGGCTGAGCACTCTTCCAGTGCGTGTTGGGCCGTCTCCTCGGCACATACGTCACAGTGGTGTATCAACAGTCCTGGGTTGCGTGTGGCTGTAAGACGTTAGAGGGCGCGGAGATAAGGTTTTAAATAGGGGCCCAGCGGTTATTATGCGGCGGTAATAGGTTGTTTAGTCGGTAAGCTCTTTCGAAAGTCGGTAAGATCTTTCGAAAATATGCAGGTTTCCTCACGACGTTTTCCTTCGCCGAGCAGATGAAAAAAAAAATATTTCGAAGATGTTTGGCTATGCCCTATAATACCCTATGTGCAGAGGAGTATATTGTAGACAGAGAGTATAGAGTATATAGGCTGATATTTTAAGCTATCTACAAAAATCAGCACGCAACTTGGAACAGTGAGCACATCCCACTTTTAATATCACGAACTATATCAACCACCGCTCCTATTAATGCTAAGTGGTGGTAGAGTAAGGTCGGAAGATTGGTCTCTGACGGAACTGATCCAGCGTGGGTTTTTAATGAGTAGTTCGTGCCGTCCGGGAATCTGATTTCAATCATCAATCAAAAATAATCCCGGGTATCTCTTAACGTATCGGTTCCCTCTTAATATATCCATTCCCTCTTAACATATCCGTTCCCTTTTCACGTGTCCGTTCCCACCTAACGCGTCCATTCCCTCCTAACACGTCTATTCCCTCTTAATGCCACAACGGCTGAGCTGGTCCGAATGACAACAAAGATTGATCGTGCGCATTTTGGGCGACTAAATAAAATAATATTGAATCGTTTGTTTCAAACCGCAGCTATGTGCGCTGGGACAGAGATGGGCGGAATGCAGCAGCCGGTGGTAATGCCGCAGCCATACCAGCAAATGCCAGCCGATGGCAGGCCCGTAAGTCCAATGTTTGAGACATATTTTTAATGCACAATACCTCGCTTAGTGTACTCTTCACTTATTTCGGAAGTTCCTCAACGCGGCTTGCGAGAGGTGCGAGTCGAAATCGTTACGTAAGGGAAAATTCAAATTCAAAATATCTTTATTCATAAAAGACGCTTGCGCCTTTTTATGAATCGTCATAATTAATAAATATGCAAGTTAGGTACCACCGGTTCGGAAAACCACCTCATTGACTGCGAATCACGTTCTCTGTCTCATTCTAACGCGCGCTAGCTGATCAATTTTAACGTCATTTTTTTTTAAACATTAATTAACTCTTCACTCCTTGCACTGTTTTCCATTTAGCTACCCTTCATGCTATTAATTTATTTCAATTTGTTGAAACTAAATAAATATTCATTCATTCATAAACATGTTTTACCATCTTTTTTCGTCAGATCACCCTGAGCCAGTTGCTGAACTCCAGCTCGCAGGCGAGCAGCGGCTACCAGAGCAACTTCACCGGCAGCTCCGTGTCCCTAGACGCTCAGAATATGTCCGGTAACTGTTACGTATCCATAGAAAACCATGTTCACATGTGTCCGGTTCGCTGAACAATGCCTGGCTCAATCCACCGATTTAAGGTCAGATAATACACATTTGATTATTTTAACAGTTCCACGATAAAACATGAGCCTTTTCACCATTTATTCATAGTCTATTTAAAAGTATTGCTAATGTAAATTAAACTGTCGATATTATTATATTATGTCGAGTACTTACAAATATATTATATAACATAGAAACAAACAAAAGTTATCTCATTCCATTAATTTGAAAGTATAGATCTATCACGGAATTTAGGTACGGCGTTGGACTTTCCACCGACAATTGCTTGTTCGCGCCATTTTACTTAAATAAGTCTCTAAGCTGGTAGAGAACCTAAATCGCATTTCAGAATTTGGCAAAAACAGAGGTTGCATTCTATTGAAATAAAAGTATAGTTTATCACTGGACTGGTTCCCTTGTACACTGAACTCTATTTTTTCCTCAGGTGGCGATGGCAGCAACGTGGTGTCGCCGTCGGTATCGCCCATCAGCAAGACCCACAGCCCGACACCCTCCACTGAAAATGAACGCTCGCAGCAAGGTACATTACCTAACAGTAAAAGTGACAGCAATTCGTACCACTTCCGGGGTAAAGTCGTGCTATACTGACCCCACTGCGGATTGGCAGGCTTCACAATATATCCTCGAATCTAAGCGCGCTTAAACGCACTTAATATTGGCATCCAATATTAAGTGCGTTTTAAGTCTGACGGTGAACGTCTTCTGAGCCGATATCTGAATGTGGCAGAGCTGGCGAGCCTCATCTCCGAGCTGCCGCTGTCGGCGCGCCGCGCGGTCGGCTGCGAGAAGAAGACCCTGCAGAGCCTCGGCAAGCTGTCGCCGCGCACCGACTACCGTGCCAAGCGCGCCGAGGCCGACAAGGTGGGCGCGACTGTACCCCCTCGCAACACCGTATCGGACGGACACTGTTTGGTTTAATTAACGACTGTACCCACGACGCTGTTGAGCGTAGTTGGGTGGGCGCGACTGTACCTCGAAACACCTTACTGCAGCAGGAACCTGTTTGGTTTATTTAACGACTTACCCACGACGCTGTTGGGTGTAGTTGGGTGAGCGCGACTGTACTCCCCCGCAACACCGTATAGGACAGGCTCCGTGCTGTTAGCGGGACCGTTTGGTTTGGTTAAAGACTACTTACGACGCAGTTTGGTGTAGGTGAGCGCGACTGTACCTCCCACAACACCGTATTGCGATCAGGATCGGGGCTGTTTGCGGGGGGACACTGTTCGGTTTTATGTGACTGTAACCACGACACTGGCGTAGTTAGATGGGCGCGACTGTACCTCCTGTTTGCGGGACACTGTTTGGTTTGCGGGACACTGTTTGGTTTAACGTGACTGTACCCACGACGTGTGTGCTACGACATGGCGAATCTATACTGTTTTGCGTATTAAGTGCGACTGTACCCGCGATAATGTTTGGAGTAGTTAATGTGATTCTACCCATGACGCTAAACTTGGCGTAGTGAACGTGAACGCTAATGAATTATTTACATATTGTCTCATGTAACTATCGTGCTTTTAATACTAAAAATTTAATAGCCTCGCTTTAATATGACAAGTACTCTACTACATATTTAATCATTAACCGCCAAATTCAATTTGGGGCAACGTTCAGTCCAAAATTCAAACGAAACAACCCAAACTCCAACACGATGGCATCACTACATTGTATCTGAAACGATTGACCACGACAAAAATAAATATCACATCATCATCATTTCAGCAGCTTTATAGTCAACTTCTGAACATAGACCTCCCCCCCCCCCACTGCTTCTAAGCACGATCCTGAGCCACCTGCATCCATCGGCTTCCCGCACACTTGCACAGGTCGACACTCCATCTAGTGTTTCTTCTCCATCCATTATCGGGCCTTGGAACTATACGGCCAATGGTACGGCCTTTTCAGCTTACTAAGCTTCTGAGCTAGCTCGCTTACCACCAACGGCTGCATCGCCACTTACCATCAGGTGGGATGGCAGTCAAGTGCAGGCCAGTTTTGAATTAAGATAAATTTCGTTCTTAACGGTGGTAGGGCCACGCAATAGTGTTCAGTTTTGCAGGAATGGGCAGGCCCGTCCGGGTTAGTACCACTTCTGCGTTTCGTCTGGTGAGGTGGCCGGGATCTACTTTATTAAGAGGTGCCAACCCAAATGCAACAACCCTACAGTTTCTTATTCTACTGCGAATGACTTCATTGTGTATACAAGGAAATATAATAAATACTTATTACATATGTATATTTAAAACATGTAGAAAAAGTACGAAAAGATTGTCGCCGCTGTGGGAATCGAACCCACGTCTTCGGCATTCGCGGCCTGATGCTCTAGCCACTGAGCTAAACGGCTGATAGCCACAGCTACTAAAATCTTAAAGCCTTCTTTCTACATTGTTATTTAGCATTTGAAGCAATGCTTGGCGCATCTATTGGTATGTACTTTCCGGCATGTATGTATATTTTAAATACCAGGCCATACGAGAAGGGGTGGGCAGCGGCTACCGTGTCCCGACGAGCCGCTGGTCCGGCTACTACTTCAGCCACACCTCTCCCGGGCCCATCTCGCTCGTTGACAACGACGTAATGACCACGGTATACAGTGTTCGAATCTGACTAACGCAGTTGTACTTACACAATAAGAATTTAAAAAATGTACCATGTTTTACAACGTTTTGATATATATATTTTATTTAATTATTATTCTTGTTCAAACATTGCCATCCACTTCTGAGCTATGGACGAGATTTCAGATTCTAGATACTTGGATCAAGTAGGTACTACTCGTATTACACGTTTGACAAGTTTTTAATCACATATAAAAAATACAATTGCTCGGTAACTGTGAAAGAATGCAACCCGAATTTACTGTTAAAACATTATAATACAACTGTGGTGTGGCCACGCATCCACACTTCTGCGTTTCGTCTGCTCAGTGAGGTAGCCGGGGCCCACTTTATTAAAAGCTGTTGTAAATGTCAATGGGCGGCGGTCATCACTTAAATCCAGGGGATTTAAGTGATGAGAGCTCGCTCTTCAAAGTCAAATCTTTTATAGCACGTCAAAAAAACACCACCGGTTCAACTAAACAAGACCTGTCCAGAGAAGAGATAAGAAACTCTGCCGTCGTGTTATCTTGTTAAAACTACTCAAAATTCACACCCGTGTCTATGCAACAGACAAGAAACTGCTGTCTTTTTACCTCATTAAAATTGCTAAATGTTATCAAAATGCATACACGTGTCCTGCACGCAGCCTGAGAAAGGCTGGAACAGGTCGGAGCTGGTGCGGCCGAACATCGTGGAGTCCCTGGCCTCGCCGCCGCAGCCCAAGCCGTGCCGCTACCAGCAGCTCTACGACTTGCTGCGGGACATCGGGCTGCAGAAGTACATCGGTGAGCGCCCCCCACCGCAGCGGCCCGGGTTCGACGCCGACCGCTGGAGACGGAGAGTGACGGCTATGACTGGCGAAAAGTTACAATCATACGAATTAATACAGTTTTGGCCAATAAACACGGTACATAATTAGTTGTAAATAATTAAAATGAAAATGAACCGTGCACTGTACCTGAAATCGGCGTAAAAATATTTTTATCTAATATTAGAATATTAGATTTAAAAATGAGAAGTTATAAAAGAAAAGTTGATGAAGATCGATTATTATACATATTAAAATATTATTTGATTGGACCAAATATAACTAATACATTTTATTGCTGCCATAGAGTTAGACCAACAAATACTATCGGAATAGGTACTATTAGAATAGGTACTACAAAATGTTGTAAAACTAATACTGAAACTGTCACGGCATCCATCTTCTGCGATGTGGACGTAGTTTTTACTTTTTGTTTGTTGCGTGTTCGTTTGTATTCTATTGCACATCGTTACTGATAATCGTCTGATCAGTTACGATTGATTGATAAATTGACACGGAGGCGTAAAAAATATCGTATAGTCGCCCCGAAAGGTGGTGTGTTTAATCTGTGACTTTACGTCTTTTAAAATTTCTCGATCCAATAGAGCTGTTCAAGAAACACGAGCTGGACATGTCGACGTTCGCGTCCCTCAAACGAGGCCGATCTCACCGAGATCGGGGTCACAGCCTTTGGCGCGCGCAGGAAGATGCTGCTAATCATCGCCGGTAATGTTATTCTACAATTTATCCACACATTTCAAGTATTATCTAAAAATCTAGATAAAAGTAAAGTTATACCTCTGTATTACTCATCTAAATAAAGTCTTTCAAAAGTAAAAAATGCTATGATCGAGTGTGTTCACGTGTATTGTATATGATAAGTTTAATAGTGATGTTTTTTTTTTTTTCGGTTTTTATACATTTAGCTCATACAAGGCTAGTGGAGATTGACACAAACATTTATTACATAGTTGAATCAAATTATATATCACCTAACCGACAAAATCTAAATATCCGCGTAGCATTAAATTCGTTTTGTGTCAAGTGTATTCTCTGATTTATAAGTCACCAAGACTGAACACAATTAGGCCTAGAGTTTTTATGACCGTACCACACTGCTACCACTACCTCACAGGAGACTATTGTGAAATGAAAAATACTGTTTCGTCTGGTGAGGTAGCGGGGGCCCACGCAGGTCTGCAAAGCATCTGCAAACCCTCGGATACAATCATTGGGCGGCGGCAAACACATCACGAACAACAGTGAAAGAGTGTAATTTAAATGCCGAATAATATGTGGCCGTATATAATTATGTTGCGGTGCCGTGATTTCCACCTTTCCACAGAGCTGCAAAAACAAGCGAACGCGTTCAAGGGCAACGCCACGCCGACGGAGAGGAAGCTGATCAGCTCGCCGCCGCAGTACAACACGACAACGCTGTCGCAGGACAAATGGTAGAACCAACGATTCCGCGGTCAAGAGCGATTCGACGTTTGTCCCGCGCTGAAACCGTAATACCACGTAACGTTTATTTCGTTTGCAAACACGCCTAACTAAAGTTTAGTTTTCCACGCGCCCACTTGACCCCAGAGCGAACTGCCATGTCGATGGCATCGAACGCGCCGACAGACTTTTTTTACGTCAAAAGTATCAAAAAATCATCGTTTCGATGTTTAGTGCACTCAAATCGAAAATCTGATATACATGATGAGCTTATAGAATCGTCTTGACCGTACGTATAATCGATGTACTATATCTCGTTCTTACTCAATTCAAGTGGTTAATTAGAGTGAGATGGATTGTGAATTGGCGCATAAGACTGACTTGTTATGGGCTGGTAGAGAGACGTGACGCGGGTAACGTCACGCGTTCATGTCCCCTTAAGACTGATAATCACATGCCATTATAAACGGAATCTCACATTGTCTATGCGGATCAGATTTATTTTAAGTGTCTATTTTTTAAGGTACTTCAAAAGGGCAATCCCCTCTTTTTAACGATGTTATTCCAATTGTCTTTAGTCATTATTTAATTTGAGACAATCTCGCGTTCCATGATTTGGTTTTTTTGAGAAAAGATTAAATGTTGAAATAAACTAGAAACTTGGTCGCTCGAGCGTGATTGTCTATGATTTTTTTTTTTTTGCATAGGCTTGTTAATTTTTATGAGATTTTATAAAATGTAAGGTCATGTGTTGTTTTATTTTTTTAGATTATTTATATTATATAGCTCGAAGCGTTACGACGATTTGATCTCTTATCATAGACTCTTAGAAGTTGTTGAAGTAAGCCGGCCGAGCGCCGAGACTGTTAGTTTTAAGTGAACTAGGTTAAGTTGGAATTTTTTTTAAGATCGTTTTTAGCGAGGGCATGTTTTATTTTTTGATTATTACCTAACAATTTTACATATATCCGAACATAGATTTTCAGGACGTTCTCATTTCATCTTATATTGATTATCGCAATTGAATCCTAAAGCAGTTTTTTAATATTTGATTATTCAGCCGTACTAAACTTTAACTGTACTTTTAAAAGTTTATTTAATATTTTGGGCCAATGTGTTAACTTTTGATTTCGTATTCGATGAATATGATTTTTGAAGAGCCAGATGACATTGGTTTGGTTGACAAAGTAATCAGCATATCGAAGTATTGTAGGTATATTGGACGGCGTAAAAGAGAATATTTTGACTTGATTTTAATTAGGACTTCATTATTGCAAGTGGAACTATTTGTTTTTCAGCGAACACTATACCAGTGACGAACGTATAACAATCACTTATGTCACAAAGCTGAAATATATTTTAATCAGATAACATTTTATATATCACCTTTTGTGTTTGTGCGATTATGAATTTACGTTACCTCCTTTTTTACCTGTGTGTGCATTTTTGATTTTAACCTTATTAACATTATTAATTAATTTTGAATGCTGCATTGTTTTTAAAATTCGCGGATAGATACTTTTACGGTAATGGCTTGGTACATAATAATCTTGAGGCCCGTTCATTTGTAACAACTGCGTCACGACCATGGAATTATGTATCAACTCATTTACTTAGCTTTGTTCATCCAGTTTTAAGATCGGATATATAATTGTTTTAATCATGAACTTGTGATTTTTGTCAATCGTTTTTTTAAGTGTGATTATGAGATGTGAAAGATGATAATCCTTTTTTTTAGTGATTATGTAATATTATTTGGTTATGCATTAGGTTATTAGGATGAGTTTAATAGTTCATGCATTTGTCCAGTTTTGTATTAAGATTTTTTTTTATAAGGATCACGAACAGTGTTGCACGATTGTTTATTTAGGTTTCGCTTGTCCGATTAAAGTTCAAAAGAATTTATGTGTTTTATTAAAGCCAAACCACATATCTATAGACTTCAGGATCAGTTTAGGCACTAGTAAGTATTTGTTTTTTTTTTTAATTATTTCCAAATGCGCGACGTAAAGGAGTTTAGAAAGTGTTTATCAGCCTTTGTATCACTTTGTTTGTTCCTTTATGGCGCTCTGAGGACCATACGCATGTACCAATAAACAAAAATTTATTCAGCTGGCAACTCTGTGTTTAATTACATGGGTACTCAACGCGTGACCTATTAAAGGTTAAGTTAGTGCTGTCAAAAGTTGGGCTTGCATTCAACTGTGGTAGGGCCACGCAGCAGCCTCGGTTGTCGCACGAATGGGCAGGCTCGTCCGGGGAAGTACCACGACCTCACAGAAAACCGGCGTAAAGTGGAAGTATGACAAATACTTTCGCGTTTTGTCTGGTGAGTGAGGTGGCCGGAGCCCAATTTTCAAAAGGTAGTCAACGCATCTGGAGCCCTCGGCTTTTCACAGAAAAAAAAAGAGAGGTGCTCCGGTGTCATGGAGTGCACCTGTAGCTAAGCCGCACCATTGGCGCCTTCTTGTCGGGCCGTCATGTTGAGTACCCATGCTAAGACGGGCTTCGAGGTGACGACTTGTAGGATGTCACAGGGGTCGGTGTTAGGATCACTCCTATGAAACAGATTATGACTGGGTTTTATGGGCCTCTGAACACGCTATCTGCGGACGGCCATATCAATTGTGTGGCGTCCGTGTCGACTTATAAATAGCCTACGATGAGGTATCTCGACGTAGTTATAGATGTTAATTCTGTGCCCACTTCAAGAGTAAAGTTGCGTCATAGCGTTTCTGGTACGATCAGGCAAAAGGCCAAGGCCATAGAGCCTCAAACAAGTTGCATGTGCGCAGGAATGTCATACGATCAAACGCTATCGTTGAGTTTGAGCAAATACCGGAGCACCCCAGAGCTAGCCTCAGAACGATGGTGGACACGCCACAATTACCATGTGACGCTGGCCTCTCGTGACATGGTTCTTTTGGGAGGTATCTTTTTCGTGAGGAAGGAGCCCATAGCGGGATGCCGCCACCTCTCGCTAACTGACGTGATTCGCTTCCATGAAGGATTTTTCCTACATAAAAATTGCCTTATTCCCAGAAGTAAGCTATTTCTAGTTTGTACATTGGTAAAATGAGTGTCTTAAATACCAATTACAATCAAATTTAATGTGATGGAAACAATATATTCGAACTGATCATTGTCTATTTTAGAAAGTAAAAGATAGAACCCAGTAAGTAGCTGCTTATAGCTGGCATATAGGAACCTATCTATCTACAAAACTTAAATGAAAAGAATAATTTAAATTGCCTATACTTTCACTCACGTTTTTGCTTTTAGCATTTAGACTGTTAAAGCTTCATTGAACACAGAACTCGTGGGATGGCAAGATCCTTAGAACTTGATACGACAATTCACGTTGGGTAGTGCCGCGCATGTGCTCAGGCATATGATTTTATTTTTTATTAATTTTGTGCGAAAAGTTGTCAAACGAGCACACGGTTCACCGCTGCCTCCCGATTCTTCATATCAGGCTTTGCAAATTACCGATAAAGACACTTTCGAGGCAATTATGTCATTTTCAAGTGGCTCTGCTGGCGGCATTGACGGTATAGCGCCACAACATCTGAAAGATCTTGTAAGCGTTTCCGCCGGTGATGCTGGCAAAGCACTTCTTAATGATATTACAAAATTATGCAATTTAATGCTTTCCGGAAAAGTAAATTCTAAATTTGTTCCTTTCTTATACGGTGCAAGATTATGTGCCTTAAGAAAAAAAAGATAATGGTATCCGTCCTATTGCTATTGGTTCTACCTTTCGACGCTTAACTTCAAAATTAGCATGTAGGCACATAATCTCCGGCTTTAAAACAAAATTCCAACCTGTTCAACTAGGCTTTGGAAGCAAAGCCGGCTGTGAAGCGGCTGTACAATCCCTTCGAACTTCTTTAAATACTAGTGATTTGGATGTACTTCTGAAGGTTGACCTAAGGAATGCTTTTAACTCCATTGATAGAACGACTCTGCTGAACGAAGTGGCTAACCATACACCAGAAATATAGCACTATGTTTGGCAATGTTACAGTGAAAAGAGTAATTTATTTTATGAAGACCATATTATTGATTCTGCTGTCGGCGTTCAGCAGTGAGATCCGCTAGGACCAGCATTATTTAGTTTGGGAATTCATCCAATTATTTCAAAATTGAAATCTAAACTTAATGTCTGGTACCTAGACGATGGTACGGTGGGAGGTAAAGTTGACGATGTACAAAGTGATCTTATCGAAATTATTAGACAATTTAAAAATATCGGTCTCGATTTAAATAATTCCAAATGCGAACTTTTCTTTTCGAAAAGATTTCTTTTTCTGATAAAATCATTTTGACCCAAAATTTTAGCTCTATCATACCGGGAATTAACGTAGTCCGTTCAGATTCACTTTACCTCTTAGGTGCTCCTTTGTTGATACCAAGTTTGGAACCTCATTTAAAATTAAAGTTAAATCAATTTTTAGATCATGTTAATAAATTGTTTTTACTAAATTCGCATATTGCGCTTTCTATTTTGCGACATTGTATTCTTGTACCTAAATTAACGTACCTCCTTCGCTCGAGTCCAGGAAATGCGGTGACTTTTTGAACGAAATTGATTTCCATCTTAAATCAGCTCTAGAAAAAATTCTAAATTTATCTCTTAATGAATCAAGCTGGACTCAAGCTACGCTGCCAATTCGTTTTGGTGGTATCGGTGTAAGGAAAATTTCTAGTGTCGCTCTACCTGCCTTCCTTGCTTCCGTGCATAGCGTAAATATTTTATGTAATAACATCCTTAATCATGATTCAGAACTTTCCTATGCAGAGGAGGCAAGGATGTCTTGGTTGTCTATCTGCCCAACGAAAATATCCCACTGGAAGTAAACCTGCAAAAACAGTGGGATGTTCCTTTGGTGCGAAGAGTACAGAGAGATACGTTTCAATCTTTAGAAAGTAATTTAGAGCGGGCCCGTTTCCTAGGCGTCTCATCTAAAGAATCGAGTTATTGGCTTCACGCTTTACCATCAACTAACTTGGGCACATTACTTGACGATGAAAGCTTACGCATTGCTGTAGGAATCCGTCTGGGGGCACCGATTTGTCAACCACGCCAATGCCCTTGTGGTGTCAGTGTAGACAAATTTGGTCTCCACGGGCTTTCTTGTCAAAAAGTGCTGGCCGTTTTTCCCGCCATGGTTCCCTGAACGACATCTTCCGTAGGGCTCTTGTTTCCATCAATGTTCCATCTATCTTAGAGCCCTATGGCATTTTTCGTGACGATGGTAAGAGACCCGACGGTTTAACATTGATCCCTTGGGAGAGAGGCAATGCCCTTGTTTGGGACGCCAATTGTGTAGACACTTTGGCTGCCTCTCATCTAAGGGGTACTTCGGTCAGGGCCGGGGCGGCATCGGAGGCAGCTGAAGTAAGTAAATGGCGCAAATATGAGTCTTTATGTTTAGATTATGTATTTGTGCCATTTGCTGTTGAAACATTAGGTCCGTGGGGTCCCCGCACATCAAAATTTTTTAAAAGTTTATGTCCTAGGCTTAACGCCGCGGCTGGTGACAAGAGAGCTGGTTCTTTTCTCGCTCAAAGGTTAAGCATAACTATTCAGCGAGGAAATGCAGCTAGCGTTCTTGGCACCATGCCGCGTGGATTAGGTTTATTAGATAATATGTAATTTTAGATAGATTTAATCTTGTAAATATTAGATCAATAAAAGACGATTGATTTGCATAAAAAAAAAAGAACAAACATCATCCATAATTATTACTGTTAACTGTCATTGTCTTTGTCATCTGTCATATTGACGTTGACGTTCCATGCGAGTTATTTTGGCTGAGACGGCTTAATTTTCTAACTAATAAAAAATGGGTAACGCCAGTGCGAAAGCAGTAGAAGTGAAAGTGCCAGATGTTCCGGCACCGGATAATACGGAAAAGCCAAAATTGAAACCATGCTGCGCTTGCCCAGAGACGAAAAGAGCGCGTGATGCATGGTAAGGTTATTTTGAACATTTTTCAGATGTATTGCGCAATAAGTTACGAAATTGCCAGGAATTATAGAACTTGTTAGTTTTAACTACTCACCAAGCGTCAAAATATTTAAATCGCACTTTAAGTATTAAATCTCCAATTTGATGCTCGTTTAGTGACATCTTTAGTCACAGTTCCTTCGAGGCTTATTTGATGTACACAGGCTATTAGTGATTTATTGTAACATGAACACATTACACATTAATTAATTAAGCCATTCTAGGGATATAATCGCGCCAAATTTGTTATAAATTTCTGATGTTTTGAACAGCAGAGCCTACATGGTTGGTTGAAACCGACTCAGGAATGTTAAAAGTAGTTTAAAAAATTTTTTCAACTTTTTTTAAAATATTCTTTTAATAATTAGTATTTATATTAAACTTCAAGTTTGTCAAATATTTTTTTTTAATATTTCAGCATTATTGAAAATGGAGAAGAAAATTGCGGCCCTCTAATAGAAGAGCACAAGGCCTGCATGAGGAAAATGGGTTTTAACATTTAGACAACTCTTACCTTATTTATGTGTCATTTAAATAAGTTATTGATATAAGAATATCATCAGACATACTTTGATTGATTGCTTTAAATGTTTGTGATATTTAGGCCAACAACATATTGTTTAATGATTTATTTTTGATGCCAGAATTCACTATTTAGTTCATATGTTACATTTCGCCCAAATTGATAAAATGAAAACGAAAAACTGGCTTCTGATAAACATATCTCGTTTGATGTAAAATAAAAATACTTTGTCAGTATTTAATGTGATTAACTTATCAACAATAAATGATTATCCTATGAGTTCCTTTCACCTGAAGGGGTTAATATATAATTGATAAAATTTGTGTTAATCATTTTAAGTTATTACTATTTATTAAAATTAGCTGATAGTGATGTGTACATAATAAATAAAAGTATAAGTTATTGTTTTATTTTCTTTTTCTTTCACCATTTGATAGAAATGTTTCACCATTTTCGAAAAACTATATTTTAAGATGAGTTTTATAATTTTTAAGAAAGCTAAATGCTAAGCTGATGAGATAATGTAATTTGGATACAATAGAAAATATCTATCATAACAATTAATTTGAAAAGTGACTCAAATAAATATCGGTCAGATTTATCTGTCATCATCATCATCATCAGCTGCCCACTGTCCCTACAACGTCCCCTAAGATTTAGATTAATTTGTAAAATGTATTAAATTAATACATCCTGCCGACACTTAACCAGCACTTTTTAAATATAAGATTATGATTGGAATATATTAAAAATAAAATCAAAATCATTTATTCATCAATGTAAGAAAAATTACAAAACAAAATACATTTCATTTATCGATTGAGATCATCTGTAAAATGTAATAAATGAATATAACCTGGTGGCAGATGGTTTCTTTTTTAGCTATTATTATTTAACATTTTAGGAGAAAATCTGTTATGTAAAATGTAAATTAACAAAAACTGTCATGTACCCAATTACATCCATACTGTAATGCACTTCGATTGTTAATTGGGTTTAACAAATAGGAACTTTACTGTGTGAATGCGCAATTCTCAGTGAGTGTGAAGTTTTTTTTGGTTGGATCATTCACTGTTTCCTTTAGGAAGACTATAAATCCACCGGGCTTCAATTGCCTAAGCCTGAACCTCGTTTACGAGTGAGAGTGCACAGTAGCTTACTGTCCTTTATACATAAAAAGTGAGGGTAGAGCATCGTTGGTGGTGGATGTTACTTATACTACATTCCTTGACTCTTAGGAATTGTTTGTGGCGGATTTCATATATTATTACATTTCTGTTAACATACACATTTAAAACAAAATCACAGTAATATATTTCTTTTATGTGAAGCACTTATTTATTTATTATAATGTAGGAATAAAAATGGGTTAGGGTAGGTAAAAATGGTAAGGGTTCCGTATTATTATCTGTAATAAACTAATTGGTAAGGACCTATAGGTTGTCTAGCAGTCGCCTTGCGTTTGTTGTATGGGAGTCCCCTTAAATATTTTTTTTTAATCTAGTTTTTAATATTTGTTGTTATTGCGGCAATTGAAATATATCATCTGTGAAAATTTTAACTGTCTAACTATCACTGTTCATGAGGTACAGCCTGTTGACAGATGGACAGACAGACAGATAGCGGAGTCCCATTTTACCCTTTGGGTATGGAACCGTAAAAATACAAATTCTTAGCTACATCAAACTAAACTATTCTTTAACTGAGTAAAGAATAGACTTATGCAATGGCTATCCGCGAGGATAACCATACCTACGGGGTAAAATCATTCAAGGGGAAGCCATGCATGCTACAAAGGCGACATAACAGAAACCACACGTTGTCACGTCAAGTCACTTTCTAACATCATCATCAGCCTTTGATTGCCCACTGGTAGACGCAGGTCTACCAGTGGACAATCAAAAAAAATATGAAGCTAAATATATAATAATAAACGTCATAAAGCTCGCGTCCCCCAGTAGCCAGCCGTTGCCAGATTGTAAGTAAAGTCAATGTAAGTAAAGTAAAGTATCAGTCTTTACATGATCCACTGCTGGGCAAAGGACTCTTCAGTACAGAGGGTATCAGGGCATAGTCCACCACGCGGCCCCACTGCGGATTGGTGGACTTCACATATTTTCGAAATATTTTTATTTGTTATTATTTCGAAAAAATACAGGTTTCCTCGAGATGTTTTCCCTCACCGCTGAGCATGTGATAATTCGGCACTTAAAATTAAAAATTTCATTGGTGCCGGCACCGGGGATCGAACTCGGGTTGCCCGAGTATATTGAATTGGCCCGGACACTGAGCTATCACGGCACTTTCTATGCAAATTCAATTCCTTATTGAATGCTTTAATCAGTAAATGCTAAACAAATATCGATGTTACAGTACCACAAAAATGTGTACCGCTCATAAGAAGGCCCATTTACACGATGTCATTTTCTTGTACATACAAGAGCAATAATTGAATGCAATAAGTTGCACGCAATAATTGACCATCAAGAATTGTAAGCAACAGTTTACACGCAGATATAGTAACAAAAATTGAATGCGATTATTGAATGCAAGTCTTGACAAGAAATAATTGCAAATGTCTTTTGTTTACACCCATGCAATTATGTTTAGGCGATTATTGCTTTCAAGATTTTACTTGTCTAAACACATGCTTGTATGTGCGTGTACAATTTAAGGCCCATTTACACGATGCCATTTTCTTGTACATACAAGAGCAATAATTGAATGCAATAAATTGCGCGCAATAATTGTTTAGACCATGCAACTCATTTATTGCTTCAATTTAATTGTATACTACAGGCAAGAAACTTGCACCGTGTAAATGGGCCTTTATTGGCGTGTTGCTTCAAGTATTGCACGTATTTGCGTTGACAAATTTTTCATGCAAGTGTTGAACGTTTTACAAAGGGCTGTTTTTTTTTTAAATGGCTCAATAATAAGTGTTCAAGTTAGATTATGCCGATTAAATATATTTCTTTGAGATTTATTTATTATGATCCATATATTATTATTCATATTTTTATCCAACTTTTTTTACGACCTTTTCTCAATATTTCTATCCTCAAAAGAACAGCAACGACCCTCACTCAATGCACTAATTTTTGCAAAGGAAGAGAGAATGCAATTGAATACAAGAATTGCTTAAGAAATTATTGTGTGTGCTGTTTACACCAAGGAAAGTTTTGAAACAAAACTTGAAGCAAGTCTTGTTCAACAGTCAAGAATGTTATGTGCTGTTTAGACAATGCAACTCATTTATTGCTTCAATTTAATTGTATATAATAGGCAAGAAACTTGCACCGTGTAAATGGGCCTTTACTTTAAACATGCGTTGAAAAGTATGAACATAAAATCAGTGCTACTTTATAACTTTTTATTTACTTAAATTGAGTTCATATAAAGAATGGATTGTAAAACTCGTTATCATGTCTATGCGCGTCCCGTTTATGTTATCGTCATCGCAACAGATTTTGCGTGTCATGCCGAGTTCAAATAGATGCGTCACGAATTGATGTAACAGTGGATCTAAATTTTACGTCAGTATTCTTATTTGTCGCTGATAATGGGTTTTGTGTTTCGTCGTAATCAAGAAATCAGCGTCGACTTTTTTTATATATGCATGTTTTGGTAAATGGTGCATTCAGTTAAAGTCATACATTAAGTGCTAATTTAAGAAATAAGTAGTTAAGGATATTATAACTTTACAGTACTTACTTAACTAAGTGATATGATAATCAAGGGTATTAAGGGAAAAAGGCTAGAGCGTCGAGTTTGTATATCGGGCGACGCAGGTTCAAATCCTAGTTGCAGCGGCGAAAAGGTTTTCGTTAGTTATTCTGCAAATTTTAATATAAAAAAATAAATATTATTTCATCTTGCTGCAATATAAGTGCAGAAAATAACACTATAAAAATTAATGCCATTTAAATCTTGATAGCTCTCGTTTTCAAATATTTCAGTCATATGGAAAAGTTGTTGTTTATTGTAAAGGAAACACACTATAAAAAATGACAAACAGATGGTGCCAAGCATTGCTTAAAATGCAATGACAATGTAAAGGACGATTAACGAAGAAATTCGATGTTTCATAAGCTTATATTTGAATAATAAAGATATTTACAGTTTGAGTTACAGTTTGATTTTCAAAAAATACAGTTGAATTGAGAAACTCGTCCTTTGAGGTCGATTATGAACAGATTAGTCATTAACTAGCCAAATACATGATTGTTTAATCACGGCAGAAATAGCGCGGATTTGTCCGCCTTATCGAAGTCAAACCGTAAAACGTCTGCATTGTTAGTAATATATTAATCAACGCAAAACAAGCCTGCACATGACGTCGTTGTCAATAAGTTCTTTGTAACGTAAACAATACTATAATTATAATTATGTTTTGTCTTACTATCGGCTCAAACGTGGCTCGTCGCGGCTGTAAATCGTGTGTTTGTGCGCGGTCCGTGAAAAATGCGGCTAATACGAGACTCGGCGCTTATGGGCGAGGAATCCGCGTCGAGCTCAGTACAATCCACTGAGAGTTATGGGTAAGTATTTTAATTATGCCATTCATATTCAACGCTTTTCCACATTATCACGCGCACGAGTATTTGTGATGAAAACAAAGCGGTTACATTTTATCAATGGGTACTTTGATACTTGCAATCAGTTTTAGCAATAATATTGTTGAAAATTTCAGTGCCGTAAAATTTTTTTTAAGAATTCTCTGTAATAAATTTGTTGTCAATTGTTTTTCTTGGCTGTTTGTTTCTGGTACGAGAATTAACTCAATTATGTTAAACGTTATTAACGTTAACTTCTTAAGTCAACTCACCTCGTTGTGACATGAATAAGGTAAAAGTAAGTAGCTCATATTTTTTACTTTTCTTAAACATATATTTTGAGGACTCTCTAAATAATGTTGTAACAATCACAACTATATATCAATTCCTATTGCCTAAAAGTTCATTATTGCGAGCTGATGCTTTAATAAAAAAAAAGTTTTCCAGGCTTATTAAATGAAACTAATTTACGGATTGTATCGCGGTTTAAATCTGATTTTTAATTCCCGTCATTTTGAACCCCTTCGAGCGCTAATGGTCACGGGACACAATTTCCAGGCGTGTTAAAGGTATTCAATAGTGGCTATTGAATACTTTTAACACGCGTATTAAAATCTCTTTGTATGGTGAAATGCTAAAATTTCATCTTTACTTAGTAATCAAATATATTTAGTTTTCCAATGAACTATGAATCACGTAGAATCCTTTTCCATAATTATATTTTTTTAAGGAGAAACCGAAAGCCATAAATAAATAGAGTTTCGGTCTGTTTTTAAATCGCCGAAAGTATCGAGTCGCCTTCGACTGCAGTGCAAAACACTCCCTAGTGTTCTATCGGATTTTCTTGAATATCTACAAAACCCATAAAATAGTTCAATATAATTATAATGAATACAAGATATGACTAAGTAGGGTTCATTACTTCACACTTCGTTACAGAAAGAAAAGATAGAAAGTTAAGCCAGAGATAGCGCAAACTGCTCGTATAGCATTTAAGATAAAATATGAGACATAAATGAATTTTACGTTAGTCGAATGCCCGAGCTCTTAATTTATTACGGTTTTGTTTACACTAGCACTGTTTAATTAAATTGCTCCTCTATTTAATCGGTTGCAATTGGTCTGTTTTTATCTATTGCGTCAGAATGGTGAATCCGGGAAAGTACCTTTTTTTATCACTGGCGAAACGTTCGAATAAAATATAAACGTTATAATATATACCCTGTCTCTTGGAGATACAGGATAGTTGAGGTTCTTATACAAGCCAAGTTAGTACCTACGTTGCGAGGGTTCCCGGGAACTACTACGGATGCAAGGGCACCGTTGCATCCGTAATAGTTCCTCTGTGCTCTGCACGAGAATGCTCTTTGGAAGAAATAGTTTGTTCAAAGTTTTGAGCCAACACGATACCAATTCCCTGTCGCTACTAAACTTAGATAAGAGTTCCGTTCCGCTCGTCTGTGAAATCATATCTTCAATCTTAGTTGCCTTTTACGACAGGCAGCCCTTAAGGTACCCCTTAGACCTTTACATTAGTCCGGGACTGCGGGGATACCGGGCTGCCGGGACAGACAGACGGATGGTATATGGACGTAAGGTATTATGCGTTTCTTAGATAACGGACGCATTGTAGGACGACCCCCCACTAGGTGGGGTGACCAGCTGTGCTAATAAGCGGGAAGTTGATGAATGCTCAGGATCGTGCTTCGTGGCAGTCTGTGGGGGAGGCCTTGTTCAAAAGTGGATTCAAACAGTGAAATGATGATGATGAGATAACGTAGACCCAGTATTAAAGGTCAGAAACTAAAACCTCACGAGTTAAAGCTACGATGTCCTATGTTATCCTAGGCTATATTTTATTTCGATAAAAGCGGTCAAATCGAAATAAAAACCCGTAGAGGAGCAGTTGATTGAAAGCGAGAATAGTTGTGGTAGGGTCATAGTGTGGTAGTTAATTTGAAAGATATAATATTTATACAGACATTACAAACCGACTTGAAGCATCATATTTTTTTTGTTGAAGAATATTTGACGAGGAAATGGTACTACGCCGTTGAAGCAGGCCAGTCTGCGTCTAGACCCTGAGCAGGAGACATCTGTCGCTCAATATGGGGCTGGTGAGGGGTGCTATGCCATTTCTCAATGTCGGGGGAAAGATTGCGTCTACGTGTTCCCGTGTCCCCCGCCGATGCGACAGAGACAGGTGCGAGGGTTTTTCAGTGGGTACCCGTCTCCGGGACTCCCACATACCCCTGCCACTCCCCCGATCTAATGCCAGAGGATCCATAAAGGATTTTTCCCTAGGAAAAAAGGCCATTCTGCGTCTACTACGCCACAATAGGAGAAGCTACTACCTACAACAGAGAAAATTTGTAATTAAAATGTATATGTGTATCTAATGTATGTATAAAAACGAATCGCTGAATGTGTTCCTAAGCGCAAATCTCGAGAACAGCTGAACCGATTTCGCTAATTCTTTTTCTATAATATTCCTTGAAGTACGAGGATCTTACGGAGAGAAAAATTTAAAAAATTGCCTGAGAAAGTCTAAAACCAACACTTTTCTATATTCCCATACAAAAGATTCGTAATAATACTTAAGTCAATTTGAACTTTAATACCTATATCATAAAGTGTAAGTGTTAGTGGAGAGGCTCCGGGAAGGCAACACAATTGAGTGACGTTAGTATCGTATAAATATTAGTGTCAATATTTCTCATTTTGTAATAATTTACTAGATAGTGATTCAAGAGGAAGGTTTATAATATAAACCTTCTTACATATTATGTATAATACATTGCACCCGTGCGAAGCCGGGGCGGGTCGCTAGTTTATTTATATTTACAATAATTTATAGCTGATGACTCGGTGGCGCCGGGGGTCGTGGGTCCAATTCCCACACGGGACAAGTATTTTTGTGACCCACGGATAATAGTTTCGGATTTGTGTGTGTGTTCCCAAGGAGGGTTGACGTCAGTTCAGGCAGGCGGCCAGTCCTAAAAAACCTAGACAAAACCACATACAACTAGACCACATACAACCTCGTACTGCCCATCGCAGTGTAGGACGACCCCCCCGCTAGATGCAGTGATGACATGTGCAAATGTGACGGAAGTTGATAGATGCAGGTGGCTCAGGAGCGTGCTTTGTGGCAGTCTGTGGGGGAGGCCTATGTTTAATAGTGGACTCAAACAGGCTAAAATGATGATGATGAGCGGTGGTTGTCACATACGATAAAAATGTGGTCTTTACCGAAATACGTGTTGGATTCGACAGACTTAGCATTGGCTACAACCCACTGTGTAAGAAACATTTTAGATACAACATAAGGAAGATGACGAAATATCGATAACGGTTTCGTCAGACGCTATAAGTCAACGTAAATATCAACAAATCAATAGAGAGACCAGTAAATAGGTGTTTACGTCAGTGATTTTGTTTTGAAGTTAATTTTGTTGCGTTCCCGCTTTTATCCTGGCAACACATGCGGTCATTTGTTGCATGCGAAAGGCAATTAATAACAATTTTCATTGCACGTACATACATATAAAATATTCGTTTTTTAATTTAAATTGAAATGTAATTGGTTTCTAAACTATGAAAATTCATTAAAAAGTGTGAAAGTCTTAGCTGGCATTAATACATAGGTAAGCGTAATATATTATTCTAATGTTTTTTTTCCTTGTAATGTTTATGTGTAAAATACATAGATATAATTTTAATTTTGTAAAGTACACTCGCGTAACTTCTTTTAATTATTTGTCATGTCCTTAATCTTTGTTAACAAACAATCCTTTGATAAATTATTTCATAAAATTGAAAATTGAGAGACGTTACTATTAACGTTACCTGTAATGATTCTGATAACAAATAAGTTTAACCTTTGCGAAAAGTAAAGTAAAGTAAGAGCCTATACATGTCCCACTGCTGGGCAAAGGCCTCCTCTATACAGAGGGTATCAGGGCATTGTCCACCACGCGGCCCCACTGACTTCACATATCTTCTAAAAATATTTTTTTTTTGTTATTATTTTCGAAAATATGCCAGGTTTCCTCACGATGTTTTCCTTCACCGCGGAGCACGTGATAAGTCAGCACTTAAAGTTAAAAACTTCATTGGTGCCGGCACCGGGGATCGAACTCAGGTTGCTCGAGTATATTGAATTAAAGGCGAACGCCCGGACACTGAGCTATCACGGCTCGTTTAACCTTTGCGAGGACACTAAAATGTAAGGTAGATCAAATATAGATTGAACAACAAAAATACTGTCATGGCTTGATGTTGTAGACATCGTTATACGAGTATTATGCGACGTATTTATATATGATTATGTATTATGTATTATGCGACACATCATACGATCCCATGTAGAAACTAAATCATAAGAAATTTAATCCGAAAAAATAAACTAATTGTTTGTTTTGCACAGAGTGTTATTAATAGGAATATAAATGTTGATAAAAAACAAATATATTTATAAATTGATAAATTTTGTAAGTACTTCATACTTATGTCGTTATGTTTCACCCCGCATATAGGGATCAAAGGCTATCCGTCTCGATATCGATCTTAAATTTAACTAACTCAATAAATCTATATATATAAAAATGAATCCCGATTTCCCTTGGTCACGGCATCACGCGCGAACGGCTTTGCCCGATTTCACTTTTTTTTGTTGTGTTTGTTATTATCAGGAGAAGGTTCTTATGAAAGAAAAAATTAAAAAAATTGCCTGAAAAAGTCTAAAAACAACACTTCTATATTCCCGTACAAAAGATTCGTAATAATACTTAAAAGTCAATGTGAACTTTAATTCGGTACCATAAAGTTTAAGTGTCAGTGGAGGGGTTCCGGGAAGGCAGAATAAGTGAGTGACTGTGGTAAAATGTCACTTGAAATGTAAACGTCTCTTTGCTTTTTGTACTAGATAGAGTGATTCAAGAGGAAGGTTCGTATGTATAACACATTGCACCCGTGCGAAGTCGGGGAGGGTCGCTAGTAGCTTATATTACTTAAAACAAAGTAACAAAAAAAATCATAATATTTTCTTGTATTTACGCGATTACACATTACTGACAATAAATGAAACTACTTTTTTACGGATATATCGCTTTTTTATTTCCTGAAGTTTCAAACACTTTACAGTGTTCATGATCACGGGACGTCCTACGTCTCAGTTTGTCTCGAATAAATCAGTAATTTGTTATTCTTATTTGAAGTGAGAGACCAGTAGTTATATGCTTTTTGGTCCCAACGGTGCAAATTATGTTGATGGTGACTGAAATTAAAGGAGAAATTGATGTCGAAGGGGATATTTGTAAAATTATACAAGTGTGTTAAAATCCTCGTGAATTAAAATTTAGAAACTCCTGTAACCCAACGGTGAAACGAAACACTCAAACGATTAAAATAGACTTGAACTTATAGTTTATATTAATTATAATTTATGAATGAATTTTCGGGTAAAACGGGACACTATTACTAAGACTTCGCTGTCTCTTTGTCTGTCCGTCTGTCAACAGGCTGTATCTCATGAACCGTGATGGTTCGACAGTTGTAAATTTCATACATGAGATATATATAATAACAAATAAATAAATATAACAAACATAAGTATAAAAACAGATTAAAAAAATATTTAAGTGGGGCTTTTTTAATGGTACGGAACCCTATGTGCGCGCGTCCGACTCGCACTTGGCCGGTTTTCGCAACTAACGAGGCGAGAGGCTTTGGTTCAGTGCTCGTTAATTGCGCCATAAAATAACACTTCATAAATCTCTTAACTAAAATGAAATGCTTTATCTATACAAATATCTAGGTCGTACACAGCCCGGCTAATACGCACCATCGCTGACATTTGACCGTCAAATCAAAACGGTTTCATTATCTGCGGTCTAGTTTGATTGCGTTTTTTCGCCTTTGCAGAATATTCGGCAGCGCATGTTCAGACACGTCGGATTGCGAATACGTCGACGCGGGGAATCCACTCCGGAGATACAAGTAAGTGGTCTGTTAAATTCATTCTCGTTTATAATTAAAATGAACACGTTGAGCTTATAGGCCTAGATATAAAAATAGGCCTATATGCTTATAGATAATTAACGTGGTAAACTAAGCTTACAAGCACTAAGTCGCTTCTTTATTTATACACGAGTTTGTTTTAATAAAAAATGTTCTATGAGAAAAATTGGCAATCGAGCAGGTCGTTCACCTGTACCCCTGCTGTTGAAGGCAGGCCATCTTGATATGGAAGTATCATATTTATTACATACCTTATTTATTAACGCAATCGTCTGATTTAAGGGCGTAACTCTTCTTTTAAATTTTGGCAGCACATATGCATCACAAATGGGAGGCACTGATCATTTAACATCAGATAACCACGTGTATTTAACAGGAGCCCATTCTGCTCGCTATCCACAAGCCTGATTTTCCGCAGCGATATGCCGAGGCTGGAGACTTCGCCCCTCCTTACAGCGTCGCCGCGGCCGACGTCTGCCTACAAGACGATATGCTGTTCAGATTCTCTGGTATGATACAACATCAATAGTTTAGAAACATAATCCTGAACTGATGATCACTTGATGTTGCGATGTAGCTTGCATAATTATTGAGCATAATTATGTATACACAACGTATAAATATTTAGATCTGTAGTTGTGAGTATATAGAATAGCGGTAAGGTATCCTCTAGGTAGGTAGCGGGGATTTTGGGCTCACGGGTCATCCAGGTAGGGTCGTGATCACCTAGTAAAGAGGCTGAAACCAGGTAGGAGGGCTAGAGGGAGTGGTCCTGCATTGCCATAGCTGGAGATGGGCGCTGAAGGAGATTCTCCCTCCCTCGATGAGATCAGGCGGCTGCAGAGCACTGGTGCGTTCATCTGGAGATCCTGGATGCCCGGGAAATGCACATAACCCGGTCTTCCCTCAGAAAAGGCAGGGTAACTTTGGCAGGGTTGACTGGTAGAAAATGCTGTCAGCATTAAGTCCGCCTATGTACTGTTTCGTGCATGAAGTTTAAAAATAAATAAATAAATAAATAACTTTGGAAGATTTGCCCCCGTTGCCAAAAAAAAAGTAAAAACATCAATGTTTGTAGATCAAGTTGTTAGAGGTGAAAAGTTGACGTATATTTTTAATTATGGATGTTTTTTATCAAGGTCTTAGGTCGTCGCGGAAGTAGCTATATTGGCTAATTTGGTCATACATATTTCTTAAAACTACGTTTTGATTGGAACTATATTTAAACACTATCGCGTCATCTTCTATTTTAAAATCAGTGTTGAAATTTAATATTTTGTTGAAGAAATACATATTCTTCTCGAAACTAGGTACCTACTCTGTAGCTACTTTTTTAATCCCGTTAGGGCTTGAGTTGATAGACTTTACTAAGCTAGTAATTTTTTATCTAAAACTACTAGTTTAAGTAGTCTTGTGGTGCTAGTGATGTGGACTTAGATAAGAAGTGCGAGTGGGACTCGCGGACGACAGGTTCCGTACCATATTTGTTGTATGGGAGCCCCTTAAATATTTTTTAAATTCTGTTTTTTAGTATTTGTTTTATAGCGGCAACAGAAATACATCATCTGTGAAAATTTCTACTATCTAACTCTCAGGATTCATGAGATACAGTCTGGTGACAGACGGATAGACAGACAGACAGCGGAGCCTTAGTAATAGGGTCCCGTTTTACCCTTTCGGTACGGACGGAGTGAGACCTACTCGAGATCAGACGGAATCATTTAAAACATCATACAATTGGAAAGGTATTGTGACTTATACGTTGCCAGACAAATTTGTGACAGACAAAGCTGAAACTTTTCCCTCCCGGGCGCGATATGTTAAGTCAAAACGTGGAGACCGAAAACGTAATATGTGAAAAAAGTCACTCAAAAGTCACTCGGCCTCGAACCCGCAGCCTTAGATCGCTGACCCCTCACTGCGCTATCGCGTCCGTTTACCCGTGAATCCCGCCCGTTCATTCTAAATATAACTCGTCACGACGGCCGTGAGAATGTGGTGCTCGTCCACGGATAACCTCCCGATAAGCGACGTCGCGAACATTTACGCCACGAACCGCATATAGAACGGCGTCATCGGGTCGGATGATGTCGCGAGCTTTTTCCTTGTCGCGCAACATAAGCAGGTCTAACCCTAACGGGTAGACAGTATACCACGCGTCAGGAACCTATACTAACTATAGATGATTATAGTTAGTATAGCCTCCTGACGCGTGGTATACTGTCTACCGTCGTTCCCTTAATCCACATCTTAGTCTAGGGCTATGTAGACCATTTTAAAAATGGTTTTGGTTAGTTTTTTTACGACCAGCCGCTTGCTTGACGTTAACCCTCCTAGGAGCAAACACTCTGGAACAATTGTCTGTAGATCAAACTAATTCTTGTCCCATGTGGGGCCCACGACCCTCGGCGCAGAAGCTGATATATTTATAATTTTATTAATCTTCGGGTCAGTTTTTAAAATTACCAATTGCGATGCGACTTGTGCGATGTATCCGGAAAGTGCACATTGGACCTTGAAGTCTTGTGATGGTGGGGGCACTCCACCGGGATCTGGATTTACTTTAATATATCATAGCACCCTACGTTGATGGTAGCCCAATTACCATTTCTATTTGGACTGTTCAACTGCCTCGTCTCTTGAAAACTTTTCGTATGAATTGGTGTTATTTTGTGTTGATTTGCGGTCAACTAAACTAATGATAGAAATAAATTATAAAACCTACCTTTTACCAATTTTAAACCGACTTCAAAAAAGAAGGAGGTTCTCAATTCGACTGAACTTTTTTGTTTTTTTATGTACCTCCGAACTTTCGACTTAGTGACCCAATTTTGATTATTTTTCTTTATTTGAAAGCTGAAGCTTATCGAGTGGTAATTTCATTGGTATTGGATAGTGGGCTCCAGAGATACGTAGGGAACTCTTGAAAATCAATGATATAATGAATACGGAGCGAGATGTTTGATAGTCGGTTTTGTTTTTTGTTAATAAAAAAATTGTTACAATAATTTTATTATGACACTAGATGTATAATGACTGGAGCGATTTAAAGTGTGTTTGAATATTCCAGAGTTTTCGTTATATTGTGTTTTGTTTTTGTTTCATTTTTATTTTCTTATTACCCAGGGCCCCGGTGAAATTTCCGGCAGGGACATTATCGAAACGTACACGCGTCTAGAGAAAATTGAGAAAGAAAAGGAGAAGAAGAAACAGAGCTCCCTTGTGACCATGTAAGTAAATCCGTAGTAGTAGTTGTGGTAGCATACCTAGCACCACATACAGCGTGTCTTTACAATCGCGACAATAAATGAACACACATATAGAGGATAATTTTTAAAATTGTATTAAACCTTTACATTCTTTAAACATCAATATTTACCGAGTTATTAAATTTTCTAAAACAACGAATTTTAGAACACCCTTACGTATAAAACTTTAATGTAAAGTTCATTTGTAAAGGTCACAAAGCAAATGAATGGGTTGAATGAATTTAAAAGAGATATAACATACTGTTAGAAGGAGAGGCTTATAATGCGGCGTTGTGGCAACGAATGAAAAAGTCTCTGAATGTATGATTCACTCAGTTGTAGTTTTATAGGATGTTACAAATTTTGTTTCTTTTTTACTTAATTAGTTTGTTTGAAAAATATTTGTTTTTAATTATGGAATTTTTTTAACGTTAATGTTTTTTTTATGATTATTGGCTGGATAGTGTTAGACGTGTGTTCATTAATTGTCGCGGTGGTAAAGACACGCTGTATATGAGTATAAACACTGAAACTGTGACACAAGAATTTTATATAGGTATTAGATTTTATTCCGATGGCGTAAATAGCTAAAAATGTTACTGGTTCAAATTATCGTTTCATCTGTAGCTTCTCTGTGTGGAACACCATAATGGGTTCGTCGTTGCTAACCATGGCTTGGGGCGTGGCGCGCGCTGGTCTCCCCACTGCGCTAGGGCTGGTGGCCGTCATGGCGGCCTTGTGCCTCTACACCGCCCACCTACTCCTCAGGGTGAACCACCACCATGGTAAGCCTCATTATATAAGACTAATGATTAACTTGACTAATGCTTGTTTAACTTTCACACCTGATCTTAAAGATGGTTAAATAATTACTTGCTTTCTCTAATATATTACATCGCGACAATAAATGCACAAACATATACGTAACGACACGCTGTATATGCCCGACGTCCATACATCACAGGATAGTGTTATCCTAATAACTGTAGTAAAGGCGTTATTTTGGAAACAAAGACCACAAAAATTTATAGAAAAGAGGTACGAAAAGTTTGTCGCCGCTGTGGGAATCGAACCCACGTCTTCTGGGTTCGCGCACTGACGCTTAGCCACAAGTTTACCTTAAGTGCAGAGATACGCACTATAAAAATTTAAATTTCTAACAGAAAACGCTGTTAAGTTTTTATCTTTATGAGCCGGATTCGAACCCAGGGGGTGGCGCGTGCGAGGTGCCGGCGCTGTGCCGCCGGCTGCTGGGCCGCGGCGCGCAGTTCGCCGCGCACACGTTCAGCCTCCTGGCGTTGCTCGGCGCCAGCCTCGTCTACTGGCTGCTCATGTCCAACTTCCTCTACCACACCGTCAACTACATAGCCGGTGAGTCCAGTGCATTCGACCAGCCGGTATAGTTTTAGTGAAACCAATAATTGAGGAAGCCAAGGAAAGATTATTCTATTTTCCAGAGAAGTGTTTTCAACTGCTGGCTGCTGCTACTTAATGTTAAATTACTTCTCTTCATCCCATTGAAGACAATTATACTATATTACATAGTCAATGGAATGTACAGAAGATAAGTGGAGTGATGGTATTTCACGTCTTTTCAACTTTTGGAAAAGATTACTTCTGTTGGCTACAAGATAATTAGACTGGCGCCCTGACGCTTTAGCCACTAAGCTAAAGTTTAGATTAACACTATAATAATTTAGATTAGAAGACCAACCGATCGTTTTTAAATGCAGCAACAACTATCACATCAAACAACAACAACATCGCAATGAATGTCTCTAGTTTAATAGACAAGAGTTTTGCCAAAGCATCTCCAATGGGGAATCTGTTGCTCAATTCAAAAAAAGTTGTAAAGGAGTGTTTGTGTGTTAAAGGTTATTTAAATGATAACACACACTGGAAATGAATTGATCACTTCAGGCCGTTTCAAGTGGATAATAATATATTGTATACATATTTCATTGTCAAATAATGGTATACAAAATAAATAAAAAAGTCAACAGGTTTTCATTCCGAACCGGTTTACTATTTAGATAATCGATAAGTGAGTGTAATGCTTCTATTTTAATGAAGAACTAGCTGACTCGGCAAACATTGTTTTGCCATATCAATTATTTCTAGAGGAATCGGAACGCACGTATAAAATGTTTGACAGGTTACTCCTTAGGAGTATATGTGTTCTGTGGGTTACACAGACGCAGTTGACAGATTGACAGGTACCGTTTTGTATAGGAAACTAAAATTGTTGCTATTTCGATTTTCCATGCATTTTTTCCATAATTTCTCATCGTTTAAACCTTCCCTGGACTACCACAAATATTTCAAAACCAAAATTAGCCTAATCGGTCCAGTTATTTCTCGAGTTTTAACGAGACTAACGAACGGCAATACATTTCTATATATAAAATTTGAATTTTTGCTCTGTCCAGACCTGAGCTCGTCGAAAGCCACGCACCCCAGTGGGGAGCTGCTGTGCCCTAAGCGGGGTGCGGGGGGGTCGCAGCTGGCAGCCGACCCCTCCCCCTATTGGGGCCTGCACACCACCGTGCCATTTTACGTTGCTATAGGCATCTACCCCCTGATGAATTTCACCAATGTCACCTTCTTCACGAAGTTTAACTCTTTGGGTGAGTAAATACCCTTACCCTGTTCTACCGAAAACACTAGTTTACCTTTCCATTGGCATTCCACAGCCTAGCTTCATGTATCATCACCCACCTAGGTGGGGTCGGCACAACACATGAAACACGGTGTAAGCTGTTTGATAATTTAGATACATTCAGATGCGAAAAATAATTCCAAACAGATCGTTATAACAATGATAACATTTTTTATAAACTATTTCAGAGACCTAATAAGTTTGATTAGTCATTTGGAGAAAAAGAATAAGCAAGGGTCGTCCCAGGAAGTACCATGGCCTCACAGAAGACCGAAGTGGAAGTAATATACTTTCGCGTTTCGTCTGGCGAGTAACTACGCACGCTCACTTTTTTATAGGTTTTCAATGCATGTGTAAGCCCTCAGATGTTGTACGTTTGTTATGCGCGAAGGTGGCAGGTGAGCTAGCAGTTCACCTGATGTTAAGTAATAACCGCCACCCATGGACATTAATTGCAACACTCGTAGGCTTGCAGATGCGTTGCCGCCTTTTAGTGAAGTGGGCCCCGGCTACCTCACTCACTAGACGAAACGTAGAAGTTCACTTCCAATTCACGCCGGTCTTCTGTGGCATCATGATTCTTAGACGGACCTGCCCATTAACACAACAGCCTACCACGCGTCGGCTATGGGCTGCAGTATTCATTTAACATCAGGTAAACCACCTGTTCCCTTGGCAGCATTTCACCGTAATACATCTGCGTGCATCTAAATTTAACCTTCGCCCATCGCCACTTTCTCGAGCACTCGATTCGGCTATGCGTGGAAGACGGTATCGATCCTGAGACTCAATCGCTGGTGAACGCAACACGCTCTCACGGCAACACTCTGGCAGGCACGCTGTCGGTGGCCTATCTCGTGGTGTTCGTGCTGTGGAAGGGGTGGTGGTGGGGCACCCACGACATGACCATGCCCACCTTCGCTCCTGCCACGGCTGCCACAGCAGTCCCCCCCTCAGCCGCCGCGGCCACCAACGCGGCGGCCCTCAGCGGTATCCTGGCTCTCTCCTTCTACATCCACAACATCATCATCACCATCATGAGCCACAATCGACGCCAGGAGAACAACGTGAGTTCAGGATTCGTCGTTAGCAATATTTAACAATGGTATATACTATATTTCAGGGGTATTCGATTTTTTTTTCGCACAAGGGTTCACTGTCGCACAAATGGGCAGTTCCATCAGGGTAAGTATCACAACCTCACAGAGGACCGGCCTAAAGTAGAAGTGTTACGCTGCTGCGTTTCGTCTAGTGAGTGAGGTAGCTGGGGCCCACTTTATTTAAACGCATTTGCAATTCTATTTGTTATCACTTAACATCAGGTGAACCACCAGCTCGTTTGTCACTTTGTCATGTGGACATCCACAAGACCACAAAAACGCGAGTCCCTCACTCAGATATTACGAAGGTGTAAGACTTCCACTTTAAGCCGGTCTTACGTGAAGCCGTGGTTCTTCCCTGGTCAAGCCTACCCAATCATTTAACAGCAGAAGCTGCGTGGCCTTTCTACAGAAATAATAAGCTACTATCAGAAACGATAATAAGTTTTAATGAAGTAGCAATTTTTACAGAAATAATAAAGCGGATCGGTGGCAAAGATAACACGAATTTCGTTCCAGGGGCGGGACTTGACCATCGCATTCTTGCTGGTGACCATCACCTACACGTTGGTAGGCGCCGTGTTTTACATCTGCTTTCCCCTTGACAAGTCGTGCATCGAAGACGTGAGTTGGGTCGACACCAATTTATACATAACACATTCAATTTTTAATTATTAGTTGTAAATGTATAAAAGAATCAGTGATGTAACGGAAGCGGATACAGAAACGGAAGCGGAAACGGAAGTGTCAAAAAATAAAACAAATCTTTTTGACAATATCCTTTCACGTGTTTGAGAAATCGGCTACCCAATTTAAAAATGGTATTTTATTATTTTTTCAATGCGATACGATTACGTCGTTAATAAATTTTATCGGTACGATGTCTTTTTAGAATATCCTGAACAACTTTGACATGCACGACACGATGACCGCCGTTGCAAGAGCTCTTTTGCTGTTTCAAGTGAGTTTTCTCTTTGAAATGTAATTCACTATTTTTCATGTTAATGTAAAACTATAACATGTCCATTCAGCGTTGTCTGTCCTAAAAGCTAATTGATCCGCGCATTTCCAGGTAATAGTTTGCTAAAATCATATATACCCTACTGCGGAGGTTTTTTTATGTGAGAAGGTGGCAAGCGATCTAGAGGTTCACCTGATGTTAAGTGATATCCGCCACCCATTGACAATTGCAACACCCGTACAGTCTCAGACGCGTTGCCACCTTTTAGGCGATTAACACACGGCACCGCGCACCGCCGCGGAGGGCGGTGGCGGTAAGGCGGTTTACGCGCGGATGGATTTAACGCGGTTTTGACCAGTTTGATCACAGACGCCCGCAAGAATGGATTCTGAAGTGGTGGCAGCAATCTGGCTTTTATGGCGTAGAAAGAAAAAATAAGAACGTATAGGGGTTCACCCATTTTTACGAAGCAGAACCCTAAATGGGGCATTAATGCTCATTTATAATCGCGGATATGCAGCGGCCCGTGTGTGAGGGGCGGTGGCGGTGAGAACACCGCTCGACCGCGGGGTCGGTAGGTGTACGTGTGTTAGGCATCAACGGATTTATTATGACGGACGGACCCCAATACGACATGAGGTCCACTTCACCGCCTACCGCGGCGGTGCGCAGTGCCGTGTGCTACGCGCCTCAATAAAGTGGGCCCGGTTACCCTACTCACCAGATCAAACGCAGAAGTACAACACTTCCACTTCACGTCTATTTTCTGGGAGGTCGTGGTACTGCCCCGGACGGATCTGCCCATTCGTTCAACAGTGAAAAATTTGCGTGGCCCCACCACAAATGAGTGTTAAGGTGGTGTGCCGGCTAACGGGCGGTTTCATGAATTTTGACGTAAGTATTATAAATTGTATAGCTAATGTCAAATACCTATCGCCAGTTACCAGAACTATCTGTAGATAGTATATAGATACCGGCCGTAAGCGTGGTGGTGACTGCAGGTGGTGACCGTGTACCCGCTGGTGGCGTTCATGCTGCGCAGCGAGGCGGTTCACCTGCTGCCGTTGCGCGACTGCCGCGCCCTCACGTTGGCCGTCAATGCGTTCATCGTGGCGCTCTGCGTGCTGGTGGCCTGTCTGTGCCCCAACATCGGCACCGTCATCAGGTAATTGCTTATAGACCCGGGTTTCAGTATGTATGTTAATGGACCCGGGCATGTATGAGAGATTTGTTGTGTCTCGTAAAAGGCGACTTAAAGCGGATTTGACAGGTAATCAAAGGGGTTTGTCACCCTGATTGTTGCTTAAAGTGTCGAACTCATTAATAAGTACAAACACTCGTAAAGGCCACTTAAAAGGATTGGGTTCACGGGTGAAGTGGGGACAATGACGTCAATTTTAGTGGATACGGTGGCAGCAGTACGAAGTGGTGTCGTGCCGCAGAAGGCAGTGAGGGAATCGGGGAAAGTTTGTCCGTCTTTTAGACGTAGTCATGCGCAGTAATGAGGGGCACCGGTGCGTTCCGTAGATGCCGGAGCACCTTCAAACGTACTCAAGGTAGCCACCAAGACTATTTATGTCGCTAGGAACCCCACATAACTGTGTCCTCCCCTTTCCCTCGATCCAACTATAATAAATAAAATGAAACAAAGATAAGTCAATTGCGCTTCGTACTGATTCGGATCAATCATTCATCTTGGTAAATATTTCCAAAATGTCTTAGCGATATCATATTCTGTAGCAAGTCGTATATGCTTATAAACCAGCCGGAGCTGAAGGGCGATAGCGATCCACTGAGGTCCATCTGAGAGTCGATTGAACGAGGGTGGCGGTTGTGTGCATGCAACAGGTACACAGGCGCGGTGTGCGGGCTGGTGCACGTGTTCGCGCTGCCCGCCGCGCTGCGGCTGCGCTCGCTGCAGCTGCGCGGCCGCCTCGGCGTGATGCGCGCCGCGCCGCTGCTGGCCATCGCCGCCGCCGGCGCGGCCAACCTCCTCGCGCAGTTCTTCATCACGGACTAGGCGGGTGACGTCAATTGCATTCGGTCCGCCAGGACACCCTGTATTCGCCCGCGCGACCTTTGGCACAACGCTTCAGAAATCATCCAGGTGGCTGATGAAATTCACTGCCATTGCCGGCGCGGCCAACCTCCTCGCGCAGTTCTTCATCACGGACTAGGCGGCGGGTGACGTCAATTGCATTCGGTCCGCCAGGACACCCTGTATTCGCCCGCGCGACCTTTGGCACAACGCTTCAGAAATCATCCAGGTGGCTGATGAAATTCACTGCCATTGCCGGCGTGGCCAACCTCCTCGCGCAGTTCTTCATCACGGACTAGGCGGGTGACGTCAATTGCATTCGGTCCGCCAGGACACCTTGTATTCGCCCGCGCGACCTTTGGCACAACGCTTCAGAAATCATCCAGGTGGCTGATGAAATTCACTGCCATTGCCGGCGCGGCCAACCTCCTCGCGCAGTTCTTCATCACGGACTAGGCGGGTGACGTCAATTGCATTCGGTCCGCCAGGACACCCTGTATTCGCCCGCGCGACCTTTGGCACAACGCTTCAGAAATCATCCAGGTGGCTGATGAAATTCACTGCCATTGCCGGCGCGGCCAACCTCCTCGCGCAGTTCGTCATCACGGACTAGGCAACGTCAACTGGATTCGTAACACCCCGTATTCGCCCGCGCGAACTTCTTTCAAAACGTCTGCAATCAGAGACCGGTGGCTAATGAAATTCGCCGATAGCCATTTCCGCCGCCGGCGCAAGTTTCGTTCCATCGCGTGCTCAGCATCAAAGGTGGAGGAGACATTCTTTGGATACTTAATTTCTCTTCACAGACTATAGAGGGACGTCATTTGGATTCGCTCAGTGGGAACATCCTATATTCGACAATTTGGGTACAACACTGGCAATCAATCGACAATTTGATCAACCCAATGGTTAAATTGTCGATGGCAATTCTCAAGTTCTGGTTTACTGCGTGCTCAGGGTGTATCTACCATCAAAGACGAGAAGGATAACCCGAGAAGCGCTCAAGAAATATGCTGTAACATCTAAAATTGGTCAATCTCTATTGCTATCGGTTTGCAAAAACTGTATGTATTGTTTTTATTAATCTGTGCTGGGTCTTTTCCAACAATAGACAGTAAGAGTATAATAGATCCTTATAAAGACTTTAAACAAGCTAACTAGACATTTTCAGTAATAATAATAATGTTAAATTAGTAATTATCTCAACCATGCAATGTATATTATCATTTTAAAATTGTGTGTAAATGTTTAAAATTTATTAAATAAAAAAACATTTATGTAAAAGTAAATTATGTGCGCGTGTATATTACGTTTATTCGAATTTGATACCAAAAGCTTTTGTGGTTTTAGTGCAAAGATAAGTAAAAATTGTCAATCGCAATTTTTGTATAATTGAATGATTGTTATTAGAGTTATAAACGTAATCTTAAGAAAAAACTTGTATCTAGTCATTAATGTAGAATAATGTGTGAGAGAAATAAAATAAAAGTTTGTTTTTTCCATTTATTAATAAAAATAACAATATTTCAAAAAACTTCATACAACCTTATTTCTTAAATATTTGCATATTATAAATAAACAGTGTATCAGAAGTGCGGTCTCCTTTATAACACAACAATAAAGGAAATATAAATAACATTATTAGTAGAATAACATTCCCCGCTGATAAGAAAATTGATTTGTTATTAATTAATAAAATTACTGTATATTTAAACATGTGTATCAAACAGAAAAAAATTACTGTATGCATAAAATGATGAAACAGTAGCTGCAAATCTTCAATATATATTTTCTAAATTGTTTGAATAACGCGTAAATATAATGGTTGTGACGTATTTTATTGTTTTGACTTTAAATGGCTTGTTGGCATTTTAGTTCAGTATTTCAGTTATCTTTGGCATTTTAACTTACTGTTGGTAATTTAGTGTAAATAGATTTTAGACAGCCATACCTAACAACTTACACTTAAATAAACAAACAGTTTTAATAAAAATATAGTCACAAAATCCCTTATTAGCGTTTAAGTTTATTTACGACAAGATGTGCTTGATTCTCGCTTTAAATATATTAAACTTGATTAATAAAATCTTTAAAAATTATGAAAAGGAGTCTGAAAAGCATTTAACATTAATTAGTTATTGACACAGTTTGAGATTAAAACTGTTACTTGCTGAAATGGTAGTTACTGGCACTCTGCAATGCTTTGTATAAAAGTAGAAAAGAGAGGAGCTGCGTTTGCGGGGTGACAGGCTCGTCGGCGACAGGTTACGTGATGACGGTGGGTTTGTCGCGGCCCGTGTAGCGCGGCAGCTGGGTCAGCTCGAGGGCTACACCGACCAGAGGCTCCAGCACTTTCTGCGCGTCTCCCTCCACATCGGACGCCTCGTACGCCTCTATGTAAAGGCTGAAATAGAAATGTTGAGTTTGTTGCATTATTTAGACAGCACGCGTGTTTGTGTTGCATCGCATCGGAATTTCCCCCACCAAAATTGAGCGGATTTAAAATGATTTCGACCACTTGATATTTGTAGATTTTTATAGTGCTAATCAATGTCTGCACGACAAAAGTTTAAAATTTGTGGAAAAAATGGATAAACAACTTTTTCGCCGCTGTGGCAATCGTCCGTTTATCTGAGTGGTTAAAGCGTCTGGGCGCGATTACGGATAAGGTTGGGGTTCCATTCCCGCAGTGGCGGAATTTTTTTTCTATAAATTTTAATCCTTTCTTGATATCATTGTCACTGTAGTGTTACCAATTCATCAGCTCTTGGAAGTCTGAAATCATGTAAACGATAGAGGAGTAATAAGCGTCATAGATCTTTTTGAATTTTGGAAATGACTCTTGCTCTGCACTTGCAAGACCCCTGGCTGCTGCTGATTATATGCTTTATACCTAAATAAGTGTATATAATTGCATCAAATATATATATATATATATATATATAACAAAAAGAACAATACAGCAGAGTTTCTTGCCGGTTCTTTCTGTGCAGGTCTAGTTTAGTGACCGGTGGTAGATTTTTTTGGTGACGTTCAATAAGAGCTTAAGTTAGGCCTATATTGAATAAATATATCGCTATTATCAAAGTCAAAGACTTTGACTTTGATAATAGCGATCAGTACTGAAGATAAGTTAGTAGCTGACTGACATCGAACTTGTATTATGTCTCTATTTGCAAATAAATTCGCTGTTTTTAGCGAACTATATTACTGGATCATTTAGTGAAAAGGGTTTTAAAAAGTGCAATCACCCCGCTTGGCCAAGTGCATTACAACACACAATGCATTTGCAACCTTACTGCTGTCGCAAATGTCCACGACGGGTCGTCATTTAACATCATGTGAACCGTCAGCTCGCAAGCCACCTTCTCACACAAAACGGCCGATGGTCCTCAAGGTCCGAATGGTGTTATGTTCTTGGGCCTCACCGCACGGTGGCGCCAGCGCTGCCGGTGCCGCTCAGCCGCACCACAATTCGGGACCCATCCTCGAACACAACGCGAAGACCCTGCAACACGCACGTTTCGATGAGATGCCAACTACCGCTCGCGGTCTTTGCAGTTGCCTATGAAAACTTTTAGTAAGGATTAAGCGGAAAATCAGCGCTGAGAACATTTCAATAGGAATCGCTGAGCTTGTTTACCTTTTCGCCCAAATGTTATTTATATTTTTTTTGTGTGCTAAAGTTTAATTTTTTTTATTGTTCACATAGGTTACAAATTTCCAAATCCATTCCACAAAGTAGTCGTACATGTGGCAAGCGCGTCTTCACATCACATCCATATTCAAAAGCCTGCTTTCACACACACATTCACAAAACTTGTACGCATCCACATTCACAGCACCGTTTTCACATTTTCAATAACAAGTCTTTACTACATATTCATGTTCACCTTAACATTCAGACCGAAAAGGGCGTCCCCAGACTCCGTCCCGCCCTGGCCCCCTGGACCCGAGGACTTTTGGGAGCTCGCCCACCTGCTTCCTGGCCACGCTGCCGTCCACCGGGTCGGTGTATTCGAAGTTGTCCGCCAGCCGCACCACGTACTGCCTGCCCCCAGGCGCCGTCAGCTTGGAGCCGACGAAGCCCTGGCCCAGCAGCCGGGCCTCCAGCGCCGCCATCATCTCGCCGCACGGCCCACTCGCGCACTCCTCGTAGTCGTACCTACGTGGGGCGGCCGAATTCCAATATCTCCACTCAATAAAGAGGCGTCACGCTCACTTGTCGCCGGTTCCGAAACGCTACTGGGCCGAGCTACGGTCCGTTACGACTTCACTAATCTATTCTAGTCTATCTCAGTCGGTTCTGTATGGCAAGGGTATTGCCATTTCTGCTTACTATCAGGGATATGTTAGACAGTTATCGGTTCTATATGTCAGGCCCATTACCACCTCGCTTATCTGGACACATGTGCTGGTGGATTAGTTATCGGTCCATTATGGCCGGCGCAATGCTATTTCAGCTTACTATCTGGGGTATGGCAGTCTGTAATCGTTTCTATCTGACCGGCCCATTTACACTTAACTTATAAAAAGAAAGGAAGAGATGTTTATTCGGCGCATTACATTACAGGAAAAGAAAATAAGTAACAAGAATAACACTGATATAGTTAAAACGTATGCACCAAAAAGGTTTATCTGGACTAAGTCGGTCGCTTGTGCTATCATACTCTCCCCATAAATTAAGTCGGTCTGTTATACTATCGTACTCACCTCTTGAACTAAGTCGGTCACCTGTACTATCGTACTCACCCCATAAATTAAGTCGGTCTGCTATACTATCGTACTCACCTCTTGAACTAAGTCAGTCTGTTATACTATCGTACTCACCTCTTGAACTAAGTCAGTCTGTTATACTATCGTACTCACCTCTTGAACTAAGTCAGTCTGTTATACTATCGTACTCACCTCTTGAACTAAGTCAGTCTGTTATACTATCGTACTCACCTCTTGAACTAAGTCAGTCTGTTATACTATCGTACTCACCTCTTGAACTAAGTCGGTCGCCTGTTCTATCGTACTCGTGAACTAATGCTCGGTTCCTACATTCAACTAACGGCCATTAGTCACATAGCTTCGTAGCTTTCACGACTTGTAGATTAAAGGAACGCTAGTAACTCACTTTCCGTACGCTCGTAAGGAAAACGCCTCGTTTTGTTAATATAGGAACCGAGCGTACACGCCTATTATCTGCAAGTTGTTAAGGAAGCTATGTAACTAACGGCCGTTCGTTGTGTAGGGACCACTAAATATTGATGACGCGCGAGTGGAACCGGGGCGCAAGCGAAGCGCGCGAACTTCGATGGTGCGCTGTATAATACAGCTGCGCGTAGGAGTGTACGTGCCTACACGGTCCGCGCGACGACCAGCGGCGCGGACGAAGGGAACATCAGCCGCATAGATAAGACATATATACTGAAATCAGTCGGCTGCACTACACCTCGGCGAATGCACGCTCGATTTCCAATCAGTACGGCCCGCTATACGCTCGCGCAATTGCTTTAATATTTTCCTTTGTCTGTTTTAAGTATTCTTTTCTGTCGCCTTCGCTTTATCTAACTTCTGTGCTGTATCTTCCTCAATTTTATTCGTTTGTTAACGTGTGTCTATATTTATTGAAAATATAGTTTATGAGAGTACACCGTGTTTAAATTAATAACCCGGTAGGGTTGAATATACCCATAGTTGAATATAGAAACGGGGCATAAGTATGTCTGTGCTATCGTACTCACCTCGCGAACTAACCAGATCACCTGTGCTATCGTACTCACCTCGCGAACTAACTAGATCGCCTGTGCTATCGTACTCACCTCGCGAACTAACCAGATCGCCTGTTCTAGCGTACTCACCTTGCGAACTAACCAGATCGCCTGTGCTATCGTACTCACCTCGCGAACTAACCAGATCGCCTGTGCTACCGTACTCACCTCGCGAACTAACCAGATCGCCTGTGCTACCGTACTCACCTCGCGAACTAACCAGATCGCCTGTGCTATCGTACTCACCTCGCGAACTAACCAGATCGCCTGTTCTAGCGTACTCACCTTGCGAACTAACCAGATCGCCTGTGCTATCGTACTCACCTCGCGAACTAACCAGATCGCCTGTGCTACCGTACTCACCTCGCGAACTAACCAGATCGCCTGTGCTATCGTACTCACCTCGCGAACTAACCAGATCGCCTGTGCTACCGTACTCACCTCGCGAACTAACCAGATCGCCTGTGCTATCGTACTCACCTCGCGAACTAACCAGATCGCCTGTTCTAGCGTACTCACCTTGCGAACTAACCAGATCGCCTGTGCTATCGTACTCACCTCGCGAACTAACCAGATCGCCTGTGCTACCGTACTCACCTCGCGAACTAACCAGATCGCCTGTGCTATCGTACTCACCTCGCGAACTAACCAGATCGCCTGTGCTATCGTACTCACCTCGCGAACTAACCAGATCGCCTGTGCTATCGTACTCACCTCGCGAACTAACCAGATCGCCTGTGCTATCGTACTCACCTCGCGAACTAACCAGATCGCCTGTTCTAGCGTACTCACCTTGCGAACTAACCAGATCGCCTGTGCTATCGTACTCACCTCGCGAACTAACCAGATCGCCTGTGCTACCGTACTCACCTCGCGAACTAACCAGATCGCCTGTGCTACCGTACTCACCTCGCGAACTAACCAGATCGCCTGTGCTATCGTACTCACCTCGCGAACTAACCAGATCGCCTGTTCTAGCGTACTCACCTTGCGAACTAACCAGATCGCCTGTGCTATCGTACTCACCTCGCGAACTAACCAGATCGCCTGTGCTACCGTACTCACCTCGCGAACTAACCAGATCGCCTGTGCTATCGTACTCACCTCGCGAACTAACCAGATCGCCTGTGCTACCGTACTCACCTCGCGAACTAACCAGATCGCCTGTGCTATCGTACTCACCTCGCGAACTAACCAGATCGCCTGTTCTAGCGTACTCACCTTGCGAACTAACCAGATCGCCTGTGCTATCGTACTCACCTCGCGAACTAACCAGATCGCCTGTGCTACCGTACTCACCTCGCGAACTAACCAGATCGCCTGTGCTATCGTACTCACCTCGCGAACTAACCAGATCGCCTGTGCTATCGTACTCACCTCGCGAACTAACCAGATCGCCTGTGCTAATCGTACTCACCTCGCGAACTAACCAGATCGCCTGTGCTATCGTACTCACCTCGCGAACTAACCAGATCGCCTGTGCTATCGTACTCACCTCGCGAACTAACCAGATCGCCTGTGCTATCGTACTCACCTCGCGAACTAACCAGATCGCCTGTGCTATCGTGCCCACCTCGTGAAGTAGTTCCTGCCGTAGGCCGCCCAGTGGGCCTGCAGCGTCTCGCGCACAGAGCGGCCGGAGCCGGCGAGGACGGAGAGCCACGCCAGCGCGGCCCACAGGCCGTCCTTCTCTCGCACGTGGTCCGAGCCCGTGCCGAAGCTCTCCTCGCCGCACAGCGACAGCCGCCCCGCGTCCATCAGGTTGCCGAAGTACTTCCAGCCTGGAGGGGTTCGCCGCGCATGTCAGTGGAACCGTGCCGGTTAAGTCCCCAACGGCCGGTCCCGCCCAACGGTCAATGCGAAACAAAACAGGGAAGCAAACAGTAATACATGTAACGGTTTGTTAAATAGACGAAACTCAGGCCACACGGCTGTAAAGTACGCAAATAGAGAAATGAGCCTCAGCCCACACTGTACTAAATACGCAAACGGATAAATGAAACGCAGGCCACACGGCACTAAATACGCAAACAGACAAATTAAACCCAGCCAATCAGCCGGGAAATCCCCAACGCATCATTCTCTTCATGCTTCACCTAAACCACTAAAGTCTCCGTTTACAGTGAAGCATTTTCCTGGTGCAAAGTAACTGGCAGGCGCCAATCAACACGCTCACCGGTTGGCACTTCGAACATCTCCATGCCGCGCTTGGCGGCGACCCGGTCCACCGCCGCGGCGGTGGGCATGCTCCGGGCGAAGCCCCGGGCGCTCCGCCCCTCGCCCCCGAAGTAGGGGATGAGGTGCAGGTTGTCCGCCAGCACGGCCAGCGAGTCCGACGGCGTCACGAAGAAGGCGTCGCGGCCGATTATCATGTTGCGGTCGCCTGGAACCGATGGTAATGTTCCCTTTTTTATGTGCGAGAAGGGAGCAGGCGAGCTGGTTCACATGATGTTAAGTGATATCTCGGCTTTTGATAAACCGGGCCCCGTCTACCTTATCAACAGACGAATCGCAGAGGTGTAACACTTCCACTACACGCCGGTCTTCTGTTAGGTCGTGGTATTTAAGTATTAACCTGCCCATTCGTGCAACAGCGAAGACTGTGGCGTGGGCCCAATACTGACACTTCATTATGGGAAAGATCCCGGACCGTTTTTATGGGAAAAGTTGGCAAACGAGCTGGCGTTTCGTCTGATGATAAGTAATGTCCTTCTACATCTATCTAGAGGGTGCAGATGTGTTGCTAATCTTTAAAAAACGTGCGCCCCCTTACCTCACTAGGCAGGCGAAACCCCGGTCTACTCTGAGGCCGGTGATTTCACCGGACGAGCCTGCCCATAAATTCCTTCAGTCAGCTTCATGTATATTTACCTGTATGTGTATTTTTGGAATGCTCTGCACTTGAAAGTCCATTGGCTGCTGCTGATTTATTTATATAGCGTTTAAAAATTTATATAGCGTTTGATGACTCCGTGGCGCAGTTGCCAAGGTATTGGCTTCGGCGTCGGGGGTCGTGGGTGCGATTCCCACACGGGACAACTATTTGTGTGACCCACAGACAGTTGTTTCGCATCTGGGTGTTTGTCCGCGTGAAATTTATGTTTGTAAAACGTCCTTACAAAACAGGTTAATATTATCCTAAAAAAGTAAGGGCATTGTTTTTTTTTTTTAAAGATTAAAAAAAAGAAACAGTTACTTGCCGGTTCCTCTCTTGACTGGTCAAATTTATTAAACCGGCGGCAGTCTTGACTTTCAATAAGACCTTAAAATAAGCCTTGGACTTTGAATGTTTGGGTCGTGTCAGAATCGACCCTCGACCCCCGCAGTACCTCACCATCGGCTATCGCTCACCGTCGCCGTCGAACGCCGCCCCGAAGTCGTAGCCGCCATTCCTGACGGCGTCCACGAGGTCCGCCGCATACGTGAGGTTGGGGTCCGGATGGCCCCCGCCGAAATCCTCCAGCGGCACCGTCCTCCTCACACTGCCGGCCCCCGCGCCCAGCTCGCCCACGAACACCCTCTCCACGTAGGGTCCGGTCACTGTGCGAAATAGAGTTGGGCAAAATTTCCTTACTTCCTTACTAATCATTACTAATATTATAAAGGCGAAAGTTTGTATGTATGGATGGATGGATGTTTGTTACTCTTTCACGCAAATACTACTGAATGGATTTTAATGAAACTTTACCATAATATAGCTTATATTTCAGAATAACACAGGCTATAATTTATATATATATTGCACGGTGGTAGGGCCACGCAGCAGCCTCGGCTGTTGCACGAATTGGCAGGCTCGTCCGGGTAAGTACCACGACCTCACAGAAGACGGGCGTCAAGTGGAAGTATAATACTTTCGCGTTTCGTCTGGTGAGTGAGGTGGCCGGAGCCCAATTTTCAAAAGGTTGTCAACGCACCTGCAACCCTCGGGTGTAGCAGATGTCCATGGGCGGTGGTATTCACTTAACATCAGGTGAACCGCCCGCTCGCTTGGCAACTTTTCACATAAAAAAAATGTATAACAGCCTATACAACGCAGACGTAGTCGCGGGCAGCAGCTAGTATTGGCAGTCTCTACCAATCAACCCGGGGCGTGAGGAGGAATCGTGGTAGTTGCAATAAATGAAATTGCAATATGAATTTGTAAATGAAACAAATAGATATATGGATTACACATCATATAAGCTCACGAATATAAAAGATTTACGTAACACACCATAGGGATGCCGAAAAATATCGAATATCGATAAATCTATATATCGATATTTTTTAAAAATATATCAATATTTGTGGCCGATATACTTTGATCCGATATATCGATATAGAAAATTGAATATCGAAATAATATCAAAAACTATATTTTTAGTCAAATCTAATTCAGCTGAATAGTAACTGATTCAAAGCCGTAAAAGTTAATAATTAACGGAAACAAAAAGTCGCGGATGCAGTGTTGTATTTTGTACTAAATTATGGTATTGAAAATACAATTTCATGCTTCGTACTACTATATATCTACTATTATATTGTACTATTATACTATCCATGTCTAAGGTACAACATGGTATAGAGGTGTTATAAATCATTAATATTAAACAACATGTTAAGCTAATTCATAAACAGCATGAACAAATCTTCAATAATTAAATATCACATAATATACCGTCATAAAAATGATTATCATTTAACCACGTAAGTAACTTTTTTAAATTATCGTTCGGCATTTTCATGTCAATCAAACAACTATTACTAAATTCTGCTGATCTAGACCTGTGGATTTCTTTTGACCCATTATTAACTTCGTTTTAAACAATTTGTTTACAAAGTTCCCGGATGTACATCCGGAAAAGCATCCAGTTCCGGATCCGATACGGATGAAATTAACATGGGCGAGAAAGCAATCCAATGCAGAAATTATTTTCGAAACCGTTCCATAATTGACAGAGTTTTGCGGTTAAAATGAATAAAAAATGCCAACGAATTGAAGTTTTGAAGTCGGTAGAAAAGGTTTTATTTTACTTCTCGCTCGGCGTTTATCGACACTCGATAATTGTGATAATTATAAAATGTACGCAATTTTGTGACATCTATTATTTAGCGTTGGAGGTTTTCTATGGTTCGATTACAATGTAGGTGTTGATTGGTACGTGCCAAACGTGCCAAACGAGAGCGAGTACAGGGCTATAGAGTTAGCTAACCTTGTCAAATTGCATCTGACTTTTGTTTTTTCAATAATTACGCCGTAAATTGTGAGAAGCTTAGAAATTAAATTTTTCATAGCGCTAATCTCTGCACTTAAGGTCAAACATTAAAATTTGTAGACAAAATACGAAAAAATTGTCGTCGCTGTGGAAATAGAACCGACGTCTTCGGTATTCGCGGCCTGAAGCTTTACCCACTAAGCTAAACGGCTTATTGCCACACTGGCGAAAATTGTGTCTTATGGGTTTACGGCATTTTAAACAATTCTTGGCGCATCTATTTTTATATTTTCTAATATTTGTCGCCATTGCTATATAAAATTTGATTCGCGGAGCGGTGAAAAAACTTTTCGTCCTTTTTAGGGTTCTGTACCCAACGGGTAAAACGGGACTCTATTACAAGCACTCCGCTGTCTATCCATCCGTCTGTCTCATGCATCTTGATAGTTAGTTGAAATTTTCACAGATGATGTATTTCTGTTGCCGCTTCAACAACAAATACAAAGAAACAGAATTAAAAATATTTAAGTGGGGCTCCCATACAACAGACATGATTTTTTTTTGCCATTTTCATAAAAAATGGCACATAACTCTTCGTGCGCAAGTCCATCTCAAACCAAATTTTAATGTTGGGATGTAATTGTATTTTAAATAACTAGTTGTAAGAGCAGAGATTAGCACTATAAAAAAATTAATTTCCTAAAACCTCTTAGATTTGACACAAAAACGATATTATGGGAAAATCTTAAAAACACCACACTATTTTACTTCTTTTTTTCTTCATCCTTATATATTTTGTAATTTAGAGTATTAGTGTATCTAGTCTTACACACCTACCTATCATAACATCATAATTTATTTCTAATCATTTGTCAGGTTTGGGAATCATTTGTCTTCCAGGGTGCTGGAAGAAAATTTTCTTAGGGTTAAGCTCGCTTTGTTCATTCTTTTTTGTAACCTTGTTTTCACTTATACTCTGTGTACAATAAAGAATAAAGAAAGAAAACGTACCTCCACTCATAGAATCGATGAGCACTTTGAACGGCTTCCTCTTCTCCGAGCCTTGGATGAGCTCCTTGATCCTCTCAAAGTCGAAGATCTCCTTCATGTAGTTGACATAGTCGTTCACTGGATCTATCACCTCCACGACGAATTGGCGGCCTTCAACCTGGCAAATTTTAATATGTGCGATGCAGTGCTACCAACTGTTCAAAAATACTCCTAAAGCGATTCAAAATCCCGCTAAAATCCACTAAATTCAACTCCAACCAAAACTACCTTAATAACAATTATTTAGGATGTTTTTCTTTGAATTTATATCCTAAAAAGTTTCATTGTAAATTTTTTCTTTACGTTAGATCGACTAGTGTTGCCAACCGTATTACAATATATAAAATTGTGCTATATTTCGGGTCTGCGGGCCGTGCATAAAAACGTATAGTAAGATGCAATATTTAAAATGTAACCATTTTTTATTAAACCGATTTCAAATATCTCGTTCTGCATTCGTTTAATAATTGATTTCACTAAGTATCTCCGGAACCCAAGGTCCAATACCAACGAAATTAATATGGTACCACATGGGAAGCAGCAGCTTTCATATAAAAAAATAATTATCAAGATCACTTCACTCAGTCCAAAGTTCTGAGGTAACAAACATAAATAAAATACAGTCGAGAAGAAGAGAACTTCCTCCTTTGGAAGACGGTTAAAAAACACCTATATCTTCAATTTACCCATTTTTTTGAAGTATGCCATATATTTTTAAAGCTTATTTCAAAAAATGCTCTAATCAAACGTAGCTATTTTGGCGACCCTGGTTATGACACACAACATTTCCTCATATTTTTATTTATTAAGAAAGGAGAAATACAGGAAAATGTTAGTACAGATTGTACAAGATTTCTCGTGGAGGATATTACCGAACTCTGGTAGCCGTGATGTTAATCGAAACAGTCCATTAGTGAAAGGATATCAAAAAAGGGTAAAACAATCTATACAGATAAATAAAATTGGAGTGGCTGTTTGTAATATTAAAAAAACCGCTTACACGATACACGATACATATACCAAAATAACATTTTTTACAATTTTTGTCTGTCCTGTCTGTTTGTTCCGGCTTGACCGATTTGGACAGGACTTTCATCATTCTTTATTATTTGCCTTTTATTTGTAATTAGTCTACTTAACTTTCTTAAACTTAATATAAGGCCAAGTCAAACAACAAGGCACTTATTTTGCAAGACATCTTTTCTACTAAACTTTAAAGTATAAATACTTCGAATTCACGCAAGCCCGCCGTGAGGTGCTTCCCTTACGGTTTCTCAAACACTGATCATCGTAGAAGTCACCTAATCAGCTGTCAAATGGCTTTTCAACTGTTATTTGAGTTGCCAAAATCTTAGATTTGACCATTGTGATCATTAAGAAGACCGTGATCAATTCAGAGAGGATTAACAATCCTTTTGGCAACTCAAATAACATTTGAAAAGCCATTTGACAGCTGATTAGGTTGACTTCTACGATGATTAGTGTTGCAGAAACCGGGCGTTAGAGCTGGCAAATTCACGCGACAGTAGAGGACGCTGGGGTGCATCTCGCACCAATCCCGAACTCGAGCGCCGCTCTCACCGTGAAGGTCTGCACTCCGATCTTGTCCACGGCGCACACCAGGTTGGGCACGATCTTGTACTGCTTTATGGTGGTGGTGAGGGAGTATATTTCGTCGGTGGTGGCGTCAGGCGCCGGGCCACCGTTCGCACAGTTGAACTTGACGCCGAAATCGTTGTCCGCGCCGCCCGGGTTGTGCGAGGCGGTCAGGACGATCCCACCTAACCATAGACACACATAGATAAGAGTTTTTTTTATGCGAAAACGTGGCAAGCGAGCTGGCGGTTCACCGGATGTTAAGTGATAACCGCCGCCCACGGACACTTGCAACACCGGTTGCAGATGTGTTGCCACCTATCAATAATGCGGGCTCCGGCTACCTCACTCACCAGACGAAAAGCAGAAGTGTAACACTTCTACTTTACGCCGGTCTTCTGTGAGGTCGTGGTACTAACCCGGACGGACCTGCCCATTCGTGCAACAGCCAACACTGTTGCGTGGTTCTACCACAAGTACGAGTGGCGTCTAACATCCGGAATATCAAGGTATCGGTAAAAATATCCGTCCCCCCACCCCATACGTGTCTAACAGCACGCGTTTTGGTAAACATCCGAACTTACAGAGCCGTGATAGCTCAGTGTCCGGGCACTCTCCTTTAATTTAATATACTTGAGTAATCCGAGTACGATCCCCGGTGCGAGCACCAATGAAATTGTTAATTTTAAGTGATGTCTTATCACGTGCTCAGCGGTGAAGGAAAACGTCATGGGAAACCTGCATGTTTCGAAATAATAAAGAAAATATTTCGGAAATATGTGAAGTCCACCAATCTATTCCCTAATACCTTCTTTATAGAGGAGGCCTTTGCCCAGCAGTGGGATATGTATAGGTTGTTACTTTACTTTACTTTTACTCCTAATGCTAGCCTCGTGAACATCTGAATAACAATATCTTACGAGCCCGCGTCATTGATCCGTAACGATATACGCGGAAGTATGTTAGTTTCAACTGATCTTGTCAAACAAAGTTCAATAATTTTATCGGTGGTAGAGCCACGCAGCAGCCTCGGCTGTTGCACGAATGGGCAGGCTCGTCTGGGTAAGTACCACGACCTCACTGAAGACCGGCGTAAAGTGGAAGTATGACAAATACTTCTGTCGTCGTCTAGTGAGTGAGGTAGCCGGAGCCCAATTTCCATAAAGGTTGTCAACGCATCTGTAACCCTCGGGTGTAGCAGATGTCCATGGGCGGCGGTATTCACTTATCATCAGGTGAACCGCCTGCTCGTTTGGCAACTTTTCACATAAAAAAAGAAAAATAAATAAACCATAACCGTGACTAATCAAAAGCTGTAGTTGCCATCCGTCCAAATATATCGTTATTTTGTCATCATCATCATCCTCCTGCCCTTATCCCACCTAGGTGAGGTCGGCACAACATGTGAATCATGTTGTAAGTGGCTTTGGCTATTTTTACGACCAGCCGCCGCCTGCCGTCAGGGTTGACGGCAGGCGGCGGCTGGTCGTAAAAATTGGGAAATAAGCACCCAGATCCGGAACAATTATTCGTGGGTCACACAAAAACTTGTTCCGAGTGGGAATCGAACCCACGACTCACGACGCCGAAGTCGATAGCTTAACAACAGCGCCACTGAGATCCAATGTATCGTTATTTAAACTGTGCATTCGAAGCTGGGATGAGGGTAGGAATAAAAAGTTACGCCCTCAGAAAAATATAATATGCTAAATACCTACTTCTGTCGCTAATTCCGACTCAACTATGTTAAATATTTACATCGCACTGTTTATCATATAAATGGGAACCATACATTGTGGTTTTAACCACAGTGTTGCGGTATTATTTAAAATAAACATTGGATAAGATACTTCCGAAATGTAATAACAAATATTGAAATATTATTATATTCAAAAATTTAATTTAAGCTTTGAGAATAAAATCTCATCATGACTACTTTTTTTTTAAAACCAAAAACGTGACTCAGCTAAACGGCTTGATTGTCCGTCTCGAGAGATAACGATGACTTGATGCGAGGTCTTTTTTATCGTAGCATAACCGAAAATTGTAATTTATGATACGAAAAATGATGGATCATACCTGACGAAACAAATGAAGTATTAGATACCTGTACTCAAATACATAGATAAGGTCCTGACCTAATAGCCGTTTTATACAGGAAAAAATAAAGTAATTGAGTAAAATAACAGCCTATACATATTTGTCCATTCACTGGACTAAGGCCTACTCTGTTCAGACCACATGACCCACCACCACAGATTGACTATATCTTGGAAATATTTTTTATTTTATTATTATTTTGCAAATATATGCTTTCCTCACGATGTTTCCCTTCATTGCTGAGCACATGATCAGTGAAGCCTAAGTGCAACTGACAATTTCATTGGTACCACCATCAGGATTTGAACTCTGGTTACTCAAGTATATTCAAAAACAAAGTTACAACAATTTCACATGCAAATATGTATTGGCTTTTTCAATTAGGTTGATATTTATTTTATTATTGATCATATTTATTTTCATTCAGTGCACCACAGTTTCCATTCATGAACGGGGTTGACTGGTAGAGGATGCAAATAGGCATTCAGTCCATCCTTTATAATCCCTATTTATGGTGTTTGTCATAATACTAATAACAATTACTCAATGCCTTTGAAGTGGGTCTTTAACAAGAATAAAAAATAAATAAATGAGTGTCTTTTTATAATTTAGCCGATATGAACCAAAATTTTGCATTTGATGAATAATAAAGATTTGTGACATGTTAGTAAGACATCATTTTGTATGTCGCTTATTCCTTGTTTTACTTACCCAGTGTTTTATATTTTCTTATTAGGTGGGATACAGCTGGTGTTGAAAGGATTCCGTTTTGGCCAACCAATAGCTTGGCAACCTTGCAAATTACAATATTTTATGAGTATAGACACATAAATTCTATTATATACAAGCATAATAATTTTTCTAATTTAAATAATAACTGAATGAAAACTTTTCAGTTGAAATATGTTTTATACTGGGAAAAAATTAAAAATTTTATTATGTAAGTTGGATTGGATATTTAACAATTTCAATAAAATGAACTTAAGTTACAGTTGTACATGTCACACTGCTGGGCAAAGGTCGCCTCCGTATAGAGGGTATAGTGGCCACAATCCACCACACGGCACAGATTGGCAGAAATAGGATTTAATATATTTATTATTATTATTAATTTCAACCATTATAACTATCTTTATAGGTTACCCTAATATGATAGTGTTATAGTAATTTCATTAAAATATGAAGTAAGTTATGAAGTGGTAATTATTTTCTTTATATGTATTAGAATGCCAAAGATCTCTTGATTCACTTGATATTATGTGATGACCAGTGCCCATTGATATATGCAATGTCCATAGGGTTGCAGATGTATTGTCATATTTTAATAAAGTGGGCTCCAGTCACCTCACTCACCAGACAAAACGCAGAAGTATAACACTTCCACTTCAAACTAACTTCTAATTTTGGTTATATTAAATTTCCAATTAAAAATATATGTCTCTATTCTAGACCTTATTAATTAATTATTACTAGTTTAATCAAGAATTATATGACTACAATGAATGAAAATGTGTGAAAAATATATACAATCATTTTTTAATTTATTTCAATTTAACAAGCACAAAAAATTTTACAATGCAATTTATTATTTTTACTCACCCCATTTGCAGCGCACATCTTTATAATTTTGTCAACCACCTCTTTTACTAAATATCTGCCATCACCGCCGATAACCAAGGTACTTCCAAATAGTGAACTCTTATTCGCATTTAAAATGCTTTGAATAAAGTTCTCCGTATAATTTTCCTGGACAAAAACCTTCACCTTTTTTCTCAAACCACTCGTACCCGGCTTTTGGCCTTCGTAAGGATTTGTGTTTACGGTAACTACGTTTAACATTTTTTATAAATTAAAAGATCCTCTAGACAGTAATAGTAAGTTATCTGTACGCTGTCCGTAGTTATTATAATACGATATCACGGGTCGCGGGGGTCAATTTACGCAATAACTAACTTGGAACAAAATGATAAAGTTATGTCGTACAACTGTCAACAGTATCAACGCAATGTCAAACAAGGTCGAGAGAAAACGTTTCGTTGTAAGCAAGTTTCTTAAAATTATTTAAATGTATAATCGATAATTTTAGTTTCCATTTGCTTTTTATTTATAATATAATTTATATTTACTGCAGTTTTGTCAGAAATAAGGTAAAATATTATTAGCTCCAAGGTAAATCCTGTTATGAATTTTCTTTTCTTTTATGGAAAAGGAGGAAAAAGAACAAACTGATGGTATGTGATCGCCGCTGTACATGTTCACAGGTCAATTTCACAGTTTTTACATCAAAGAAATCACAACTACCTTGTTCGCCTTTGAGCTAGGAATAGGCTCTTTCCTTGAAGTACGACCTTCAGTTGGTCCAGAAATGCAGCTGGCGACGACTGGTGTTGTAATATCAACCATGAAGGTTGTATCGATGTATCACATTATGCTTCAGTATGTGGGTATCACATCACCCTGTTCCTTCTTTAAACAAGGCCAGAACGCAGCCTTATGTGTTACCAGCGTTCATTTGTTTAGCGCCAGAAGAAGCATTGTCATGTCAACAACGACTTTAACAATCCGATGAGTAAGAAAACTGTTGATCCATTATATTTCTAAGGAAGCCTGTACGAATTTATCTTGAAAAGAAGTGCTTTGTGCCAAACCCGATCGAAGGCTTTCGCTACATCTAAATTAACCTCCGAGGCCACACTTAGTCTCAAATGCCTGCCTGAGTTAGGTAGGTACGGTAGAAGATCGCGAGGTGAGGGACCTCAACTAAAACCATATTGACTAAAGTGTTAGTGTAGTTATAATAATAAAATAATAAAATATCTTTATTCACATAGACGCTTGCGCGTTCTTATGAAGCGTCAAAATTTTACAAGAAATGAACACGTTCGTAAGTTACCACCGGTTCGGAAAGCAGTTTCTGTTGAGAAGAAACCGGCAAGAAACTCAACAGTTGCTCTTTTTAAAAAAAATCAGTTTACAATATAATAGTACATGTACAATAGTCTTGTTTTAGCCTACGTGAGTATCAACAGTATTAACCCCACACATTGGCGTCGTCAAGATATTCAGCAATAGAATAATAGGCTTTAGCCATAAGTTTACTTTTAATTTTTCGTTTAAATTCATCAAGTGGCAGACTTAATATCGACTGTGGGATTTTATTATACATGCGCACACCTTGCCCCATGAACGACCTGTTTACTTTTTGTAAACGAAACAATGGCGTAGTTAGTTTGTCCTTATTTCTAGTATTTAGTTTATGTCTGTCACTATTCTTTAGATAACTATTAATATTATTTTTAACATACAAAATATTACAATAAATATATTGAGACGCAACAGTGAGTATATTAATCTCTTTAAAAAGGTCTCTGAGTGTATTCCGAGCTCCGATGTTATAGATTGCTATAGTTGATTAGTGAATCGGCTGGTAAACCTAAAGAGCAGTTAATAATACACTCAATTATTTTTGAGAAGAAAGAGGTGAGAACAATAGGCCTATAGTTATCCGTACAACTATTGTATTGTCCTCACCTTTTTCCGAGCATTTATCCTTTTAGGGTTACGCACCCACCAGCGTAACACTAGGTGTCACCAGGCTGTATTTCATGAACCGTCATAGTTAGACAGTTGAAATTTTCAATTTTTCAAAAAAAACGGTAATTATTTAGGGCTTCAATGGGAACGAAGCTGCGGGTAAAAGCTTGTTTTATATGTAGATAAGTTGAAAAAATGTCCAGCGATAAGTAGTAATTAACAATTCAAAAATCGATCGCGACTAAAGACTAAAAACTAAAAATCGGTAAGTTTTCATACTGCCCACGCTCACTCTCAGACACGTCCAGCAGTGAACCGCGCAGACAAAACATTCTTTCTTTGAAAGATTGGTGACCGGATCTCGAAAGTCTGCACGGCCGTATCGCGGTAAATGTGAATACGTTCATACATATTGTATAGATTATTCATTATTTTGTCTGTCACGGCACGTGTTCGACATGCCCGTTTGCTGTAGATATAAACAGACCTTTATTGTTAGAGCCCATACACATATTATGAATTGTTCAAAATACCTAACATAATGTTTGGAATTGCCAAAATATTTTAATATGAGCGCCTATCATTTACAAAAGTATATGAAATACATTTATGTACTTCGTTTTCTTGGCATTTTTCTCTTAACATCTAATAGCCAGAATGGTATGTAAATTATTAAATTATTTATTTTTATTTTCCTCACGTTCAGGAATCGTGACTGGCTTCAATAATTAATTTATTGTAATTAATTATGAAGTTCATGAAGACTTGGTAGATTTGCATTTAGTTTTTTTTTAAGTAAATCTAAATATATTTTAAGTCTACTACTATGGAATAAAGTTTGGGTGGGGCCTTGTGCGCTAGACTTTTCATATCTTGTTAAAATTGTTTGCATTAATTCTTTCCAAAGTCTGCCCACGACCTTGCAAAGTTTGGTGAGCTTCGTTAAAGGTAAACCTTCAGGAAAATTACCATCTCTCTAAGCGGCATTGTGCAAATCAAGTGAATGCACACATGAGCGATATATAAATAAAATATATAAATATATAAATAAAAACTAAAACACTCACGCCCCGTTTCTGAAACACTGATCATCGTAGAAGTCAACTAATCAGCCAAATGGCTTTTCAAATATCATTTGAGTTGCCAAAAGGATGGTTAAACTCTCTGAATTGACGAGAACTATCTTCTTAACGATCGAAATGATCATCATCGTTGATAAAATATGTAGAACTAATTATTATACAATTTTATTTTTTATGAGTATTATGTTTTCATTTCTGTCGGCAATCCCCATGAGACTGTCTATGTTTTTTTTTATGTGAAAAAATGTCAAACAAGCTGGCGGTTCACCTGATGTTAAGTGAGAACCGCCGCCCATTGATATTTGGAACAGCAATGGGGTTGCAGATGGCAGACGCGTTACCACCTTTTAATAAAGTGGTACCTCGGCTACCTCACTCACCTATCAAAACGCAGAAGTATTCACATAGTTCCACTTCACGCAGGCCTTCCGTGTGGTGGTGGTTACCTGGACGGACGATATGCGTACAACAGCGAAGATTGTTGGGTATCTCTACCACAGTAAAATGTAAAAATATATGGCCAAAGATTTTTTTTTCTAGGAGGCTTACTTAGAAATTGCCTTTATATTATAACTCCAGAAATAATATAAATGGAAACCGCGGGGCGACTACCATTATTCATAATCCAAATCATTAGACGATGCGCCTCTATGAACATTAACTGATCATGGTCGAAAAACTCAACTACAAAGACTTCTCTTTCAGCATAACTGCGTATTTAAACTTACGTTTTTATTCAGTAACTCTTTAATAAGACAATGTATACGTTACAAGAAAGAAGTTGCTAGATTTAAAAAAAAATGTAAAGGAACATTTGTGTGTTAATGGTTGTGCTTCTCTTGTGTGTTTAAATGGCTTCTCTTTTCCAAACCGGTTGTAATATTGTGGCAATCAATAAGTGAGTTTAGGACGTGACAAGAGTAGCTCAATGTCCGGGCGCTCGCCTTTAATTCAATATACTCGAGCATCCTGAGTTCGATCCCCGATTGATAAATTTGTTAAAGTTATTGTTAATTATAAGTGCTGAATTATCACGTGCTCAGCGGTGAAGGAAAACATCGTGAGGAAATCTGCATATTTTCGAAAAAATAATCGAAGATATGTTAAGCCCGCCTATCCGCAGTGGGGATTTTGCCCCGATACTCTGTGTACCGAGGAGGCCTTTGCCCAGCAGTGGGACATTTATAGGCTGACTTTACTTTTTTTAAGTGAGTTCAACGCTTCTGTACTGAAAATGATTTCAAATTCAAAGATATTACCTTGCGTAGGAGGTAGGTGTATAAAGTTTTCTTCTCTGTTTATTTCGTCATTGTTTATAGAATATTCATAGTATATATAATAATATAATGTATAATTGACATTATTATCTACTACTCACACTCCTTATTTACGTTTATATCTTTGAACTGTATCAACTCAAAATTATACAGATAAAAGATAACGCTTATAAGTAATTTATATTTGTCAAGTGATTTCATACATACAAAAGTGTGAAGTAAATTATGATATCAAGTTATTTAAATCAGTGTAGGAATATTTTTGGTAAACTTGTTTAGTCAACTGTCGTCATGAATTTCGAGTGAAAGATGAAAAAAATAGACGTCTTATTGGCTGTCTATATCATAACAGATGAAGAGACGTTACGAAAGAAACGTACTGTTGATCTGCAAGGAAATTTAAATTAAATTAAAAAAATTCTCGGCAAATCGGAACATAAAATTACAGAGTCGCTTGGCCAAAAAACCGGTATGTGATCAACTGCTTGCCCAAACAAAGTAGGGGAAGTAAAAGTGCTCCTTTTCCACATTTTGTCTCCCCGTCCTTATAACTATCTTAGCGACTGAAAATTGGCAATTTAGCAAAATATGATCAAAATAATATAATTCAATACACTCGAGCAAACCGACTTCATTCCCTTATTACTTGCTTGGCGGGGAAGGAAAGCATTGTGAGGAAACCAGCATATTCTTGAAATAATAATAAAAATATGTAAAAACATAATACCGTTTGTACAGAGGAGGCATTTGCCCTGCAGTCAGACATACATAGGCTGCCTCTTAACTTTGTTTAAAAGTGCCGAATTATCATGAAAATCTGAAAGAAAACCCTCCTTTTTAGAATTTTTAGTCTTTCTTTTTTAAATTATTATCTGGAAACCCTAGCGTCCTCACGGCAATGTCGTCCTTCACAACGATAACACTCCCACATTCCAATATTGAATGCATATTACAAGAACATCCCTGTTTCAAGTCCTCGAGTGAAACTAACGACGGACGCCAAACAGTTTCGCCTTGCCTTTTTTTTGTTACCGAGAATAAATGGTGAGCGTAGGGGATGGCCGTGAATGCGTTCCACGAAGCTATGGAAAAGATCCCTATCGAATGCTGAATTCAATGGTTCACATATTGGTTCACCAGACGAAACGCATAAATAAAACACTTTCACTTCGTCTTCTGTGACGTCATGCTCTACCACATACCAGAGACTGCGGCTCTACCACATTTTGACTGTTCAAAAATATATCGCGAAATTAGAGTCAGCCACAAGTCAAATGAAGGTTAGTGGCTGAGGAATTGGAGACGAATAACGAAACAATACAGCTAATAAAAACACAGTACATAAAATACATTAAAATTTTCGTCGGTGTGAAAACAAGCCGTATAGCTCAGTGATTAGAGCGTCTGGTACGTATCTAAGAGAACGCAGCAGTGAAAAACTATTCGTCCATTTTTCTATACATTTTTTTTTTCGTCACAAGTGCAGAGAATTACGCTATCAAAATTGATATCCTAAAAATATACCGAGATAAATCCATGAATGAATGAATGACTGAATATTATTTATTGCACACCAAAATGAAAAGAAGGCTTAAAGGTGGTAGGGCCACGCAGCAGCCTCGGCTGTTGCACGAATGCGTAGGCCCGTCCGGGTAAGAACCACGACCTCACAGAAGACCAGCGTAATGTGGAAGTATGACAAATACTTTCGCGTTTCGTCTTGTAGTGAGGTCGCCGGAACCCAATTTTCAAAAGGTTGTCAACGCATCTGTAACCCTCGGGTGTAGCAGATGTCCATGGGCGGCGGTATTCACTTAACATCAGGTGAACCGTCTGCTCGTTTGGCAACTTTTCACATAAAAAAGGCGGCCTTATTACTAAAAGTAATTTCTTCCAGGCAACATTTCATAAATCCATACACATATTATAAATGCGAAAGTGTGTTTCACATCTCAATGGATAGTAAAAACTTCATGCTCGTTTGCATCATTGCGATGTCAGGTTACCTTACTTATCAGATTTATATACTCAGCGTTACCTACACGCTATCCTCGCCGATTTACGTGAGGCCTAGGTACTTCCGCGGGTGAATTGGCTCATTAATGCTAAAACAGTGCGTCTCTTTCGATATTATGGTCAATCTATAAGTCTATAACTATAACTCTGAACGTAAGATTTACTGCAATATTCTATCACTAGCGCGTGTACAACCGGTAAACATGTTTTAGATCAAAACCAAAGAATACATTGACGATTGATAGAATGGCACTAGATTAAATTGGACGATACCATCGCGTTCGCGAGGCGCCTCAATTTTGACAGTTCAGTTCAGTCGCCGTTGCGAGTGGCCGGTTAACTAGATACCTGTTAGTTATTGTTGTTTCGGTTACCTTTAAATATTATTTGAAAGTGACGAATAGACATCCGTAAAGTAAAATCATCGTGAGTATGACGAACCTTAATCCATGTTTATGTTACGTTGTATGTTGTGTATGTTATGATGTATTTATTAATGTTAAAATGCCATTTTAAATTCATTTTTATCCTACGTAAGCGATTAAAGAAATGTAAAAAAACTGTTGCATCTTGGCTTCGAAAGGATTTTTTTAAACTAGAGATTTCATGATATGGTTAGATGTATTATAGTAGTTTTTAATGCACTTTACTATGCATTATTTGAACTAATTATGTAACTAATTGGATTGCTAGTCATGAGAACGAAAAATTTAATTTAATATGCAACTTTTGCACATATCTAACTATGTATCGGAATATATGAACATAGTAATCGACATATTTCGCAAAACGTTGTTGTTATTATTTGGTACTTAATTAAATTCTAATTTCGAAAGACACGATTTATTTGAATCCGTCGAATATTTTTTCTTTCTAACAAAAACAGTGCTCTGTTAGGCTTACAGCGATTTCCGAAAATGTTTTTCTATTCAAAAACCGGCCAGAAGCGTACCGGTTATAGGTAGGTATGTATTTACTTAATTCGCATAATTATACTTGGCAGTAGTACGACTATTTTTATACATTCAATAATATTTTTAATTTGAATACATTGTACAGTGTATTGTACATTTACGGTGGTAGGGCCACGCAGCAGCCTCGGCTGTTGCACGAATGGGCAGGCCCGTCCGGGTAAGTACTTGGCAGTCGTATCGTCACAGAAGACCAGCGTAAATTTTGGAAGTATGACAAATACTTTCGCGTTTCGTCTGGTGAGTGAGGTGGCCGGAGCCCAATTTTCAAAAGGTTGTCAACACATCTGTAAGCCTCGGGTGTAGCAGATGTCCATGGGCGGCGGTATTCACTTACCATCAGGTGAACCGTCTGCTCGTTTGGCAACTTTTCACATAAAAAAAAAAAAAAAAAAAAAAAAAAACAGTATGTTAACATTTCCAATCTCGCAAGAATTAACAACGAATTTTCCAAAGAATCATTCGGATGCAGTTGTGGGTGACAAATTACAATGTTTTTGTTTCTTCTTATTAATAAAACTAGCGACCCGTACCGACTTCGCACGGGTGCAATGTATTATAGATATAAACCTTCCTCTATAATCACTCTATCTAGTAAAAAAACCGCATCAAGATCCGTTGCGTAGTTTTAAAGATCTAAGCATATATAAGGACAGACAGACAGACAGATATTCAATATTTTCATTAATTAATACATATTTATACATTTTGTAGATGCGAATATTACCTATTTTTAATAAAACGAATTTACGGATTTTATTACGTTTTTAGTTTTTTTTAATGAAGTTTAAGTCCCGGCGCGACATTTCGAATAAATACCTATTATATATAAATATATATTTTAACGAAATTAATTTTCATAAACCTTAAATTACTTTTATTAAAGGAAAAATGTATTAACGTAGTTTGTTTATTCCCTATGCGGTCCAAAACCGTTTATGATATCCGTATCGATGTGATGAAACTAAAATTTGTTCCGCATACGCACGTGAAGGTTTCTGGCCAATTTGTTTTTCTTTGTATCTTTGTCCTCTATCTACGTCTTCCTAAGGTGCCTCTCCAGCTAGTGAAGGTTAGCTACCGCTTGTTAAAGTATTAAGTAAGTATTTCTAATAGTAAATAAATATTTATTAGCATAGCGGACCGCGGAATAGCTCAGCTAACTATTGCCGTCAAGCCGACTTACGCCCGGTTTCTAAAACACTGATCATCGTAGAAGTCAACTAATCAGCTGTCAAATGGATTTTCAAATGTTATTTGAGTTGCCAAAAGGATTTTTAAACACTTTGAATTGATCATTCTGATCATTAAGAAGATTATTCTGAACAATTCAGCCAACGTCCGCCATTATCATTACGCCAACGGCAAAACGTATAAAAATATAGAAGATTAATCAAAAGTTCAAAGAAAAAAAAACATATATGTATATATAAACATATATATATATATATATATATATATATATATATATATATATATATGCTTGTCAATTATACCAATAATAAAATAAAATATAAATAACTTTAAATTAAGACATCGACTAATGTTACAACAAAAACCTAATTTGTAGCTAAACTAACTATGGCAGTTTAAATAAAATAAAAATAAAAATATAATTAAAAAATAATATGGCTAAAGCCTACTATTAGTTAGTAAATTTGACACCCGAGAGCGGTTTCGATGTGTGGTGTCGCGGGTCAAGGTCACCTTCAAACGTGCACACAACTTCCAAAAAGATAACAATTATTTCACACCTCTAGAATGATAAAGATGTACTCAATATTGATTATTGTAACGGATGTTGTTAACCTTTGACTCCGATTACCAATGACTAAAAACAAAGTTAGTATTTAAGTGTTAAATTTTATTATTTCATATATAAGCCATATCGAAAGCATTATCGATGGATAAATTGCATAATTTATAAATAAATCTCTTATAAAAACATTGATTAATCGTGTACCTACACGATATTCAAATTTATACATCCGGAAATGATAGTATAGAATAAATAAATATTTTTAAACCGTAAGTTATTTTATAAGTCGCTCAGAAGCTAATAGGTTCAGACCCATTTTTTTTTCGGTCATATCAACAGTTTTCACATTATAATCGGGAAAAATTTAAAATGTTAATAATGTGTTTCATGTGATTTTCCATCGCATCTTCAAGGACTTCATATGAAAGAAAGAACATTCATATGGAATTTTATGACTAGGTATCTAATATCAGAGCAGGATAATGCTATGTGTAGATTGCGTGTGGACGCACGGTGGATAATCTCTTTCCGTTGTGAGAGAGAGAGAGACTTATAACAAGAGCATTTAAAGATGTTAGTTTGACATAACAACTTTTACAGTTTCTATTACTCAACCCGTATACGTCGCCTACCTACCTATATATTTTATCATATAATCTATACTATTCTTCTAAATTAATTCTAATAGTTTTGATTTTTCTCATCTCTCGTTTTATGCACTCCACCACGGTGGGTAATTGCTTAAAAATCCGCTGTAAGCTAACAAAATGGGTCGGGTTAGCTCGAAACAATGTATCAGACTCGATGACACCGCGTCATTTATTTCCTTTCCGATGCATTGAAATACGTAAACATACGCGTTGCGTAAAAACTTGACCAGTAGTTTGTTAACCTTATTGCGCAAAATGTTTCGCGTGTGCGCGTTAGAAACTAGGTGAACGATTCATTTAAAATAGCGCTCGACGTGATGCTTTCACCGGCTCTATTATAAGTCCGTAAATTATAAGGCGCTGGTACCAAAATCAAACAGGCGCTTGAGCAGTCTGTTTACAATGACAATGCTTCGAATATTTTTGATTTTTAATGACTGCCTTTTTTATGTCAAAAGTTGCCAAGCGAGCAGACGGTTCACCTGATGTTAAGTGAATACCGTCGCCCATGAACATCTGCTACGCCCCAGGGGTTCCAGATGCGCTGACAACCTTTTGAAAATTGGGCTCCGGCCACCTCACTCACCAGACGAAACGTGAAAATATTATACTTCCACTTTACGCCGGTCTTCTGTGAGGTCGTGGATCCCTGGACGGACTGCCGAGGCTGCTGCGTGGCCCTACCTAGTGCCTAGTGCTTACTGCCTAGCAAATTACTGCAAGTTATTATTATTCACGACTCTAAAAAAATAAATATGAATGATATAAATGATAGATTCGCCTGAATTGCGCGAGTGTCACTCATGTGGCATAATTAAAAGATATGATAAGACATAAATAAAAAGAAAATATCATTTTTGGCGCCAAAACGTATAATGTATATGCCAAGACAATAATAAAAAAAATTTAAAACGTAGTATGTTTTCATTTTTTTTTATTATTGTCTTGTTTAGCCAATAGCGCGATAACAATTTATCTGCCACGGAATTAATTGTTCTTATTATTCTATTGTTTACAAATGCGACGTTACAGTGTAAGTAATTGTAGTTGAATTACAGTGTAAGATTTTTTGTTCCTATGAAACATATTTCCAGTGGTCGTCTAGTAATAATCTTTTCCAACCTCTACTAATGTTTTTTTTTCCAACTCGTTTCGTATTCAAGAAAAATCCTAACTAATATTTATATTTTTATTAAAATATTTTAAGACACATTTTCACACAACGTTCCCTAATACCAAACTAAGCAGCGCTTGTACTATGGGTACTAGAAAACTGATTAACATACTTAGATATACTTTCCTTTTGTAAATAAATACACATTATACATGTATATACACCCAGGCACTGGAAAAACACTGTACTTAAATCTGGAATCTATCGAACCCACTAGAGACCCTCTGGCACTAGAGACAGGTTTACTACCCACTACGCCAATCAGGTCGTCGAATATTATTAATATAATAATATTAACATTATGATAAGTTACGAGTACATTTGTTTATAAAGTCGTTTTCTTTCATTAATATTTATACGAGTATTCGGAATAAATTTTATTTGTGTCGACTCAAATGTGATCAGCAATTTTACGTTGTTTTTACAATCTTTGCTTTCGCTTGGGAAATAAAAGATCAAAGACCTTTGCATGCAATCAAATGCAAACGTCTTTGACCTTTGCATGAGGTATATAACATGCAATCAATAAAACAATACGGAAACATTAAATAACTCCTTAGTACCCCTGAGAAGACAATGTTAAATGCGCAAAAAATATATTTATTTACTTAAATAATAATAATAATAATAAGTTTATTGAAGTCCAAAGTAACAATATACATTTGAATATAAGATTTACAGTTATCAAATTAAGAGAAACATTTGGACTGCAGCACTAGACAAAGCAAGATGTAACTTGTGGTCCTCACACTAGGCCTGGCCTGTATCGTGAGAACCCACTCTAGAATGTTTACATATTCGATTTACGGCAGTGCGTGGTGAAAGCAAAAAAAAAACAAAAAGTATGATTTAAAAACTAAAAAAAAATAAAAACTAACAAGAACATTAAACAGGTATATAACCCACACCTTTGGGGGCGTCCATAAATTTAATTTTCTGTCCCTACCTCCCCCCCTGGTGAGATGTCGTTAGATTTTATTCAACCCCCTCCCCCATCCCCCAATCTCACGTGAGATTTTTCCAAATATGGGTTTCTTACGTAAACGCGTTGGATTGTTATCGTTAAAAGAAAAAAAATTGCTTCGTGCTTTTATTTACGACTAGTTAAGACTAGTAATCAATATTGCTGAGAGTTTAATTATAAGTGTAATAAAAATTTAACAATAGAATACTTAAATCGTAACTATTGTGATTAAAAAAAGAATATCTACTCTAATTCAATCCATGGAGAATCATGCACGTTCTCAAGAAATTATTTTCTTTCGAACGAATTAGTGAATGATCTTAATCGTATTACGCGATTACGCTCAAGATTAAATCTTAAGCATGTACAATCTGGATTAAATGGACCAAAATAGTATAATTTTTTTTTGTTTCAATAAGAAAAAAGATTGCGTGATATTTGCCGAGACCCCCCCTCTCTGCAACGTAAGATTAGATGAGATTTGACTCGACCCCCTCCCCCCTTAAACACCGTCACGTCATTTATGGACGCCCCCATTATTCCTAAAATATTTCTTTTTAATCCATCCAAAGGTTGCCTCACAGAAGACCGGCGTAAAGTGAAAGTATGACAAATACTTTCGCGTTTCGTCTTTTGAGTGAGGTGGCCGAAGCGCATTTTCCAAAAAGGTTGTCATCGCATCTGCAAACCCTAGGGTGTAGCAGATGTCTATGGGCGGCGGTATTCACGTAACATCAGGTGAACCGTCTGCTCGTTTGGCAACTTTTCACATAAATAAAAAGAAAAGAAATGATAGTGGTCTGCCGTTGCGTGTATTACGAAAAAAGTACTGGATAGATTACAACAAAACTCTTCTAAGTTTTTCTGAGTTTTATGTCATAGACACTTGGCTCTATCTAAAAAGTATATTGTGACACCTTAATTTAATGTAAAGTAAAGTAAAGTAACAGCCTGTACATGTCCCACTGCTGGGCAAAGGCCTCCTCTATACAGAGGGTATCAGGGCATAGTCCACCACGCGGCCCCACTGCGGATTGGCGGACTTCACATATCTTCGAATTTTTTTTTTGTTATTATTTCGAAAATATGCAGGTTTCCTCACGATGTTTTCCTTCACCGCGGAGCACGTGATAAGTCAGCACTTAAAGTTAAAAACTTCATTGGTGCCGGCAACTCAGGTTGCTCGAGTATATTGAATTAAAGGCGAGCGCCCGGACACTGAGCTATCACGGCTATATAATCTATAATTTAATGTAAAGTTATTAAACTTTTAAAGAAGAACGATTTCTATAAACACTGCGTGTTCAGTTGTGTGTGTTGCCGCGAAGATGTGGGGCAAAAGGTGTAGCCGTTAATATAATAACATTAAGTTCCTGGAGGACCGTTTGCTCTGTTTTTTTTGGTAAATCATGTATTTTTGAAATAAATTAAATAAAAAATAAAGAACATGATCTGGTATAGAAAAAAAGTAAAAAAAACTAAGTGTGTAAATGATCGTGATACGAACCACGGCCGTCTGTTTTGGGGCCGCCCGATTACCGACCGAGCGATTATAACATTTTTTTTGCGGCGAAATTTACCGCCATATTCGAATGATATTTTTCATTCGCTGAAAACAGGGAAAAAAGGACATTTTATAAAAATGAAACCTAGCTAGATCGATTTTTCGCCCCCGAATCTACTATCTATTCATGAAAATCGCTATATACAAGAATTGCTCGTTTAAAGGATAAGATAAGTAAAGCAGACAAAGTGGCGGGTATCAGCTAGTTCCAAATATGTCGTGTATAGACGCTGTCTGTTTTATTATTACGTTCACTGATGTCAAGCTAAGCTGACACACTTAAGTAAGCGGCAGGATTGGAATGCCGAGGGCTTGATTCTCAGTGGTGTTACTGCTATGGGTCATAAATAAATGTCTAAGTAGCGATTACTAAGAATTTTAGTGTACAGTTTCAAATGTCGCTACTAGTATTTAATCTATTGTTTTATATTTTTAGAACTATGAAAATATGTAGAAAAAGTACGAAAAGATTGTAGCCGCTGTGGGAATCGAACCCACGTCTTCGGCATTCGCGGCCTGACGTTTAACGCCTTTTTATCTACATTGTTATTTAGCATTTGAAGCAATGCTTGGCGCATCCATTGTTATATCCTTTCCAGCATACAAACAATTTCGAATATCGTTTTACAACGATAATTTGAACGAAAGATGTTTGCTTTGCTTTGCTTGCCATTGATTTTTTTTAGAAATTTAAATTATTTATAGTGCTAATCTCTGCATTTAAGATTAAACATGAAAATATGTAGAAAAATTACGAAAAGAAATGAAAAGAAAATTGCCGCCACTGGGAATCGAACACACGTCTTCGGCATTCGCGGCCTGACGCTTTAGCCACTGAGCTAAACGGCTGATTGCCACACCGACGAAAATCTTAACGCCTATTAAGCTAAGAGATTAGCACTATAAATAATTTAAATTTCTTTTTAAAAGTATGTTTAGTTATACATATATGTTTAGAACGCATTGAAAAGCATTGTAGCTCGTAGTCGGGGATCCTTTTTAAGATTCAAAGTCAAAGTCAAAGTTTATTTATTCAATGTAGGCTCATTAAAAGAATTAGAAAATTATAATTAATTGAATTAATAATTATGCTTTTCGTCCTGTGAGTGAAGTAACAATAGACACCAACTCTCCCGGTGGTTGCGCTTAAAACACCCCTCGTCCTAACCACCAGCTAATATCTGCAATTCCCGTTCAATCCACCGCAAGCGGCAAAAGTAAGGAATGCGAACATATCCATGTTCTCAGCAAAAAAATGTCTTGTTTCAGAACTGGTTCATCAGATATGGCGAAAGAGAAGAAGTCCACGATGACCACGATCCTGAACGCAATGGTGCTCTACTGCCGTCTGTTCCTCGATAGGGTCATAGACTTCGTGTTCTCGCTGTACTGGTGACGACAGCAAGCAGCCGATCCCTGATCTGGACAAGGAACACGCGGTTCTGACAGAGAGCGCCGTTTCTCTGGCGAGGAAGATAAAGGCGAAAGAGTTGAAATCGGAACAGCTAGTCCGCGCTGTTATTAACAGAATTAAAGAGGTACCGTCCAGTCAGTCTCTACTTTAGTCTTTAATTTAACATATGCTTTTGTTTTCAGATAATCTCTTATATACAGCGTGTCGTTAACACCGCGACAATAAATGAACACACGTCTAACGCTATTTGCCAATAATCATAAAAAAATATTAACGTTAAAGAAAATCCAAACAAACTAATTAAGTAAAAAAGAAACAAAATTTGTAACATCCTATACAACTACAACTGACTGATTCATACATTCAGAGACTTTTTCATTCGTTGCCACAGCGTCACATTACAAGCCTCTCCTTCTAATGGTATGTTTTGTCTCTTTTAAATTCATTAAACCAATTCATATCCTTTGTGACCTTTACGGAACTTTACGTTACAGTTTTATACGTAAGGATGTTCTAAAATTCTTTGTTTTGGAAAATTTAATAACTCGGTAAATATTGATGTTTAAAGAATGTAAATGTTGAATACAATTTTAAAAAGTTATCCTTGCGTTGGTAACGACACGCTGTATATAAAAATGAATCCCTATTTCTCTTGGTCACGTCATCACGCGTGAACGGCTGGACCGATTTCACTTTTTTTGTTTTCAGGAGTCAGAAAAAAAATTTAAATAAATTGCCTGAAAAAGTCTAAAAACAACACTTCTATATTCCCGTACAAAAGATTCGTAATAATACTTAAAAGTCAGTTTGAACTTTAATACCATACCATAAAGTTTAAGTGTTAGTGGAGGGGTTCCGGGAAGGCAAAAAACTCACTTGGAGTGACTGTGGTAAAATGTCACTTGAAATGTAAACGTCTCTTTGCTGTGCATCACTACATCCTATGTATGCTTCGATGTTAAAACTGCACCACGGATTTTGATCCGTTTTTTTTTTTTGCTAGATAGAGTGATTCAAGAGGAAGGTTCATATGTATAATACATTGCACCCGTGCGAAGCCGGGGAGGGTCGCTAGTGACTATAAAAGGATCTAACGCAGAACTCGTCGCCTCGAGCCGAGCCAGAATCCGCGAGCTTGATACGGTTTGTGTGAACGTATGCGTTTTGATAGGGCCGCGCGTCTGCTGATTCGTGTATTTGTCATTTTTTATTGTCATTTTGCCCCACTCGTTCTCATTTATCTGTACCTTAATAAGGATTGTAAATATTGTTCGTTACTTAATAAACTTTTGCATTTAAAAGTATTAATTGTATTCTATTTTTTGTAATCACAAAGAAATTAAATTGGCAATACAGATTATAAAGGTCTACAGGTTATCCTCGCAATAATTTTTTTATTATCTATTATCTCTTTACAATGCAGTGCGATAACTTACAGTTTTGAAGTTAAAATTCATATTAGGTAATTATATAATCAAGTCTGTTTTAAATATTACTTCGTTATTTACAAAAAGATTTGAATATATTTAATGGTTAATTATTCGCATAACCACAAGAAATTGTTATATTTATTAACTATTAATCGTAATTTTAAATGCTAAACAGTCACGGTTTTTGGCTACACGTGCGTAAAAAAAATTTTGATATTTCAGATTTTAATAATATTTCCTTATGTTATATCTATATAACTATGTACTCAACGCAGATGCAAAATATTTTGCACTACGAAATGTAATTATTTAACAATTTAAAGAGCGACTAACCAGCAGCTTCGAATCCTAAACTAAAAACCGGCCAAGTGCGAGTCGGATTCGCGCCCGAAGGGTTCCGTACCATTATCTATAAAAACGGCAAAATCATGTCCGTTGTATTGGAACCCCACTTAAATATTTTTTATTCTGTTTTTTAGCATTTGTTGTTATAGCGGCAACAGAAATACACCATCTGTGAAAATTTCTACTGTCCAACTATAACGGCCATGTACCGTGATTACAGATACAGATACAATCTGGTGACGGACAGCGGAGTATTAGTAATAGGGTCCCGTTTTACCCTTTGGGTACGGAACCCTAAAAGGACCAGAACGAAATTAATCCCCGTGTCTTCTCCATCCAGGTCAATCCGATATTAAAGGCTGTGGTCACAGATCGCTACGAGGCTGCCCTGGAGGAGGCGAGAGAGGTCGACAGATTGGTAGCTTCCGGACTGTCTGACGAAGACGCCAAGAAACCTTTCCTCGGTAGCTATGAAATTTGAAATTCTGGCTTTTTTTCGGCCAGGATTTACATATTATCATTGCGTTATTGTGCAGCAAGTCGATGGATGCGGGTGGCTCAGGATCTTGCTTCGTGCCAGTCCGTGGGGGAGGCCTATGTGGATTCAGCAGTGTTATTATTATCAGGGGTGGACAAATAATAGTAACATTTAGTTATCCGTTTAAAATGTCCGGAATAAAATTACAACACAGTACAATAAAAGACGCTTTGCAGTTTACGTATTTACGAATTTGAACTGGATATGTACTCTTGAAAATCTTTACTTCGTTCAGTTGATTTGACAACATATTGTTTGTTGCTTCACGTGGATAATTTGAATGTAAACAGTAAGTCTATTAATGGTCAAGGCCTCCTCTGTACAGAGGGTAGCAGAGCATAGCCCACCACGCGACCCCAGTGCGGATTGGCGGACTGTGAATCTTCAAAATGTTTTTTTTTATTACTATTTATTGTTACTGTAGAAACGGCGAAAGATTGATCGAGGGATGTTTTGGCGAAGGTTTTCTAGTGTCATCATTATAAATAGCAAGGATGTTGCTATACTAATGATAACTATTAAATAAAAATTTTATTTAAATAAGAAATCTATGTTCATGAGTAATTTAGCATCTCATTAGAAGATTTTTCACCATATGCAATTTCACCTTTTAATATTTTATAAACGTATGCGTGCACTCACCATACTCTTTCAGCGAGTATACAACCCATGTTGCCCATTGATCAATGGATGTAACCCGTGTTACATCCAAAAGTTTCTTTTAACATTTCCTTGAACCTATACCCAGATGCGGAACAACTATCTATGGGTTACACAAATAATTGTTCCGTGTGGGGATCGAACCCACGACCCCCGACGCCGAAGCCAATAACTTGGCAATTGCACCACGTAATCAGAATTTCGTAATTGTTCATTTACTTTTTCCTACCTAACAGTTCATGTGTGGTACTTGTCTAGTCGCGTCAGTTTGACAGACTTACGTAATCCTAGCCATTACTAAGCAAGTATAAGAGCGCAGTAGCTTGGCCTTCAACGCTGTTGAAAAACATTAAATGGAATTTGAAAGCCGCGTGTCATAATAGTACCATAATAGCGATGTACTAAATCAAGTTGAAATCTTGCGTTGCATTATTTATGAAGACAATCTTTTTGCATCTGATTACACTTTTTCCGAGCCACGATATTTTATCTGAAAGAATTTATATATTCAAAATAGTTTAGGTGGTGACCACTGCGACGCTATTACGCGCCTTTTTAGATTTCGATCCACATTTGAATTAAAATTGTAGCCTCCAATAACTGTTATGAATCGCTTAGGGAATATTTTCAAGTGAATGTTTTTTTTTTATAACTGACTAGCGCTTGACTGCCATCCCACCTGATGGTAAGTGGCGATGCAGCCGTGGATGGTAAGCGCGCTGGCTGAAATGATTCGTTTCTAAAAAACAAAATAGAGAGTTTGTTCACTTTCATTCTGAGAGTTACACTTTAAGACCAAATTAAACATGCAAAAAAAACAAAACTATTTACATCCTCTAGAATCTAGATGGTTGGCGATCCTAGATTTTGCGTTTTAATAGAATTTTCAATATTAATTTTCGTCAATACGCAAAGTAGAAAGTCCTCCTGACTGCAGCCACTCCCCAGGTGTACCGTTCACTACGAAGGAGAGCCAGGAGATAAAGGGCTTCTACAACACCCTGGGCCTGTGGTCGCGTCGCAACACTGTCTCCACCGAGGACAGCGAGGCTGTGGCACTGATGAAGAGAGCTGGTGCCATCCCTTTGGCGGCGACCAACCTGCCGGAACTGCTGATATGGTAAGTACAATCGTTTTTAGGGTTCCGTACCCAAAGGGACCCTTTTACTAAGACTCCGCTGTTTGTTACCCAAATACTACTGACTCCGCAGTCTGTCTGTCCGTCTGTCACCAGGCTGTATCTCATGAACCGTGATAGTAAGGCAGTTGAAATTTCCACAGATGATGTATTTCTATTGCCGCTATAACAACAAATACTAAAAAACAGAGTAAAATATAAAATACTTAAGGGAGCTTCCGTACAACAAACGCTAGGGGTTCCTAGGCAACCTAAAGGTACTTACCAATTACTTTATTATAGATATTGATAAGGAAACCTTCGGGAGCGATTCCGACTCGCACATGGCTGGTTTTTTCTTTAATAAGCCACTGCATAATGCTCCACTACTACCCCACCTGATGGTAAGTGGCGATTCACCCGTAGATGATAAAGGCAGTAGTTCAGTATAAGTCTCATTACCCTTTCCCTTTGAAGACCGGCGTGAAATGGAAGTGTCATAGTTCTGCATTACTTCCGGTGAGTGAGGTAGCCGGAGCCCACTTTATTGAAAGGTGGCAACGTATCTGCCACCCTACGGGTGTTGCAAATGTCTATAGGCAGCGGTTATCACTTAACACCAGGTGAACCGCCAGCTCGTTAGCCACCTTCTCACATACAAAAAGAAGAGTTAAAAGCGAGCGCTCGGATACTGTAAACTGGAGAATGTATCGTGTAAAATGTGTCAAAAGATACGCATCTCGCGTGTCCCATACAGGCAAGAGACTCGCAACCCAGTGTACGGTATGACGAACAACCCCCACCACACCGGCCGGTCACCAGGAGGATCCAGTGGCGCTGAGGCAGCCCTAACAGCCAGCTACGCCACCGCCATCAGCCTATGTGAGTATCCCTTGCGCCAGCGCCGTGGGTTTGATTTTATATGTGAGGAGAAGGTGGCAAACGAGCTGGCGGTTCACCTGATTTTAAGTGGTAACCGCCGCCCATGGACATTTCCACCTTTTAATAAAGTTGGCCCCGGCCACCTCACTCACCAGACGAAACGCAGAAGTATGACACTTCCACATCATGGCAATCAATTTCCCCCGCTACTTTAAAAATGTTGCTTCAAGAACATAGTATTTGTTTTTGTACTTTGTTAGTAGGAGTTGGATAATAGGTCCCAAGTCTTGTGTGAGTGAAGTGAATAGATCTCAAGATTTTCCGTACGTGACCTCACGGCGGAAAATTTCGAGATCTACCTATCGGCCTTGCAGCTTAGTTAGTTAAGCATCTGGGAGCGTAACCCGGAAGACGTAGGTTCCAATCCCACAATGCTATGTCGAACTCGCACCGAAAAACGCCTCAGGATGCTCCACCCAGGTCGAATATTGGCAGGGTCACGAGAACGCTTGCTAAGCACATACCTCCACGACCCTGCTAGCACTGGCCAGTTGGCCACGTCGTCCAGCTAGACGAGCATTTTTTTTTTGTGAGGAAGTAGCAAACGAACTGGCGGTTCACCTGATGTTAAGTGATAACCGCCTGCCCAAGGATAGTTGCAAAACCCGTAGGGTTGCAGATGCGTTGCCACCTCTTAATAATGTGGGCCCCGGCTACCTCTCTCACCAGACGAAACGCAGAAGTGCAACACTTCTACTTTACGTCGGTCTTCTTCGAAGTCGTGGTACTAACCCGGACGGACCTGCCCATTCGTGCAACACTATTGCGTGGCCCTACCACCGTTGACAACCGTTACAATCTCTTTAACGCTTAGGCTCGGACATTGGGGGATCCACTCGTATGCCCGCATTCTACTGCGGCGTCTTCGGCCATCACCCCACTGCCGGTACCACGAGCACCAAAGGTTAGCTCACCACAAAATGCCTACTTATACGAAAGCTTTTCTTTATTTTTTTATATGGCAAATGATGTTAACGTGGTGTTAATTGATTACCGCTGCCAATTAACATTGTTTTTATAATTATTTTATTATATTATATTACATTTATTGTTTATAACTATTTCGAAAATATGCAGGTTTCCATACAATTTCTTCATTCGTCGCTGAGCATGTGATAAATCAACAATTAAAATTGCAATTAACCATTTCATTGGTGCCGCGACCGGGATATGAGCTCAGGTTTCTAGAGTATATCCAATAAATAAATTTTTATTTATCTAATATTTACAAGATTAAATCTATCTAAAATTACATATTATCTAATAAACCTAATCCACGCGGCATGGTGTCAAAAACGCTAGGTGCATTTACTCGCTGAATAGTTATGCTTAACCTTTGAGAAAATAACCAGCCAGCGAGTATATTCAATTAAAAGCGTGACCATTGCAAGTGGACACACAGATAATTGTGCATATCAGCAAACGAGAGACCAATTTAATTTTGCAGGAGTATATCTCCGCAAGGGGGGTGAGGAGACAATGTTCTGTCTGGGCTTCATATCCAAACACGTCGAGGACTTGCAACCACTTACCAAGGTCATCGCAGGCGATAAAGCTGAGCTACTGAAACTGGACCGAGAAGTCGACATTAAGGTGACGCTCTATTCTTTTTACCCGACTGCGCCAGAAAGAGGGTAAGATATGGTATGTTTTTCGAGAGTATGTATGTATGTATGTATGTAAAATTGTTTGGCACTAGTTTTGGCAATTGTTTGGAACGGCTCGATGGAGTTTAGCTTGAGAGGTGTCGTTAGGATCGTATTTACTGTGAGATTGACACTGGGTATATCATAATAAAAAATTACACAGAAACGCCGTAACGTCGGGTTTTTTTAGTTTTTTTAAATTACATTCTACTTGTTAAAATTAAATGACTGGTTTGGAGAGTTGGGTAGGGAACCTGTCTTTTGCGTACAGCCTCTAGGGCTGTTGGAACGATCCCCATTACTGGAAAAATATTGTGTAATAAACATAGGGATTTTCTAGAGCACGGGTGTTTTTTTTTTTTAAGTAAGAAATTCCCGGACTAGTATTTGTGCCCGGCTGTTCCTTTTGACACATAATACGATCGATAAATAACAATCGTTTTATCCGTCAGTCCCGTATATTAAGGTGTAAATTCATGAATATTACTGATAACTCATTAGTTATGTTCAAACCTGAGACAACTCTAGATACATATTATAAGAGTGATACCATTGTTTGTAGCAATATCAGAAACAGCATCTGTTCTCAATATCCCAAAATATCTTTTTGATATACAGACAGTCTTTTTGGTAAACAGGTGAAGACCGTTTTTTAATTTGTTATTGAATATAAAAACTAATGCATTCATTGAAATGAGGTTGTAAATGAGGTTATATGACGACCCAAATGGCGTAGTGGGTAGTGGTACACTACCCACTACGCCATTCCTTCTGCGCCAGAGAGTGTGGGTTCGATCCCCACTACTGAAAAAATATTGTGTGATGAGCATAGTGTTTTTCTAGTGTCTGGGTGTTTAATGTATAATGTGTATTTATTTACAAAAGAAAAGTACGTCTTAGTATGTCTATCAGTTTTCTAGTACCCATAGTTCAAGCGTTGCTTAGTTTGGTACTAGAAAACGTTGTGTAAAAAATGTGTCCTAATATATTTATAAAAATAATTTATTTTATTTATTTATATAAATATTTTGAAATGTTTTCAGGACATTAAATTCTATTACTTGGAATCGGCAGCCGATCCCCTCGTCAGTCCATTAAGAAAGGAAATGAGGAACGCCATGCGAAGGTAAATGAACATTGTCTTCTTTGGAAACTTAAATTGTTTATAGTGCTAATCTTTGCACTTAAGATTGAACATTAAAAATTTCTAAAAAAGCAATGGCGACATCTCTCGTTCAAATTATCGTTGTAAAACGATATTCGAAATTGTTTGTATGCTGGAAAGTATATAACAATAGATGGCGCCAAACATTGCTTCAAATGCTAAGAAAACAATGTAGAAGAATGCGTTAAGATTTTCGTTGGTGTGGCAATCAGCCGTTTAGCTCAGTGGCTAGAGCGTCAGGCCGCGAATGCCGAAGAAGTGGGTTCGGTTCCCACAGCGGCGACAATCTTTTCGTACTTTTTCTACATATTTTAAGATTGTCTTCTTTCTTTAACATCGTCACAAGCATTCAATCTCATTCACGAGGACCCCGCGGCTTGAACCGTACTCATTTAGAACATTAACATAAGGCTATACGAAAAAGTGGTAGTTGCAAAGGGAAAAGACAAACTAGACCGTTGATTACATTAGGTTTGGATTTCTCGATTTTACGCGAATATTAGGATTATTTTTTTTTAATTTGTTTTTATTCCCGATCTTTGGTACCCTTTCCAGCGCTCATGGTCACGGGACAGAGAACCTGTAAGACAGTCCGATATAAATGCATGAAACCGTTCGTTAGGAATTAAAAATCCAAATTAAAACGTGATAAAATCCGTAATTTTTTATTCATTTAATATACATTAGGTTTTAATAAAAAAAAAGTTAAAAGCTAAATATCAATAGACGTGATCTCTTCTTTTCTAATATTCATTGTAAAAACGTAATTTTGAAGAAGTGTGATTGCTGTAAGAGCATCACATTATACAGCGTGTCTTTACAATCCCGACAATAAATGACATATAGAGGATAAATTTTTAAAATTGTATTAAACATTTACATTCTTTAAACATCAATATTTACCGAGTTATTAAATTTTCCAAAACAACGAATTTTAGAACATCCTTACTTATAAAACTGTAACGTAAAGTTCATTTGTAAAGGTCACAAAGCATATGAATGGGTTGAATAAATTTGAAAGAGACAAAACATACTGTTAGAAAGAGAGGCTTATTATGCGACGCTGTGGCAACGAATGAAAAAGTCTCTGAATGTATGAATGCATTAGACGTGTGTTCATTTATTGTCGCGATTGTAGAGACACGCTGTATGTGGCCAAGCATTGCTAGAACTGCAATAAATTAAAGTAGATGTCGAGAATTTCCTGCGGTGAGGATGTCGACCGCTTAGCTTGGTGGCTAGAGCATCTGGTCGTAATCCGGAGAGCGCAGGTTCGAATCCTGAAAGCAGCGAAACATTTCGTGACAGTTTTATCTACACATTTTTAAGGATTCATTTAAATGAATAACCGAACACGGTATTGAATTCTGCCTTATAATAGTGAAACTTTAGTATATTACATGTTTCATATTCTTGTGTGTATAATAAATTGCACAAATTGCACTGGTTTTTTCAATAATAATCATTTTAACTTCGTATATTACTCAAACATACACAATAAAATTTCTTGAAATATAAACCTTTTTTTAATGAAACGAAAACGTTTTTTGTTTCCATTGCCAATTTTTTATAATATCCCAAAAATCGCCCTCATCGAATCCTAGTGATACTTCTCTACGCATCATCTGCTTCACAAGTTCACACCATTAAGCATTAGACCTAATATTTGTGTTTATTATTTTAAAAAAACCATTGCCCTCACTATAGGATTACATTATCCTGTGTTTTAAGGACGTGTTACAAATGCAAATACATTACAAACCTCATGGACAAACACCCAGATTCGAAACAACTGTCTGTGGGTCACACAAATAGATGTCCCGTGTGGGTCTCGAACCCACGACCCCTGAAGAAGCCAATGCCTGGGCAACTGCACCACGGAGTCATCGAAATTGGCATAGTAGATAGTGGAACTGTCTCTGTCTGTTTGGGTTCGATCACTGTTACTGGGAATAATAACAATAACAAATAAATATTTTTCTAGTGTCTGTTCATATATTTATCTATTTACAAGAGAAAAGTACCTTTAAGTATTTTACGTACTAGCCATAGCACAAGCATTACTTAGTATGGGACCAGACAACGTATGTAATAAATTATAATATGCCCCGAAATATTTATTATTTCATTTCAGAGTTGTAGCGAGGGTAGGCGAAAAAGTTGGGGAAGCCCCTAAAAAGTACTCGCACGACGGCCTCCGTTATATGTACCGTCTTTGGGCGTATTGCATGGATAAGGAACCCGACGACTACGAGCAAATGTACGGGCAGGATCCCAACGCCTTCGTCGAGCTGGTTAAGAAGGTGCCTTCATACTTTATCTTCATCCTATTTAATTTATACATGCTTGAGCTGAGCTGCTCTTTAAAGAGTGATTGAGGCCAATGGAATGTATTTTAATTTATTTTAACATCACAATCAATCTGTCTTGATCCGATATTTTTGAAAAGATATAAATATATATTATCACCATCATTTCAGCTTGTTTTGATCCATTGCTGATCTCCCCCCCAAAGTCTGCCAGGAAGCACGATTCTGAGCCACCTGCATCCATCGACTACTCGCACATTTGCAAGGCTGTCCCGCCATCTAGTGGGATTCAAATTCAAATATCTTTATTCAATATAGTGCATTGCACTTACTTATTCGTTGTTAAAATACGACTGCCGCCTTACACAGGTGGTGTATTCTTCCATATCTGTTTCACAATATTTGTAATGATTTAATTTCGAGCTATTTAAGAGTACTGCCACAGTCTTGGATAGACATTGACACTACTACTACACACTAAACTGAAACATTGTCAACCTTTTATAGAAAGTAAATTATTATTAACGTGACACCTTTCCAACGGGGGTTAAACTATGAATTCTTTACTCTTTATCTCGCTTTTAGATGCTCGGCATGAGCCGCCACTGCCTGTTTACGATCTGCAGACTGTTTGAGCTTCAATACTTGCCCAAAGTCGACAGCAAATGGGCAGAGAATACGCTGAAGGATATCAAACAAGATTTGTTTGTGAGTTTTTTATTTATTTAAAAAGTTTTTGCACATAAAACGTACAATGGCGGACTTAAAACCGTTAGGTGTTCTCTACCAGTCAACAGACTTAACCAGAACATTATAGAAAGAGTAGAGAATATTTCATTATTTTTTCACGAATTTGGATGGAAAAACCATTTTGGTGTATAATTTTTTGGCATTTAGTAGCGCTCGCCTACCGCGATGCGTTTTCGGGACCCCCAACAGGGAACCCTTATCTTGTCCATAAGGCCGGAAAGTTAATTCAACGCCTGAATATTGCAAATATCTGTACACGGTAGCAAGGGAACCATTCGCCTAATGTTAATTGAGCACCGCACCTGGACATCTAGAACCATGCAGTTGCAGACATGTTGTCCACCTATATTGAATAAGAATTGGCCCAGTTTCCTCACTCAACAGAACGCAATAGGTAGGTAGCAGTCACGCAGCAGTCTTCGCTGATGCACGAAAACGCAGGTCCGCCCGAGAAAGTACCACGACCTCACCGAATAACGGCGTGAAGCGGAAATGTTATACTTTTTCGTCGTCTGGTGAGTGAGGTAACTGCGGAGCCGACTTTATTGAAAGGCGGCAACGCATCTGCAACCCTACGTGTGTTACAAATGTCCATATGCGGCGGTGCACCTCAGCTCGCTTACCACCTTCTGACATAACAAAATTACCCCACTCAACAGAACGCCGAAGCGATATTTCCAATTTACACCTCTTTGTGCGAGGCCGTGGCACTTCTCTGCCAACTGTGCAACAGTAGGAGTTCCTTACCATGCCACAGTAGTAAAACGTATATGACCCATGATGCAGAGTAAGCTGGGTGACAACGGGGTGCTGCTGATGCCGAGCGCCCCCCACGCGGCGCCCTTCCACTACTCGTGCCTCCTCCGCCCGTTCAACTTCGCCTATTTCGCCATCGTCAATGCCCTCAAGTGCCCCGCCACCCAGGTAACACTCCAGTGTCTCATAAGACGTGATGACTCCGACATAAGAGTGTCTCATAAGACGTGATGACTCCGACATAAGAGTGTCTCATAAGACGTGATGACTCCGACATAAGAGTGTTTCATAAGACGTGATGACTCCGACATAAGAGTGTCTCATAAGACGTGATGACTCCGACATAAGAGTGTCTCATAAGACGTGATGACTCCGACGTAAGAGTGTCTCATAAGACGCGATGACTCCGACATAAGAGTGTCTCATAAGACGTGATGACTCCGACATAAGAGTGTCTCATAAGACGTGATGACTCCGACATAAGAGTGTCTCATAAGACGTGATGACGCCGACATAAGAGTGTATCATAAGACGTGATGACTCCGACATAAGTGTTCATTAAGACGAGATGACTTCGACATAAGAGTGTCTCGTAAGACGTGATGACTCCGACATAAGATTGACTCATAACACGTGATGACTCCGACATAAGATTGACTCATAACACGTGATGACTCCGACATAAGAGTGTCTCATAATATTAATTTATTTGGTATTAGATCTTGGGCTCTGAAATACTTATGGAACTCCTGAACATCCTTACTTTATATTATAAAGGCGAAAGTTTGTATGTATGGATGGATGTTTGTTACTCTTTCACACAAAAACTACTGAATACATTTTAATGAAACTTTTCAATAATATAGCTTATACATCATAATATACAGCGTGTCGTTACCATCGCGACAGTAAATGAACACACATATAGGGGATAACTTTTTAAAGTTGTATTAAACATTTAAATTCTTTAAACATCAATATTTACAGAGTTATTAAATTTTCCAAAACAAAGAATTTTAGAACATCCTTACGTATAAAAGCGTAACGTTAAGTTCATTTGTAAAGGTCACAAAGCATATGAATGGGTTGAATGAATTTAAAAGAGACAAAACATACTGTTAGAAGGAGAGGCTTGTAATACGACGCTGTGCGCGAGTTGTATAGGATGTTACAAATTTTGTTTCTTTTTTACTTAATTAGTTTGTTTGAAAAATATTTTTTTTAATTATGGAGTTTGTTTAACGTTAATATTTTTTTATGATTATTGGCAAGTAGCGATACACGTGTGTTGATTTATTGTCGCGATGGTAACGACACGCTGTATAGGCTATAATATATAAAGATATTGTGTGAATTGTACAAAATATAGGTACTGATACTGATAAGTGTAAGTAGTGCACCAACTATGTAGTGCATAATAAAAAGCTCTTTGTTAATTACCTCTGGCCACGCGGGTGAAGACGCGGATAACAGCTAGTCAATTATAAAATGAATACAGACCGCAATATTTGAAGTCAGTTTTGTTTTTCGTTAGACTTGTAGCGTTGCGAATTATTATGTAACTATCGTCATAAAGCCACTCAAATTATTATCAGACAGAAAACCGGTCGTCCAGGAATCTAAATTTTCCGTATTTTTTGTCGCGTTATAATTAATTAGCTAAGAGATTTAATTACTACTCGGAAAATTTTATTTAGCTTTCTGGGGTGTTCGTACAGTTTTTTTTTAAACCGACTGTAAACAATAAAGTATTGAGTAATCCCCGAGTGTGCTCAATATTTATATTTTTGTATTTAAATAATTTCCGACAATAATATTGCAAATATTTGACTAAAAATTTTCTAGTACGATAGTTTTAGTAATATATGTTTGATTAGATTCGATTTTGGTCTTCAACCGAGGTTCGAAGGCGTCTAACTTCTTTCTCTTTTCAGGTGCCTCTGGGCACGAACAGCATCGGACTCCCGATTGGCATCCAAGTCCTGGCTGCGCCGTACAACGATGCCCTGTGCCTGACCGTTGCCAAGTACCTGGAGAAGGAGTTCGGTGGATCTGTCATGGCCTGCAAAGTCAAGACGTGAACGATCAAATTACAAATAAATCAATAAATCACAAAAACTCATCTTGTTTCATTACCAAACAATAATATATATATATAATAATTATTTAATAATTTTGTAATATATGAGATAAACTCGTAGTCCGTAGTAATTGGTAGTAATTTAATGTAGTCAGTACTGTGTACACCATAGTTCAGAACCAGGAAAATGTATTATTAATCAAATGACCGCTATTAATGGAAATAATTATATTGTTACATGTTAGGGTTCGAAGGATTTGTAGAGAAAGACCTGCTGACTCTTTTGACGACTTTATTCACTAGCATTAGGTCCAACACAAAGCACTAGGTTCAAACAATAAGCTTAATCACTAACGCCAGCTCTTAAGGGCGCTGTCCTAAGTGATCAGGCTCAAGTCGAGAGGGGACCTGGTATCGCTCTTGATCACTAGTTTTCACTCCGAAGTCGCCTCGAAGGTAGCTCAAACTGAACTGTACTGGCTCGCCTCTCTGCGGCTTTTTATATGGGCCGAAACGAGCCCCAGACTATTCCAGAAAGTTCCTTCCTGGAACGGACCCGACTTGCGCAAACGTGATCGTGATTCCGGAAAGTTCGCGAATGTACCCGGTTTTCGAGACTATAGTTCCACAGTAGTTCCTCTAACGCCATCTAGTATTGAATAGGGGGTTTTATGTTGTCTTTGTCCTTTGAGTGGTTTTACTGGTTGACGCTACGTCGCAACGTCAGTCAGTCGCATAGATAAGACATATATACTGAAATTATGGTCAGTCGTTTACAGCAGCACGAAAGAGGTCCTTATCAATATCGGAGACTGCTTTGTCCCGTCCTTGCAAGGGCGGGTATCCGTAGGCATTCGCCCCACGCTAATATGGCCGATATTGCTTACCCGTCTAAAGAACCGACTTATTGGCTTCACGCTTTACCATTAAGTGACTTGGTCACTTTACTTGATATTGAAAGTTTACGCATTGCTAGGGAAATCCCTGTAGGATTTGTCAAATACTTACCTACGCCCGGTTTCTGAAACACTGATCATCCTAGAAGTCAACTAATCAGCTGTCAAATTACTTTTCAAACACCAACTATTTGAATTGATCATTCTGATCAATTGAGAGTTTAACTATCCTTTTGGCAACTTAAACTTAAATAACATTTGTAAAGCCATTTGACGGCTGATTGGTTGACTTCTACGATAATCAGTTTTTCAGAAACCGGGCGTTAGTATATTGCCCCTGTGGTGTCAATGTAGATTAATGGGGCCACGGCCTTCAACGTCTAAAAAGTGCCGACTTTTTTCGTCACAATTTCCTGAAGGACGTCTTCCGTAGGGCTCTTTTTACATCAATTTTCCCTTCATTTTATAGCCCTGTGACATTTTCCGACCCAATGGCTTCACTTAGATCCCTCGGGAGAGGCAAATCTAGGCCTCATATAATCTTCTTAGGGTACTTCGCCAATGCATAGGTGGTCACGGCCAGGGTGGCATCAAAAATAGCTGTAGTAAGGTAATGGCTAAACTGACCATAAGTTCCCTTTTGAACGGGACTGTCCCTTTTCTTCGACAGCTGTCCCTTTGTTCCCAAACAAATCTTCGGGACGCAAAATTGTCCCGTTTTCCGAAACCGCACGAAATTTTAAAACAAAACCGTGAAATTCCCGGTTATTCCTCGCATGCACGCGCTCTCGGTTACCTAGGTAACCTAGGTGTCTTTACTAGTAAAGCGATGAGGAAGAGAGAGAAGGGAGCATTTGTTTCTTTCACTAGGCTAGCCACGCGCATGTATTTTGACTTCTTTATGTTTTTGTGTGATGTTCGTTAATGTAGATAATTTTAAGTTTTGTTATTTTGACTTTTTTCCTGTAGTTATGCCAAAACCCAAATGTGCATAAAATGTCAACCTACAAACAAAATACCAATTTATTAAGCAAACTAACACTCCTTCGGATGTCAGATGCGAAAAGTGTCGCACAGAGTTTAGTGATTAGTTTAGTGATTAGTGTTTCCCACAGTGGTGCTGGTGATATTGAACAGCACCAGTTCTGAAGGCGATGCTGATAACAATGGTCAACATAAAAAAATGTGCCAAGAATTTTATTCTTATTAAAAATCGTCACCTTCTTTATTAAAACAAATTGGTTCCTCTGAGAAATATAAATATAATTAAAAACATACCAATGTTGCTTTACTTACTTTGCATTTTACAATTTTATTACTTAGTGAACCGATGATGTTTTCTTTGTGTCTATTAATTTTTAATCTTTTCGGAATAAAGAAAATTAAAAAGTTATGTTTATTTTCATTGTAAAGCAATGTCCCGTTTTGAGTTAAAAAATTTGGTCAGTTCAGTAATGGCGCAAATATGATGTATGTTTAAATTATGTATTTGTGCTATTCTCTGTAGAAACTTTATGTCTGCGGGAATGAATAATTAATTCACCTCGGCTGGTGATAATAGGTAGGGCCAGTACTTTTCTAGTAAGTCAGGTATAACTCGCATTGCAAGGAAATGAGATAGCGATAAAAATAGTCTAAAAAGTTATTTTGAGTTGACGTTAATCGAAAATTGAATTGTATGTCGAAAAATTTGGTTTTATTTAAAAATGATATTCCGCCAAAATTAGCGTGATGCCTATAAAAACTTTTTAAGCTCCATGGCAATTTTATAACCGGACAGTAAACTCTTACGTTTTTTTTTATGCAGTAAAAATTATAACGGGTTCTATTTGCAAATAAATATTTCATTAATTTAAAATAACTAATTATTTCCTCACGCAACATAGTAGTGGAGTAAACTTTTCGTAATTTTTAAACGGCCCCTTCTGCGCCGCACAGTAAAATACAAACATTATAAAGGTCGTTCACTCACAGCGTGACTGTAAAATCATTATGCATGTAGCTTGACCTACTTCGATAGTAAAACTTAACAAATTATTTCATATAGGGTAGACTTTGTTATCCTTGTTGTATTATTATAATATAATATTCATAGATAGAAGGAAAGAAAGCAGAGGATTTTTAAGAGGAATGACATAATTAGATATAATATTTTTTAGATATTCTATTACCATTTACACTGTTTTTTACTTATTTTTCATTAAAGTAAAGAGGAAAGAGAAATTTGCGGCAGCACTTCGTCGCTTCTGCCATACAGACTCGGAATTCGGAATTTTAGCTCTATAGAGCATAATATTTTGTATTTTGAAAAAAAAAAATATCAACGGAATCGAATATAAAATTATTTAGAGATCTCTCTGATTCGCGTGATCTTTAAAGGCGTTCGCATTATTACTAACTTAAAGTGAAAGTTATGTTTCTTCATTCTTGCTTTCTAAGTGGATCTACCTAGCTCATATATGTAAATCGCGTTAGGGTTGTCACTAATTCGCCAAAAGCTAAATAATCGTATGAGAATAATTAAAATTTTTAATTAAATGTACAAAAAAATATTTTACGACACCAAACAAGAATATTAACTAACAGGTTCTAGGTAACAAAATCTTCGATAAGGGTACTTACTTACCTGTCGGACTGTAGGTACCATTATTGAAGCATAGTTTAATTTATTTTCGCAGCGATTGAACTAGTCTCTTATTCAATTGTTGATGTAAATTTGAATTATAAAACTCCGAAAAAGAGACCTCGAAATAATTCTGCTAATCAAATAATATACGAGTACCTTCAAACGTTTGCGTCCGTTTCGTCCATCACTATACACTTTTAAATAAGCTTTTAGTTTTATCTTTCGGGTATTAGTCACTGTGCAAATTATGTATATAGAATTTGGCTTACAGTACAGCTTTACTTGTTCATTTGGAAGCAAGACACCATACTCTTTCCAGGTGAATTTAATGTAATTGGATATAAAAACTGTTATTTTAAAATAAAGTTTAAGATATTACGATCTATAAATATAAATGAACTATTTGACTTGCTTCATAATCAAGGTCAAAAGCCAAAGACAACTTTTATTTGTATACTTATAGGCTTGTTTTAAGCTCTTATTGACCGGGCAAAAAACATACAACTACTAATTTAGACATGTCCAGAGAAGAACCGGCAAGAAACTGCAGTCTTGTTCAAAGAGAATGTAATCACTACGTTTACTACGTGGTCTTGTTCTCTGATCTGACATATATTGACAACTATCATACAGAAAGTATCGAAATAAGTTAGAGAATACAAAATTAAGTCATTTCAAAATAACTTCTGTAAAAATAATCATTAATAAATTATACAAAATCTGATTCTACTTGTAAGTAGCAGACATTCAGACATTTTTTTTTTTTTTTTTGAATAAAAACATTGCCCTTACTATAGCATAAATTTGTCCTGTGTTGCAAGGACGTTTTACAAACATAAATTTCACGCGGACAAACACCCAGATGCGAAACAACTATCTGTGGGTCACACAAATAGTTGTCCCGTGTGGGGATCGAACCCACGACCCCCGACGCTGAAGCCAATACCTTGGCAACTGCGCCACGGAGTCATCAAACCACGGAGACATTGGTGTACATCTTATTATACCTAACTAATTTTGTAAATATAATAACGTGTCAACTAGTTTCACAGTATTCTTTTCTCAATAACAATTGCTTGCAATTGTTGTTAAGAGAAATTAATTATTAATTATTTTTCTGATTTCTATTTTTTTAAATAAGCACTAGGTAGTATAAAATCTCATGAAAACGCCCAGTATAAGACCCTGTAGTTAAAAGAAAAATGTCCCGAAATCTGTCTACATTCAAAACTTGAGAGTGCAAGCATGCCTTCATTTTTGAAACTGGTTTTCAACCGCATAAAATCACTAGAGCCTTAAACTTAGACTCGTAATAACGTTTCATGATTTTGATTGTAAAAACATTTACTCCTTTTAAAATAAAATAGTCACGACAACTTGAGTTATGTTTACAATTTAATAAACTAAAAATGAAATAGTATTTTTTTTGTCAGCCGACTATATAAAACAAATAATTTGAAGATGTGCTAACTTGTGGCGAAAAAAATATTCTTTATTTTGTGTAATTACAACGCAATAAGAACACATTTATATGGCTGATTGTTATTATGTTTAGTGATCGAAGAAAAGTAAAGTCACAATAGGTACTCTCACCGTCCACGAGTAAAGCCAATGCGCAGTGTTCCCGTGTTCCGTACTAGTCGTGTCAACTCGTGTCGTGCGATGTCCTCACAGGCTACGTGTTTTGTGAAATCTGAAGCTCAGTGCAAAAAAGAAAATCATTTGCTGGTAAATAATTTTTTGATGCTTATATAATATTGTCTGATACGCTTAATTTGTGATAAAATATTATTTTTTAATTAATCCGTTTTTTATATTTATTATCATTTTAATCTGTTGCTTGATTTGTTTTGTGCTTCACTATCACTATTAATAAAATGACATTGTTGACATGAATTATGTAACCGTAAATATGTAAATATGTACCTACAATGATTATTATAATAATTGTGTTTGTGATTACTTAGTTAATAAAATCACTATTTAGACTGAGCGTACGTATATTTTAAATGATAATTTTGTTCTTAATTTTACAAATATTGTCTTGCAACCATGATATTGTCACAAGGCACAAAGTCAAAGCCTATACGAAAAACTTTGTTTTATTTTTTTTCTTATATTTTTATTTTTTAAGGCTTTCTTTAATTCCTATAATACGTTTTTTCTCTTACAGCATTGCAATTCGAAAACAAATAAAATCTTCAAGGGAATGGCCTCAGATATGTTTAAACAGTTTTTTCTGCTTCTGCGATCGTATTTCGATTTGTTTATAGACTTCTTATTCTCACTGTATTGGGAAAGATATAGGCAATCAATACCGGATCTGGAAAAGAAACATGCTATTTTAGCGGAAAGTGCTACAAGCTTGGCTGGAAAAATACGCAACAAGGAGTTAAAATCTGAAGAACTGATACAAGCATGCATCGAAAGAATAAAACTCGTAAGTTTCTCGTACCTATAAACTATTATTTTGTCATTGCTTTCATTGAAACTACTCAGGTAAGGTTAAGGTATGTATATTAACTAGAAAATTAATCAAATAGATTTATTTATTTAAAACCTATATTATTATTGGTTTTTGCACATAATATTACATATTTAATGATAGAAAACAGCATAAAGATTAAATAAATCTCAAAAAATATTTATATTCTGAAAGATGTTATTGGAATTGATTATAATTACTCATTGTATCCATCCATCAATTGCTTTTTTTTAATTATATTTTGTGAACATGAACACAAGCCTTAATGCAGGAATTTTATGAGAACACATGAGTTCATTTTTTAGGATTAACCTCTTAAATAATATTTCCATGTCAAGATGACAATATGTAGTAGGGATGTTTTAGAACATAAAAGTTATACAAATAATTCATGCCTACTTTATTATAATATACTTAATTATCCTCAACATAAAGCCAGTACCTCAGTAAATAACTAAACCATTTTGAGGATTATATGAAATAAAAAAAAACATGTTTATCATTTCCATAGTTTAGATTTAAATTCTCCTTATAGGATTGAGACTACCTAGATTTGAATACAAACTAGAAATAAAAACGAGACACCAGCAGTTTTCTTCCGTTGTAAACAACTTGACCCCCGCTCATTTCAGCTTTTTTGTATTCATCACAAAGAACCACCATATTGAGCATGCATGAGTATGAGCATATTATGCTCATACATATTACCAGCTTTTATAATAATAAGTCGAATGAATGAGACATGAGAAAAAAAACTTTCATATGAGATACGGGCAATTGACAATCACTTGTTTCAGAATTTTTTATTAATCAAAAATTTCCATAAACTTAATGTAAACAAATAAATCACCAAACAAAATTCATGTGATTTCCAAACCAGTTATTTTCTTTTTTGCAAACGTATTTTTTTATTCACGCCGTGAAATCGTTATTAGGTTTCGCGCGCTTTTATACCTTCCGCGTAGCGGCACTTATCGTTTATTGCGTAATATAATTTGCATTATAAAGGCTTTAGATAATCGAATATATTTATGGCACACTAATCGACAGTGAACTTGATAACTATTTTTAGAAGACATTATCCATTGAATTATGAGTAATGGTAGTAAAAAACATACTTTTTTTTAATTTAATGTCAACAACATAAAAAACATATGTTTTTTCCTCTGCTTATATTAATGCTGTGTTTCATGCCAATCAATAAATTGTGTTTTTTATTTTGCTCTTTTGGGAAAGATTATGTTTGCCAATTTATAATGAGCCTAGTCAAGCTGAGTGAGGTTATTTCAAATTAGCAATCAAATCAAAAAGAAACTACTTTCAAAGACTTAAAAAGTGTTGACAGTTTCTTTTTCATGGATTATTTTTTTTTTATGTGAAAAAGGTAAAAGGTTAAGTGTTATCCGCCGCGCATGGACATTTGCAACAGCTGTAGGATTGCAGATGCATTGCCTTGTGGCTATTAATAAAATGGCCCCGGCTACCTCACTTACCAGTCGAAACGCAGAAGTGTAAGACTTCCATTTCACGCTGGTCTTCTGTGAGGTAGTTGTACTCCCCCCGACGGACCTGCCCATTTGTGCAACAGTGAAGGCAGGAACAGGAACAAAACATGATGACATAAAATGGTTATCCTAAACGGCTACTGTCTGGATGGCAGGTAATTTGTCAATCAAACTCTTTGAAATCTAGCCTTGAAGCTGTATTGTAAAACTTTTTAAATAACATTAATTGTACTTTTAGTTCAAAGACTATAATATACTGCTTCGTTACTAGATTTTGACGTGCTTGATACACCTTACCACTATTCTCTGCACTCAATGCAGAGAATATTATTATAAAAATTTATTCCTTTAAAAATACAAACGTCATTATCAACAAAACTAAATATTCAACCAGCACCATGTAGCATATTAAAACAATTTTTTCCTACTTTCACATCTCTGTACGGTGTGCGATTTACATATCAATCACCATAATATGATACATTTTAGAATATTTTGTTTTGTAATTGAACTTTTATTTCCGTATTTATTTATTTATAGTTTTTAACTTGAAATGCAAAAAGCTGTAAGATTCGACCAAGCCTCGTTTCATGATCGAATTGTCTTCATCTCAACCGCTTCGTATTTCGGACCCATCCCGGAAGAAACCCACACGAGACTTCTCTGGCGCAATGTTAATTTTATATACCTATGTAATAGACACTAACTAGTTAAGAAATATCTGAAACTATAACCACATTATAAAAGGAATTTTTTTGTTGAGGGAAATAAAATATTTTTCATAATACGAGTAAATTAAATATTTTCGCATCGTTTCAGGTGAATCCTATACTAAACGCTGTGACGGACGATAGGTTCGAAGAGGCGTTGAAAGAGGCCCAAGAGGTGGACCGGTCTATCGAAGCCGGCCAGGCTGACTTCGAAAAGAAACCTTTCCTAGGTTAGTGAATAGACTATAATACATTGTATAGTACTAGAATTTGTGTGGAAGGGGTTAGGTAGTATCGCAACGACCACTGCGAGAAGACCTATTGCAGTCTTTCCATTATATGCAAGTCACGTAAATAGTTGTCTCGTTTGGGAATCTACCTCATGAACCCTGGCTCCGATGCCAATACCTTGCCAAATGCGCCACAAACTCATCAATGTAATACGTGCGGCATAAAATATTTTAGAGGATTTCACCCATGGAAATTCATAACTTCTATTAATTTCCGCCTTTTTATGCAACATAGAACTAGATCCTTTTATCTGTTATCCTAAAAATGGGACGTAATGATCTTTTCACGTAATAAATGCGAAAAAAAGTGTACGCAAAATATCATTTTTATATGGCGTCATGCGATAGAGTAATAGTTAAAATGGACGTCGAAATCTCAGCTTATATGTATGTTTTCAATGCTGACGATTTAGCATTTTGACTTTCGAAGACAATCTTTATTTTTATTTTCACAAAAATGTAAACGAGACAGTCAACCAAAGGTAACCGTATAGAGCGGGGACCCAACATACCTAACTCACCAAATGAAACGGGAGAATATAAATCATTTTACGTTAATCTTCAAATATTCAAAAAATCTTAAAATATTATAATCTTCTTTATATATTATAATCTTAAAATATTTAAAAATAAGGATAAATTTTTAAGACATAATAATGTTCATGATATAAATACTAGGAACAAAAATAAATTGATCCTACCCACAAGTAGACTCCGTAAAATAAGTAAATCTTTTATGGGACAATGTATACGTTATTACAACAAAATTCCAGAAAACGTTCAAAATGCATCAATAGCTAAATTTAAAAAAATAGTAAAAGAACGTTTGTGTGTTAAAGGCTACTATAATATTAATGATTATTTAAATGATAACACACTCTGGTAATGAACTGATCGCTCCAGGCTCTTTCAATCGGAGTTCTTATAATGTATTTTAACGAATTTATGTCAAGCTGCTTATTTAAAAAGAAAGCCCGCTGAGTTTCTTTCGCCGGTTCTTCTCAGTACAGTGGCTTTCTTTTCCGAACCGGTGGTAGTGTTTTGACTATCAATAAGTGAGTGTAATGCTCCCATGTTGAATAAATACATTTGATTTTGATTTTGATTTTGATTTTCTGTGAAGCCACGTTGTCAGTGATCTTTATGATCCTAATCCACGTTGATTGAGTTCTTTATTCTTAACTCGCTGCAGTAGTCCGCTTATTACGCTTAATGGGGATATGACAAGATAATAAAAATAAAAATAATCTCTGAAAAAAAATGAGGTCACAAGTACGTACCTGATTCAGGTTTAGAATCAAATTCTGCATATGCTTTGAAAATATGTCCGTCGTCTATAAAATCACCCTGTATATGTATATAGCATGTTCTATCACCGATCGGGCCTGCCCATTCGTGCAACAGCATATGCTAAAGCCAAATTTGAAAATTTGGAATTCAACGCGTATTCATTTATATCCGAAATAACTCTGGGCTAACATAAATAGGTATATTGTGGCAGCCCTAACGAACTTTTACAAAATTTTGCTCCCAATTTTTAATTAAATTATAATTGTAAATTTTTATATCCACCTCAATTTCATATCTTTATAGAACAACTCGTTACAAATTTTCTTGTGCGTTGTTTGTGAATTGATTAAACGACACAGCGAACTTTATTTAAAATACGTAATTCTTATCAGCCATTCCGTGTATAATATTTATTTTAATTTTATACGGACACACCGAACAGGCGTCATTTACAAACGTCTTAAATTCGAATATCACAGACTTTTTCCAATAACCTTGTGTCAGGTGAAAGGCCAGCTGGCTCGCCAGTTTCGCACATAAACAAAACTGCCATACAACCCAGGGGTTCCGTTCACCGCGAAGGAGAGCCATGCCGTGGCGGGGATGCTGCACACGCTGGGCATCTCTATGAGGCGGCACGTGCGTGCCCACGAGGACGCAGAGTGCGTACGCCTGCTCAGGGCGGCTGGCGCCATTCCTGTCGCGGTCACCAACGTGCCGGAGATCAACAAGTGGTGGGTGTACCACGACGATGATTTTGCAGAACTGATGTTACGCTTTCAGCCCTTAAACTGTTAAAGCTTCATCGAACGCGGAACCGGCGGGCTAGCCAGAACCCGCGTGTTTGAGGCTCTCCACAGTGGGTAGGGACATGCAATTAACGCAAATTATGACGTATCGCCGTATCGTTACGGGACATCGAGGCTCGGTGCGGACCGTGACGCCGATGGCCGCTGACTGTGCTACCACGATGATTTTTTATTTTTTAGAAAGGGGAGCCACTGTTGGCCTTAGGGGCCTTCACAGTTCCATCAAGTTTATCACCAAACCGTAAACACTAAAGTCGTTGAATTTTTGCTATTTTAAAGCCGATCGTGCAAACGGTGGATGTATTTCGTATACTCCCTATTTCGGAGGGGATATTGTAAGAGGGCTATTTCATCCCCGCAGGCAGGAGACCCGCAACATGGTGTTCGGCCAAACGGCCAACCCCTACCACACGGGGCGGACGGTGGGGGGCTCCAGTGGGGGGGAGGCGGCGTTGTCTGCCGCCATCGCATCACCCATCTCGCTCTGTGAGTAACCCTCCCCCGGAACCACAATCATAACCATATTAAGTGGTTACACAAGTCGGTAGTTTCCTAATCCGACAACTTTGTATATAGATTAAAAAGGATCCAGCAGACCTATACTTAAATTAATAATAATAATAATAATAATAAAAAGGCGTAGGGAAGTGACGACCCCATCGCCCACCGGCGTAACAGTTCAAGTGACAGAACTGTTGCGCCGGCGCAATCAGTCAGTGCCTTGCCAATAGGTGTTTGCACCGTGCCTCGGCATAAGTGAGGGTGCATAGGCCCGTCTGTGCGTTCGGCCACACTACAGAAAACGGTGCCGGTCTGGGGGCGTCTTCCGTTAAACGACGCCCTAAAAATGGATGATGGAAAAAAAGGAAAGCGCATAGGGCCGCTGCCTGGGGGCCGCCAGGGCGCGTCTGGAGCTGGCGCTGGACGTGGCAGCATGCGGGACGCCAGCCGAGCGCGGGGTACTGCACGACCACCAAGCAGTACCTCGCATCCATCATCCCCACCAGTTGGCTTGGTGTCGGCAGGGTCCTCTCGGATCCAGCAATCGGCACCCGCCGCTGGTGGAATACGTCGCTTGCGCTGGACGACGGAGATGAATAAGAACGCAATGCGGGCGTATCTTAGGGCAAAGGGAGTGAAACTGGAGGGTTTGCGTATCGGGCAAGGATGCATCGCTTTTTTGCTGAGCTGGAGCCGTCTGTAACCGTCACCGAGCAAAACCTGGCAGACCGAGTTCGGTACATCACGCGTTCGAAAATATTTGATGATGCCGAACTCGAACGACTTCGACGTGAGGCTGTTCCCTCATCGGACGAAAATGCAGTAGCTGGAAATGGGACCCCGCAAGCTGCGGATCCCGCGGGGTTACAAGCGGAAGCGGAGGCCGCGTTTTACCCCCCGGCTCCTGTAGATTCGTTCGATGATGGAATAGTCGCCCAAGATATAGAGCAGATGAGAAGCCTATTGGAGGAGGCAATTCTGGAGGTGCGCGAAACGCCTCTCGAGAATCGACCACGTCTCCCCCGCATACCCCTGAGTAAGCGGAGTCGGTCTGTCGTGAGGTCTCTTAACCCGATGCTGGCAACCTATTTGGAAGCCAGCAGGGATCTTTGCGATACGGACTCAATTCTCTTTGGCGCTGCACTGGCTGTATGCCGAATCGTTGGCGCCAAACTTCCCAAGACTGGACGTGCTACTAGACCAGGTAGCACTATCCCAGTATGGAGAAGAAGAATTGAGGACCGTATCGCAAAGGTAAGGGCCATCATCGGCAGGCTGATAAGCTTCAGGTCGGGCAATAATAGGCCCAGAATTGTGCGCACCGTTAGGATGGCGTTCGCTGGGACCAACATCAACTTGTCCCAGCCGGATATTACGCAAAAACTAACGGAGCGCATAGATGACCTGAAGCAGAGGATCGCTGCTTGGGGGAAGCGGATTCGGAGATATACCGAGACGACGGCGCGGTTTAGCCAGAATCGCCTCTTCCAGAGTGACCAAAAGAGGCTCTACAAATCTTTGGAGCGACCAATGAGCTGTGGAACGGGCCAAGGACCAGACCAGGCGGAAACTGTCGCCTTCTGGCGCAGCCTGTGGTCAGAGCCCGTAGACCACAGCGAGGGCCCTTGGACGCAAGTCGTGGCGAGCCAATGCGCAGATATCACACCCATGGACCCCGTCGTCATAACACCCGACGACGTATCTGAGGCAGTCCGTAGAGCCCCGAACTGGAAAAGTCCGGGGCTTGACGGGCTGCATCACTACTAGCTGAAGGGGTTCGTGGTGTGTCATGCTGTGCTCGCCCGACAGTTCCAAGAGGCTCTCGATCAGAGGTCGCTCCCGAGCCTCTTTACTACTGGGGTGACTCACTTGGTTCCGAAAGATCAGGTTACCACAGACCCGAGTAAGTACCGCCCCATCACGTGTCTACCCACCATCTATAAGACACTGACATCTGTTCTGAGCATGAGAATCACCCGACATATTAATATGAATCGGATTATGTCTCCTGCTCAGAATGGATGTCGGGGCGGCGATCGTGGAACCAAGAAACCGCTTGTCATCGACGCGGTCATTGGCAAAATGGTTAAACGCAACCGTCGGAACTTCTCCGCCGCCTGGATAGACTACAAAAAGGCATTCGACTCTGTGCCCCATACATGGCTCAAGAGGCCTCGAACTGTACAAAGTAGACTGTACAGTAAGAGACTTCCTCGAGCACTGTATGGGGCAATGGAGTACGATCCTTTGTCATCTAGGCGAGCGGATGACGGCTGCGGAATACCGGATAAGGATACGACGGGGTATTTTCCAGGATGACTGTTTGAGTCCAATATGGTTTTGCCTCTCCCTGAATCCTCTCAGCGTATTACTGGGGAGCTCGGGGGGAGGATTTCAGCTTCGGAGAGGAGGGTCAAAAGTGACCCACCTTTTCTACATGGATGACCTCAAATTATTCGCCTCCAATCGCTCCCATTTGATGGAATTGCTTAAAGTCACTTGTGATTTCAGCAATTCTATCAAAATGGAGCTCGGGACGGATAAGTGTGCGGTCCTTCATGTCGAAAGGGGTAAGGTCACTAATACGGAGGGCATAGACTTATCTATGCCCGTTAACATAAGGACCCTCTCTGAGGCTGAAACATACCGATACCTGGGTATGTCACAAAACATGTGTATCGATGAGGCTGGCATGAAACAGTCAGTTCGTGATGTGTTTTTTGCACGCCTGACAAAGGTGTTTAACAGCCATTTGTCAGGCGTGAACAAGGCACGCGCATTTAACGGCTGGGTCATGCCAGTCCTCATGTATACCTTTGGCATACTCAGGTGGACTCAAACTGAGCTCAATGCCCTGGACCGAAAAGTCCGCACAACTATGACGTCCCACAGGATGCATCATCCGAGATCGTCAGTGATGAGGCTGTACCTGCCGCGGAAGCATGGCGGGAGGGGCTTTTTGAGCGCCCTTACCATGCACAATCGCGAGGTGTACAGCCTCCGCAACTACTTCCTGGCGAGATCGGATGAGTCAATCTACACGGACGTCATTAGTCGTGATAAAGGACTTACCCCTCTATCCTTAGCCAACGAGCAATGGCAGGACCCGGGAGTACTGAGCGTTTCCGACCGGGAGGCCGTATGGAAGGAGAAAGAGCTCCACGGGAGGTTCTACAAGGCCCTACACGAGCCTTTCGTAGATACTACTGCCTCCCTCAACTGGCTACGTTTCGGTGACCTGTTTGGGGAAACCGAAGGTTTTGTCTGTGTGATACAGGATCAGGTTATTAAGACGAACAACTATCGGAAATATATCCTAAAGGATGGCACCGTCGACATCTGTCGAGCTTGTCGCCATCCCGGGGAGTCGCTTCGGCATGTTATTTCCGGTTGTTCCATGCTTTCTAACTCTGAGTATCTGTACATTAAAATATGTAGAAAAAGTGCGAAAAGATTGTCGCCGCTGTGGGATTATTTCTGAGTATCTGCATAGACACAACCTAGTAGCCAGAATCCTACACCAGGAGCTCGCTCTGAAATACGGCCTCGTGGATCGGAAACTGCCGTACTATAAGTACTCTCCGGAGGCCGTGCTCGAAAATGACCGCGCCAGGCTCTATTGGGACCGGCTCATCATCACGGACAGGACGATTGTCGCGAACAAACCTGACATCGTGGTGATGGACCGGGCACAGTCGCGGGTATTTTTGGTCGACATTACCATTCCGTATGACGAGAACCTCGTGACAGCCGAAACAGATAAGAAGACAAAGTATCTGGACCTGGCTCACGAGGTGACCGACATGTGGGGTGGTGTGCCGACCGAAATTATCCCGATAGTCGTGTCTGCGAATGGGTTAATCCCAGTCAGCCTCTCCAAACATCTGAGGCGACTGGGACTCCGGGACGGATCGCTCCAAGCTCAAATGCAGAAAGCGGTGCTCCTCGATACCGCCCGCATCGTCCGCCGGTTTCTCTCCCTATCGCCCTAACCCTCGGCCGTTTGGTCTCCCCTGCCGAGGGCTTCCGTCTGGTTGGGTCCTATTCATATATGTATTATATAAAATATTTTTATTAATATGTTTTTTTTTATCCATAATATTTATTTTATATATGCAATATGTATCTATATTTTTATTTATAAACCCAACCAGACGAGGAAACAAATGAATATCCCCCCAAAATAATAATAATAATGTATTTATTCGCGAAATATAGGTTAGGCATGAGGTATACAGTACAGTAATTTTTATCGCTATATTCTACCCATTTTGTAGGGTGTGCAAATATGATATGTTCGCTTAAAGGTTGTCAGTATACATTCTTGAATTATGTACCATAGAATTTTACATGTATATATTTTTATTCTTAACCTTGAAATAAATATATTTATTCATGGTCCAACCACAATAGATACATGTAACAAACTTAAAAATAATGAAAATGCACAGAACATAAAATAATATTGCATAAATTAAAAAAAGACAACAAAAAAATTATGTTTTCATTAAAAATAATTTTTGAAAAAAAAAATGAGGTTACAACTACGTACCAAATTGTGCATATGCTCTGTTAATATGTCCATCGTTTATAAAATCAACCTGTACAACTGATTTTTATTATGTAATGTAAACCTACGGAGTTTCTATCGCCTATTTCTTCTTTTTTAGAGGAACTTAATTACGCAACGGTGGTAGGTTTAAAAAAATTACTATCGATAGATGAAATGTACGTTTCTTATGTTCACGAATAAATGATTTTGAAAATTGTGGTAATGCCCGTTAAGAGTACAACGCTGTCTATCTCTGTCTAGCTCGTTGTAAATTTAGCGCTGATTGGTCTTTTCATTCATCCACTCTTTCTTATGTCAGGTTCTGACATCGGCGGATCGACCCGGATGCCGGCGTTCTACTGCGGCCTCTTCGGCTTGAATCCCACCGCAGGAACCACCAGCCTCAAAGGTGAGACGTTAAGGTCCTACCACCAGGTGGCCAAGCATTAAGTAGTCCCTAGCGCCAAGCATCGGCTTCTGCTGTTGCACTAATGGGCAGGCTCCTCAGGAGATATACCACGGTCTACTGTGGGACCGTGAGAAGAAAAGAGAGAAATAGATGTGAGAGTGAAGTGAAAGTATAATACTTTCACGTTTCGTCTGGTGAGTGAGGTGACCGGGGCACACTTTTTTAAAGGTTAGCAACGCATCTGCAACCCGGCAGGTGTTGCAGATGTCCAGAGGCAACGTCAATTGCTTAACATTAGGTGAACGCTACGTACAACTACCACGTATTATAACGGAATGGCTTAGTGGGTAGTGTACCCGCCTCCTGCGCCAGAGGGTGTGGGTTCGATCCCCGCTACTGGTAAAATATTGTGTGATGAACATAGTGTTTTTCTAGCGTCTGGGTGTTTATATACATGTATGATATGTATTTATTTCGTAAAGAAAAGTATGTGTATCAATTATCTATTACGGAGCGTTGCTTAGTTTTGGACTAGAGAACGTTGTGTAAAAATATGTCCTAGAAATATTTATTTATTTATTCTATCCATTCCTTATGTTCTTGGGGCAGGGTCTGCGCTGCGCTCCGGACTGGAGCCAACCATGGCCTCAGTGGGCTTCATCAGCAAGCACTCCCAAGACCTGGCGCCGCTCACGGCCGTTCTGCTCAACGACGAGGACAAACAGAAGTTGGGCAGGAAGGTCAACATCGAGGTGACCACAGAACCCTTAAATAATCCTTACTAATATTATAAATGTGAAAGCTTGTGTGTATGGATAGATGTTTGTTACTCTTTCAAGCAAATACTACTGAATGGATTTTAATGAAACTTTACAATAATATAGCTTATACATCAGAATAACACATTTATATACATATTTTTATATCTATCTTTCTGTCTGAATGTTACGCCTTCAGCATATTCAGCATAGTCGCGGGCAGCAGCTAGTAATACCAATAGGCCGTCGAAGATCTTTCCTAACGCTACTTCTTTTATCTTCAGGACATCAAGTTCTTCTACACTGAGAGCGCGCAAGACCTTCGCGTCAGCCCCCTCAGCCAGGACCTCCGCAAGGCCATGAACCGGTACCAAGAAGTTTTTTTTCTTTTTTTAAACATTGCCCTTACTTTTGGGATAACATTATCCTGTGTTGTAAGGACGTTTTACAAACGTAAATTTCACACGGACAAACACAGTGTGACCCACAGATAGTGGTCCCGTGTGGGAATCGAACCCACGACCCCCGACGCCGAAGCCGATATCTTGGCGACTTAACTAGCTTAGTTCATCCTTATCAAGTTAGTCTCTAATCGAAGGTTCATTCTTAAATGAGTTAAATAGTATATCGTTGTGAAAGCAACTGTCGTGGTATGGTGAAATTAGAAATATTTCTTATATGGTATATGATATATACCAGCCGCTTGACCCGGGTGGACATTTATTTATTATATATATCATATAATATTATTTAGTATAAATATCTGATTACAGATCCTTAAGTTGCCACTCAAACCGAGACAATTTTTTGGGACCAAGCTGTGATGCTCAATTTTAATTCAATATACCCGAGCGACCATAGTTCAAATCCTGGTGCGAGAGCAATGAAATTGTTGATTGCAATTTTATGTGGTCATCACATGCTCAAGGGGGAAGGAAAATCGGGCTCAAATTCAAATCCAAAATATCTATATTCAAATAGACACTTACGCGTTCTTATGAAACGTCGGATTTTACATAAAAAAATAATATATAGGTTTGTAAGTGACCACTGGTTCGGAAAGTAGTTTCTCTAGAGACCGACAAGAAACTCAACAGTTGCTCTTTTTACAAGGTCAGTTTTTATTAAATAGCTATAATAGACTGATTGAGGTCTGAACTGGTATCTCGGTTGCAGCGTGGTGGAGGGCCTCCGCGAGGGTGGTTTCGGCGGTGGGGGTGGGGCTGGGGCCCGGCGCTACGACCACCCCGGCTTCCAGCACATGTACGCCCTCTGGCGGCACGCGATGACCAAGGAGGCGGAGAGCTTCTCCCATCTCCTGACCAACAACCAGGGGAAGGCTAACGGACTGCTGGAGCTGCTGAAGAAGGTATGCTTTCCGTCGATAGCCCATTACGTTTCCATTTTAAATCGACCCACAGTAGCTGCAAGGGGCTTTTTTGTGTGAGAAAGTGGCATACGAGGTGGTGGCTCACGTGAAGTTAAGTGATAACCGTCCCCACTTGATATTTGCAACATCCGTAGTGTTGCATATGCGTTGCCAATTTTTAATTAAGTGGGCCCCGGCTACCTCACTCGCCAGACGCAACGTAGAAGTATGACACTTCACCTTCACGCCGGTCTTATGTAAGGTCGTGGTACTTACTGTACTGTAGCCCTACCACAGTTATTAACAGTATTTCTTGTCTGCTCACTCATACAACTTAAACTTTATCCCCTAATATTATTTCCATTTGTTTGGCAACTACTCATATGTACAGCGTGTCGTTACCATCGCGACAATAAACGAACACACGTCTAACACTACTTGCCAATAATCATAAAAAAATATTAACGTTAAACAAAATCCATAATTAAAAAAGAAATATTTTTCAAACAAACTAATTAAGTAAAAAAGAAACAAAATTTGTAACATCCTATACAACTCGTGCCACAGCGTCGCATTACAAGCCTCTCCTTCTAACAGTATGTTTTGTCTCTTTTAAATTCATTCAACCCATTCGTATGCTTTGTGACCTTTACAAATGAATTTTACGTTACAGTTTTATACGTAAGGGTGTTCTAAAATTGTTTGTTTTTGAAAATTTAATAACTCTGTAAATATTGATGTTTGAAGAATGTAAATATTTAATACAATTTTAAAAATTTATCCTCTATATGTGTGTTCATTTATTGTCGCGGTGGTAACGACACGCTGTATATGGCCTTTTCCAACCTGATTTGTATATATTGCGATAACTAACAAGACAAAAACACTTCCTTTTTTCATAAGTTATTGCTGTGTAAATTAGTAAGGATATTGTATGAATAATATATTAACTCAGAATAATGGCCTAAGTCAAGGCGATCAGAATGGTGTAAATAAACTCACATATTCACTACAGTACATAAGTTTAGTCCGAAAAATGCCCACATAGTTATGATAATAGTTTGTTGCTTCTCGCAGCTGATTGGATTTTCCGCGTACACGCTGGCTGCCATCTTGAAGTTGCTGGACGACCAGGTCCTGCCGCGAGTAGACCGCGACTGGGCCGAGAAGACCACCAAAGAACTAAGAGAGGACCTCGTGGTAAGATAACTATAACAGAGCTCTTCGTCTTTCGAAGGTAATAAGAACGCAGAAGATAGGTCTACATTACGCCAACCTTCATTCAAATCATTGTGTATTTCTACGTGAAAACTGCTGCGTAGACCACGTTCTTGAGTAAAAAAACGCACCAGATCAGACAAACTATATTAATTTATTTCAAAATTTACTGAATACAGATTTACCCTTTGGGAATCTAAGCAAATAAATTCTTATTGTTGTTATTTTCAATTCAGTCATATATTTTCAATCTGACGGCCGGTTTCAATATTCTATGTCTGTAGATTTAGCTGGAGATAGAATTTTGACGTAAGTATTATGGAACTAATGTCAAATACCTATCGCTAGTAATCAAATCAGTTTTAATTAGAAAAGACTAAACCGCAGAACCAATTATAATGAACTTCGGTATAAATAAACCGAAAAATAAAGATACGACCTTGGAGAAGCAAATAAGCAACTCGAAGTAATCGTGTGCAGAAAAAGTCGTGGGCGCAAACTCGTTTATTACATATAATAAAAGGTACTTAAATATAGCTTTTATCGCTTTGCAGAGCACTCTAGGCGCGGATGGCGTTCTGCTATTCCCCAGCGCCCCCGCCCCCGCCCCCTACCACTACTCGCTCTACTTACGCCCCTTCAACTTCGCCTACTGGGGAGTGTTCAACGCGCTCAAACTGCCCACCGCTCAGGTAACGTAGAAGTAACAGCCCATACATATCCCACTGCTGGGCAAAGGCCTCCGGGGGTAGGCATAGCCCACCACGCAGATTGGGGACTTCACATATCTTCGAAAATATTTTTTCTTTCTTATTATTTAGAAAATATTCAGGTTTCCTCATGATGTTCACGTTCTCCGTTCACCGTTGAGCACGTAATAAAGTCAGCACTTAAAATTAACAATTTCATCGGTGCTGACACCAGGGATATTGAACTCGGGATGCTTTTACTTGTCCAGACCCTCTAGCCGCTAAGCTAAGCGGTCTATATTGTCACCGCGATTCTTAACGTTTTGTCTACTTTATTTATTTATTTATAAAGAAAGGCTTACCAACTAAATACATACAAGAACATTGACACACAGAAAGGCATAACTTAATCATGAAGTTGTAACAATATAGTTGTATATGTTACTAATTACAGGTAAACACAAACTTGAATTAGACAACAGAAGAGACTTACTAAACTAAAAAAAAAATATCTTTAATCTCTAAGAATTGTATCTCATTATCCGCGACAGTTAGACATTTGAAATGATCACAGATGTTGTATTTGTTGCTGTAGCGGCAACAAATACTAAAAAACAAAATAATAAATATTATAACCACAAGACCGTCGGCCCCGAATCCGATACCTTACAATTATTTTATTTTCTGTTTGCCACAACCGTTGCTCGCGTCGCAGGTGCCTCTGGGGCTGAACGCCGCGGGGCTTCCCCTGGGCGTGCAGGTGGTGGCGGGGCCCCACCAGGAGGCGCTCTGCCTGCAAGTGGCGCGGCTCCTCGAGGACCAGTTCGGCGGCTTCGTGCCCCCCTGCCGCGTCCCCTGATGGACTCCCCTTCTCAGCTCAAACGAGATGAGTCGGCAACAGCTACTTGATTCTTCCACAGCTCAAACGAGATGAGTCGGCAACAGCTACTTGATTCTTCCACGTTCTTCCTTCTAACCGTTTTGTATAAATTACACGAGAAATGTTATTTCACATTTCTTTCCTCTATGTGAACTTTACTACGTGTAGTGGAAGGGTATACTTCTGCGTTTCGTCTGGTGAGTGTGGTAGCCCACATTATTAAAAGGTGGTCTGTGAACCATACGGGTTTTGCAAATGTCCATGGGTGGCACGCTCGCCACCATTTCACATAAAACAAATATTGTACGTCATTTTTAAGATAACTGTAAATTTCAAATGTAGTTTATTTGTTTTAAAAGAAATTAAAATATATTATTATATTTAAATTTTGATGTAAAAATTTTCACCATAGTTTTTATATTTAATAATATCACGGTGACCAAATATCCTCATATTTTGTTCTAATTTTTTATTGTTCAGTTGCAACAACAACTTTATGACAATTGTCAATTGTCTTTATGTTAAAGATTAATTACCTTTTTGTAGTTAAGATGTTGTGATGATTGAATCCATAAGGGGTGATAATTATATATACTCAAAACATGTTTCCTGTAATATCAAATCAATGCAAGTTGATACTATATATAATGTGATATTTTTTATGCAATTTTTGATATAATTTGCTTAGTCGAGGCTTTATATCCTAAAGTAGTTTTTAAATTCCTAAATATATTTTTATAGATGATCTTTTACGGTGGTAGGGCCACGCAGCAGCCTCGGCTGTTGCACGAATGGGCAGGCCCGTCCGGGTAAGTACCACGACCTCACAGAAGACCAGTGTAAAGTGGAAGTATGACAAATACTTTCGCGTTTCGTCTGGTGAGTGAGGTAGCCGGAGCCCAATTTTCAAAAGGTTGTCAACGCATCTGTAACCCTCGAGTGTAGCAGATGTCCATGGGCGGCGGTATTCACTTAACATCAGGTGAACCGTCTGCTCGTTTGACAACTTTTCGCATAAAAAAAAAAATAAATAAAAAATCTTTACAGCTTATTTTTTATGATGTTCCATTATATAGGCTGGATGTATGGTGGTTGTTATAAATAAGACTGTTATTTTGTATTATAAATTGTGATTAATTGGTAAAGGGAAATGTATTTTGGATAAATAAATATATGTACCAAAACTTTTCAATTCTCTTTCTTTATCTATTACACTGTTTCCAATTACAAACATAACTGTTATTCCAGGTTTAATAAAAAGTACCTGGGGGACCGAGCTTTGCTCGGTATGTTTTTTTTTTTTTGTAATCATATATTTTGGACATTACATTTAGATACAAATTACTGAGTAATGAAATATGCATAATATTTTTCGATCTTACCGACGAAATGATAAGAAAATATGAACAAACAAAATCACAAAAGAAAGAACTTTATAAAAACGGGGAAAGAATAACAAAATCATCCGAATCGACAAAAAATTAAAATAAAGAAAGCAATGATCTATTATAAAAAAACGAAAAAAAAAAATTGTGTGTAAATGATCGTGACACGAACCGCGGCCGTCTGTTTTGGGGCTGCCCGATTACCAACCGAGCTATTATAACATTTTTTTTTTGCGGTGAAATTTACCGTCATATTCGAATGATATTTTTCATTCCCTGAAAACAGGGATAAAAGGACATTTTATAAAAATGAAACCTAGCTAGATCGATTATTGCCGCACCTACGTAAATCTTAACGTCTTTTATCTATTTTTAGCATTTCAAGTAATGCTTGGCGCATCCATTGTTATATCCTTTCCAGCATACAAACAATTTGGAATATCGTTTTACAATGATAATTCGATATTGTTTGTATGATAAGATTTTCGTCGGTGTGGCAATCAGCCGTTTAGCTTAGTGGTTAAAGCAGGCCGCGAATGTCGAAGACGTGGGTTCGATTCCCACAGCGGCGACAGCCTTTTCGTACTTTCTCTACATATTTTAATTTTCGGCTTAATATTATTGTAAACACAAAGAAGTCATTGTATCACTACTATCTAATGGATTTTATGTTGTTTATTTTCGACGTTTCAAAAATTGCACTATCAATGCTCATGGAATAAGACCCTATCTTTGACAGCATGACACCAACGAACCTGAGCTGCTGATATCGTTTTTACTTATGGATAAATTATAATACATTTAAAATAGTTTCATTTGACGACATGTAATATACTCAAATATTAAAAGTTATTTGTTCGAATTCCCAGTGTGTTTTTGTAAAATGTCTCAATAAAAACATTAAAAAAGGATTTCTCGTTTCTACGCCTAAAATCATACATAGTTAAATGAAACTATTTTAATTGATTTTATCGCTATTTATATGGATTTCACGTTCCCAAAGTTTCGAACTTTCCATAACTTCCCAGGGTTCATCTGTTTTGAGACCATGAACATAGTAGCATAAAATAGTTTAATTTAACCAAAAAAAAAAATAAGATCTATTACTATTCAATCAGATTGGGGTTGCGCAAATGAAAGACTGATGACCGAGAGAAAATGTTTATTGGAACCGGAGGAGGGCTCGGCCCGCCCCGATGTGAGTTTCATCCGTGCAACGGATCGACCACTCCCCGTCCCACTACCTTACCCTACGACATAATCTATAAGAGTTCTTACAAACAAATTTAACACCAATATAGTCTTACGAATCATTTTTTTTTTTTTCATAGAAATGCCTCGCTTTAAAATTAATTTGCGAGATTACAATCAGCGCGAGCGGCATTGCCGCCGACGCTTCTACAAAATCTACACATTATTTTCATTACATTTTTTATCAACCAGATTACAAACAAGAATGTTTTTTTTTTTTCGAAAAGTCAATACAATAGTCACTACGGTTAATCTGAATGTCAGTTGACTTTCTACTCTTAACTAGTTGAAAAATTCGAATCCAAGAGTCAATGCGCCGTGCGCGGACGCGGCGCGGGGGATGTAACGGGACTACGGCCTAACCTGTGTTCCTCCCGAGGGGCGCATCGCGGCGGCGAGTGGGGGAGGCGTGGCGCGCGTGACGTGACGTGACGTGACGCGACGTGACGCGGCGTGGCGCGCGTGACGTGACGCGTGGGCGCGTGACGCGCGCGTCGCCCGGCGGCGGTCACGCGCGGCGGCAGGGCAGCAGCGCGCGCGCGAGGCGGCGCAGCAGCGGCGCGGCGCAGCAGGCGCGCGGCGGCGGGGGCGCGGCCGCCCGCCCTCAGCTCGGGAACTTGGCGTAGAGCGCGTAGTGCAGCTCGTAGCCGGAGAAGCGGCAGTACTGCGCCTCCTTCTGCTCGTAGCCGCACAGCGACCGGAAGCCCTTCAGCTGGCGCGGCGCTGCGGCGCCGGGCGCGTCCTGCAAGCAGAGAAAATCACTTAATTATAAATCATCCGTAGAACAACAGCGAATAAAAGTTTCGTGCTATCGTCGCGAAATAAACACTAACAATTATTACAAAACACCGACGCACCCAAGCTTGCATTAAAGAAAGTTAACGGGAAAACGACATAGATGGCGTTGTATTATATTCAAATAATTATATCAACGTGCGTGAAAATTGTGAACGACTTCTATAAGTGGAAGATATGTTGATTGCTTTACGACTGTGCTCGAATTCAATTTCTATACGTTGTTTTTTTGTTTTATATGTGTTAAATTGTTATTCTTACTTTTATGTTAATTTTAATTTAATTACATTAAAATATTTGTACACTCCTAGAGTAAAACATGTTGAACTTCACCATGACGTTACGGCTGCATGCCTTTCGCAAGTAAATTATCATTATGTGCATGTCATGCGTATTGTGAGTGCATGTGCGTGGGGGGCGGTGTATTGTTACGCACCGGCGTAGCGAACACGGTGAGCACGAAGCGGCCCGGCCGGAAGGCGCCCAGCACGCGCGCCACCACCTCGTCGTAGCTGGACACCGGCACGTTCGACTCGAACGACACGTACGAGCACGACCGCTCCGGCGTGATGTGGATCGTCATGTAGCAGCCCTGGAACGGAAGCGCGGCCGCCGGTCAGCGACAGCCCTGATACTGTCCAACGTTCAGCCCCGATGCCAAATCGATAATTTAGCGCGGTGCCAACCCTTAAGGTTAAAGGGATTAAATCCCTTTAGTCTTTCAACAACTTAAATGCGAGTACAACCCTAGCCTCCCCTCTCGTGTGCCAACCCTGTTATCAGAAAGTGCATGTCATACTAGACGTAGCCATGTAATAAGACATTACAGCTGTAACGCCACTAACCACAAGTCACCTTGAAAGCTGACTAGGTTGTCATCATCAATTACGTCTATATTGCAGGTTAAGTCAGTGCAATTTTAAATCTCTATTGATATCCAAGCTAGATTATTTTATTTTGAATCTTAATCTAAATATGTCAGTCTCCATAGACTGGGGATAAATTCAATTTCGTACATATTATAGAATTCAATTGTTATTATATTTACACAAACTAACATAACTATTTAAAAATATATTGCAAGGGTAATGATTTCGATATATTTCGATTATAGGCAAGAGAAATATTCAAGACAATGTGAGAAAGATCAAAAAATAATAATGACACTTACTGATGGCAAATCTTTATCTCCCTTCGGTAGCATAAAATAAAAGCATAAGCAATTGAAACCGTTTAAAAAAATTAAAAGACTCACAGTAAAACCTCTTAAAATAATTAATAGTTATAGTTAAAAACTATGAATATTACACAAATCTACTGAGAGCCGCTGAGCTGTGATAGCTAGCTCAGTGTCCGGGCGCTCGCCTTTAATTCAATATACTCTAGCAACCTGAGTTCGATCCCCGGTGCCGGCACCAATTAAATTGTTAATTTTTAGTGCCGAATTATCACGTGCTCAGCGGTAAAGGAAAACATCGTGAGTAAAACCTGCATATTTTCGAAATAATAACAAAAAAAATATTTTTTTGTGGGGATTTGTTATTATTATATGATTTATTGTTATATGAAATAATAACAAAAAAAATATTTTTTTGTTATTATTAACATATGTGAAGTTCGCCAATCCGCAGTGGGGCCGCGTGGTGGATTATGCCATCTGTACAGAGGAGGCCTTTGCCCAGCAGTTGGACATGTATAGGCTGATACTTTACTTTACTTACTTTACTGAAAGCATTAACAATTAAATTCCACTATAACTAAACTAAATATTAGTCTATAATCACTAAATTTACCATAAATTACAAATGCAATTTTTTTTTAACTGAACCTCTTCTTTCCCCCTTTAATGTTAATTGTACTGAAAACAATCTCAATAACACAATTGTTATATAAGTTATTACGTACATATATTTTATTACAGTTAAATGTTACAAGTAATGAAAGTATTTCTACATCACTTACATCCTTCGCCACGCCATTCATGGAGTAGCCGCACGGATCAAAGAGATAGTCGTCTATCACCATCCCTGGAATGATTTTATCTATTCCAGACTCCTAGAAAAGAGACAAAATTATTAAGTCTATTGCACAGAATTCAATGAAGATCTGACTTGATGCTGCATCTACTAGGGGTGTCTACGCTGAAATTGAAGACCTCACTAATCTAGTCTCTTAAATTGTAACATTGCCCCAAAAACAGATAAAGCTTAAACTGGGCAAGTCTAAGTTTGCGCTACCACAGCGCTTATATTGTAAAGGAGCGTTCAGGAAATGGTATTTAAAAGTTCTTCTCTTAATGTAATGTAATAAAAAAATATGAACTGGTGTTTTTCACAAAAGAAAGAACTTTTAAGAAAAAAGGGAAAAAAATAACAAAATAACAAATCGACAAAAAATAAAAGATAAAGAAAGCAATGATCTGGAATCGAAAAAAAAGTAAAAAAATAAGTGTGTAAATGATCGTGATACGAACCACGGCCTTCTGTTTCGTGGCTGTTTGTAGCGACCGCCCGATTACCGACCGAGCTATTACATCATTTTTTTTTTCGGTGAAATTTACCGTCGTATTCGAATAATATTTTTCATTCCCTGAAAACTGGGATAAAATGACATTTTCTAAAAATGAAACCTAGTCAGATCGATTTTTCGCCCCCGAATCTACGCACATACTAAATTTCATGAAAATCGCTGGAGCCGTTTCCGAGATTCCAATTATATATATACAAGAATTCCTCGTTTAAAGGATAAGATATAGTTATATGAATATTATAAATGATGTCAAAACCCGGTTTACTTTTACTACTAAATTTAGTTCTTTTATACATGTTTGTAATAAGAAATTATCATTAAGTTATCTATTACAGCCTACCACCGTAAATGTCCCTTGATAGTGGTAAGAGGTCAGTTTGAAAATATGAGACAGCCTGACAAGGTAAAATAAAGGATTTATAGTCTGATCATCTAATCGAGTTAACATGAGTTGAACAAAAACACAAGACTAATTTGCTTTATGTCGCCATCAAGCAGGCGATATCACCTCTAGTGTATAACTATAATAAAATACTGAGGAGTGCAAGAGGCCTCCATGAGGGGTGTAAGTGACCTCTAGGAGGAGCCAAGACCACCTGTTCTCGTAGGTGCGAATCTATCATTACTTTTTTCTTTTAAAAACATTGCCACGTTTCCACATTATCCCGTGTTGTAAGTACGCTTATATACATCAAACAGCCCAGATCCGAGACAACTATATTCTGTTGGTCACACAAATAGTCTGTAGTGGGAGTCGAACCCACGACCCTCGGCCTCGAAGCCAATACCTGCAAATGCGCCACGGACTCATCAATCTCATACTCTACCGTCCTTTGGAATCTCGAAGGGTCCATTCTGAACAGGTCAGGGTGAGGATACCGTATAACCTGGTCTACCCCGGGAAGTTCCTTCAGAAAATCTGTTACCTTGGTCAGATCATATTTGATAAGAATACCTTATAACCTGGTATTGCCCTTTAGAAAATCTGTTACCTTGGTGGCCTGCGCAGCCGTGTCGCTGTGCGCCCTGGTGAAGATGCTCATGACCTCAGGGTCCAGCTCCGACATGAGGATCTCGATGGTCTGGTCCGGCTCCGAGGCCTCGCAGCCGGCGCTCGCCTCGCGGTGCTCCTTCTCAAGGGCCGCGACAGTGCCTGCAGCGGACATCGAACTATATAGACAGTACAGCTTATAGATTAGTAGCCCCAAATCTGGACAGCTACTACGTCCGTTTTAGTTTTTTAAAGGCTTTTTTAATTTTTTATTAATTTTTTAAATTTTTTTTCTTTAATTTTTTAAAGTTTTTATTAATTTTTCACAGATTTCAAAAACGGAGGAGGTTCTCGATGACGTCGTGGCCGCAATTATAAATACTCTCAGCGGCGAAAAGGTTTTCATCCATTTTTAGGGTTCCGTACCAAAAGGGTAAAACGGTAAGACTCCGCTGTCTGTCTGCCCGTCTGTCACCAGACTGTAACTCATGAACTGTGATAGTTAGACAGTTGAACTTTTTACAAACAATGTATTTTTCTTGTCGCTTTAACAAAAAATACCAAAAAACAATTTTATAAATAATGCTAAAACAATTTAAAAAATAATAACCGCTTTTATAAATAATGGGACGAAAACTACGTGCGCGAAACGACTCGCACTTGGCCGTTTTTATTTTGATAAATATACCGGGATTTGTCTAATATCCGAGCCCAATTTTCAAAAGGCTGTCGACACATCTGGAACCCTTGGATGTAGCAGATGTCTATGGGCGGCGGGATTCACTTAACATCAGGTGAACCGTCTACTCACTTAGCAACTTTTCACATTAAAAAAATAATAAAGATCTGAACGAGATTTTATTTCAATGATTTGCCTTACAACTAAAAAGTAAAAGTAAAGTAACAGCCTATACATGTCCCACTGCTGGGCAAAGGCCTCCTCTATAGAGAGGGTATCAGGGCATAGTCCACCACGCGGCCCCACTGCGGATTGGCGGACTTCACATATCTTCGAAATACATTTTTTTGTTATTATTTCGAAAATATGCAGGTTTCCTCACGATGTTTTCCTTCACCGCGGAGCACGTGATAAGTCAGCACTTAAAGTTAAAAACTTCATTGGTGCCGGCACCGGGGATCGAACTCAGGTTGCTCGAGTATATTGAATTAAAGGCGAGCGCCCGGACACTGAGCTATCACGGCTCTCTTACAACTAAATTAAGGTTTTATTTGGTTTTAAATTTGGGAAAACATTTCAAAACTTAATATATTTATTATAAGATGGAGCTAGCGGAAATAAGACCAAATAGGGAGGAACACGATATATGAATGAAGAGACGAAGGCAGTTTTAGAGAAAAACATAAACTGGGTAATTTATACAACACGAATTCGTTGGAATCGACGGGCGATATATTTGTCTTCCACCGAATAGCCAGTAATGACACGCAGATAGTGAAATCGTCAACAATGAGAATTGCTTCATATTAGTACACGGGTCGTCGACGTCTATCACGGAGTGAATGAGTGTAGTATAAACCGCGATAAACCATTGATCTCGACTATCTACAGACGTCGGGTGCTTACCCGTCGATCTAGTTACGTGAACTTGGGATAATTTTGTTGCAATTTCCATATGGAAGTCATGAAAGTTTCTACTCGTGTAGCGATTGGCGAATAATGCTTCTTTTCAACAACAAACAGGTATAATTAAATTGATAACAATTCAAGAACATAACATTCATTAAGAGAGTGCAAGACCGATGCTAGTCTCTATCTGATTATTTATTACACGTGTAGTCAACATAGTATGAAAATAATTCCCCTTGAAAATGTTCCATTTAATTAAGTACGAATTGCTTCATTCATTTGTTCCCATTATTTCTGGTTACGAAAAATATTTTAATGGTAGCGGTCTTCGATTTAAACAGCCTCAGAATGCGAATAAAAGTCCTCCATATGGATAGACGTTATCTAATTGTATTTAGGCATTAATTTACCCAAACACCCAGATCGGAAAGAATTATCTGTGTGTCACACAAATAGCTGTCCCGTGTGGGAATCGAACCTGCGACCCTTGGGACCGAAACAACTGCACCACGGAATCATCATGTTAATAATTAAGTATATGCATATAGGTTTAATATTTTTCTAATAACTAATTGTATGGTTTAATTAAGCTATATACGGATAGACGGACGGTGCACAGCGAGTAATAAGGCAGTGGTGTTACCTTCGAGGGGCAGCAGCGTGTAGAGGTACCAGCAGTCTTTCTCCGGGCCCATGATGTAAGCGCGCCCGTCTCCGAAGAACGAGTCCAGGAGTTCCACCTGACGAGAAAAGTGATTCTTACTTTAAATTACCGTACCGTAAATTCTTACCACTGAATATTATATACTAAACAAAACTATAGCTATTATATACTAAAGACGACGTCTCAACTAGATTAACACGCGCTAGAGCTGAAAGCATCACTAGGAGCGATCTATCGCTGCATGTTTGAATCGTTTGGGTGGACGATTAATGATTGTTTCAGCGCTGCAGCGGACTTTAGTTTTAACTCTTAATAAAATGTAACAAAGGTTTGGTTGGGTTAGCTACTCGAAATAAAATTCAATGCTATTGACAAGCTGATTTAAATTACCAGTAATCTTAAAACTTTATTTTCATTTTTTTTATACATCAAGTTCGTTGCAGGAAATACCAAATGCGATAGTTAAATTCAAATACAATTAGAGAAATGTAAAGCGGCAGTAATTGGTGTAAAACGTAATTAATTGGTCCGTGACCTAAGTACAGATAAAAACAAGTAAGTAAGAAAAAAGTATCGGACAAGACTGAATTTAATTGAAGAACTTTGTTAGTTAGATAATTCGCTCTTCAATATTTAATATCACTTCACTTGATGTTCCAATTTAACTTGCTTTTTTTTTATATGAAAAGTTGCCAAACGAGCAGACGGTTCACCTAATGGTAAGTGAATACCGCCGGCCATGGACATCTGCTACACACGAGGGTTACAGATGCGTTGACAACCTTTTGAAAATTGGGCTCCGGCCACCTCGCTCACCAGACGAAACGCGAAAGTATTTATCATACTTCCACTTTACGCTGGTCTTCTGTGAGGTCGTGGTACTTACCCGGACGGGCCTACCCATTCGTGCAACAGCCGAGGCTGCTGCGTGGCCCCACCACCGTTACTAACAACTATCCTCAAATATATGTACGTGACGATCGTCTAATCACTTACTTACTTTTCTTTGCATAATTTTTTCCTTAATTACGTTATCAGTGGTATTATTGGTGCTTAACCCCCCCCCCCCCCCCCCCCCCCCCCCCATACCCCCAATTAAAAACTGGTTACGCCAATTGGTGTAATTAGATTGCTATTCTATAGACTGCAATCACTTTCTGTATCATACGTTCTATATCATTTATCACATTCACTTATATACATCATGCAATATTTTAACAACATTTAAACGCCGCTCACTATGAACATGTGTAATCTTGATTAAAACGTCGTTGATGGTAGCTATAGAAGTGGTAGCAGAAGTGGACTGCACAGAACACAAAAATTTAGTTGCTCAGCAATCGACTCTGTTTGTATGCGTCACTATCGATTCTGTTTATATATAGGTCGGATCACGTGGTTTCGATGCCATAAAAAACCAACCCGTGTCGCGCGTTGATGTGATTTACGTTCGTAAAATTGCGGTCATGCTTCATGATTTTCCGGTTGTTAAACTACCGCACGTAACTCTTACACCTTCTTTGGCGATTCATAATAACAATTGTGTCGCGGCTTTTTTTAATGAAAATGAAGAGATTGCAGTCGACTGATTGACTAACGCCCGGTTTCTTAAACACTGATCATCGTAGATGTCAACTAATCAGGTGTCAGATGGATTTTAAAATGACATTTAAGTTGCCAAAAGGATGGATAAACTTTTGAATTGATCATGCTGATTTCCGACCATTAAAAAGATCATTCTGGTCAAATCAGAGAGTTTAACCATCCATCCAACCATTGAAATGCCATTTGACGGCTGATTAGTTGACATCTACGCTGATCAGTGTTTCAGAAACTGGGCGTAAAGTGTGTGAAATTTCATACTCCTCCGTCCGCGCAACTTTCCTAAAAAGGAGTGCGTTGTCATCGGCAACGGGTCTATATTGTATAATCGTTCGAACAACATAAAATTGTTCAGGTAAAATAAATGCAAAACAATTTATACTCGGAGCTAGAACTCACAGATGGCGTCTCCCTAAGTAGCTCTCTAATATATTGCAGCCTACGCGTACTTTACTTTTTCATGAGCTGGCGGTTCACCCGATATTAAGTGATAATCGCCGCCATGAATATTTGCAACACCACAGGGTTGCAGATGTGTTGCCACATTATAATAAATTGGGCCCCGGCTACCTCACTCGTCAGACAGAAGTGTAACACTTGTACATCGCGCCAATCATCTGAGGCCGTGGTGCTACCCCGTACGGATCTGCCCACTCGTGCGACAGTGAGGACTTAGGTACGTGTTGATGAAACTATTCTTGCAGCCCGAATACTATACAACTCAGTAAAACACGTGGAAAGACTGGGCGCTTGTTGAAGCAAGTTTAGGCTGCGTAGTAACATCTGCTCCTCAATTAGTCCTATACGAGCCAAGGTCGGTGACACGAATTCATTATGTTGTTTTTAATAGCGTAAAGGCCCATTTACATGGAGCCAGTTTCTTGCCTGTTGTATACAATTAAATTGAAGCAATAAATGTGTTGCATGGTCTAAACAACAAACGGTCTAAACAATTATTGCGCGCAATTTATTGCATTCAATTATTGCTCTTGTATGTACAAGAAAATGGCATCGTGTAAATGGGCCCTAAGTACGCCATGTACAGTGGCAATTGTTTAAGTGGGTACGGCGGTATTTTAAGTGTTCCTTGAAGGTTACCGGGGTCCCGTGAATCATTTATCTATTTTTCAAGCGACTTCAAAAAAGGAGATTTTCTTCGAAAAAGAAAAGAATTCGACCGTAGTTTTTTTATGTTTGTTACCAGAACTAAGAGCCGTGATAGCTCAGTGTCCGGGCGCTCGCCTTTAATTCAATATATTCAATCTGAGTTCGATCCCCGGTGCCGATGCAACAATGAAATTGTTAACTTTAAGTGCCGACTTATCACGTGCTTCAAGGAAAACAGCTTGAGAAAACCTGCATATTATCGAAATAATTAGAAACAAAAAAATATTTCACAGATATGAGAAGTCCGCCAATCCGCAGTGGGGCAGCGTGGTGGACTATGCCCTGATACCCTCTGTAAAGAGGAGGCCTTTGCCCAGCAGTGGGACATGTATAGGCTGTTACTTTACTTTTTTTCTTTTTTACCAGAACTTTCGATTGAGCGAACCCGTATTGATGATTCTTCTCTTATTTGAAAGCTGGTGCTTCCCATGTGGTCCCATATTCATTGGTATTGTATCTTGGGCTCCATAGTTGAGTCTAAGGAGTTTCCTAAGTATCTCACTTAGGGAAGTCCTTAAACTCAATTATAAATGAATACAGAGCGAGATATTGGATTTCGGTTTTGTTTTTCGTTGATAAAAAAATAGACTTGTTTGTTGCTTGTAAAGTCATGCAATAATGAAAGAGTTTCTTAATGTCATGATAAAAGTGAGATAAATAAATATTTGAATTCTCACTCGTACATTGGAGCAAGGTAAAGGCAGTTTGAAATCGGTTAATAACTCTATTAACACTATTTTTGCTGGAACAATGGCGGCCCGAATGGCGTAATAGGTAGTGTACCTGCCTTGTGCAACAGAGGGCGTGGGTTCGTTCTCCACTACTGTAAAAATATTGTGTGATGAACATAGTGTATTTTTTGTATATCTTTTTGTGTATTTATTTACAAAAGAAAATTACATTTAAATATCTTTATCAGTTATCTAGTACCCATAGTACAAGCGTTGCTTAGTTTGGGACTAGAGAACGTTGTGTAAAAATGTGTCCAAAAAATTAAATAAAAAATATCAATTAAGAATAGCATCATTGTTGGCAACCCTACATCAGATGCAGCGTGACGTGGTCGCCCACGAGGCAGCAGAGGCAATAAAGACGCAGATAAAACTACACACATCGCTCAAAGCGCAGTTATATAAACAGCAACACGTGTTCCCCCACTGCATACGATAATGTTCTCTTAACATTCGTCTACGGGTTATGTAACTTTAAGACAGTGACGGATCTTTGAGCCGCGACAGGTCAGTGTCCGGGCGCTCGCCTTCATTTCAATGTACTCAACCTGAGTTCGATCCCGGGTGCAGGCACGGATGAAAATGTTAATTTTAAGTCCTGACTTATCACGTGGTGGTGAGGGAAAACATCGTGAGGAAACCTGCAGATTTTCGAAATGACAACAAAAAAAATACATTTCGAAGATGTCCACCAATCCGCAGTGGGGCCGCGTGGTGGACTATGCCCTGATGCCCTCTGTACAAAGGCCATTGCCCAGCACTTTTTGAACTTGTAAGACAGAGACAAAAGATGTTGGCTAAATAAATCTTCTGGACGAATAGTGGGACATCAAATATGCAACCACTATAAATACTAAGTACTATAAAGTATATTGGTTAATTCGATTACAGGTAGTCAGAATACTTCGCACCATCCATAAATCTGGATAGGACCGAGTTGTTTGATGTCCTAAAGTCACTGTTAAGCTGGACTGTGGTCAATATAAAAAATACTCAAGTCCTTTTAATTTCACGTAATAAACAACAAGCTTAGTTCTAATTTACAATTTTTATCACGAGCCAAGGAGACAGAATGCTTGTTCCTTTTTTATTGTTATGTGATAAGGTAACAAGCGAACTGGCGGTTCACCTGATGTTAAATGATAACCGCTGCCCATTGATATTTGAAACCCTTGAAGGCCCCGACTACCTCACTCGCCTGACAAAACGCAGAAGTGTGAAACTTTCGCTTCACGCCGCTCTTCGTGAGGTCGTGGTACTGCCCCGGACGGACCTGCCCATTCGTTCAACAGCGAAGACCGTTGCGTGGCCCTACCGCAGTAACACACAGTTAACTGATAACGGCCCTACCACAGTTAACTGATAACGCTATCGGCGAGCCGCGATTTGAACTCTGTTACAAGAGATTTACTCCGTTCGCTCGCCACAGATTCCGAGAAGCAAGATAACGGAACGTGGCGTGCAGATAACGGGTTCGATCTTCTTAACTTAGAGGTCGTTATCTCGCTAGCTGGAAGGCGGGCGTTGCACACGAGTCGTGACGTAAGAGGAGCCGGAAAACTGAACGAGTGATAATCATCACGCATTGGAATTAGTAGATTTAACATCTATAATATATGGTGACACGCAGCAGCTTCTGCTTTTTTTATATGAAAAGTTGCCAAGCGAGCAGACGGTTCACCTGATGTTAAGTGAATACCGCTGCCCATGGACCTCTGCTACACCCGATGGTTCCAGATAGATGCGTTGACGATCTTTTGAAAATTGGGCTCCGGCCACCTCACTCACAAGAAACGCGAAAGTATTATACTTCCACTTTAGGCCGGTCTTCCGCGACGTCGTGGTACTTACCCGGACGAGCCTGCCCATTCGTGCAACAGCCGAGGCTGCTGCATGGCCGTACCACCATGCTGTGGTCTCGGCCTAGCATTGCAAAAGGGCCCTTATCCGCTCCCCTCAGAGCCGAAACTCGTACGGCAACTCGAGTGCTGTGGTCTCGACCGCACAGTGCACTGCAAAAGCGACCCTGCCCGCTCACCTCAGAGTCGAAGTTGTCGTGCGGCTGCAGCTGGGCCTGCGGCCTGGCGAACTCGCGGCGCGAGTAGAACACGTTGTGGACCCTCGCGTGGCCGGCGGTGTCGCGGGCGAGCGCTAGGACGGCGCGCACGCAGCGCAGCGGCGTGGTGGTGCCACAAGTCTTCAGTATCCAGCGGCGGCGCGACACGAACATGCTGCTCTCGCTGGAACCAGGACACGGAGGAATGAGTTGCGCTCTCGTCACTTCGAACAATCATGATTGATGTACGTCTCCGTGGCGCAGTTGCTAAGAGTTCGGCTTCGGCGTCGGGGGGTCGTGTCCCTATTTGTGTGACTCACAGATAGTCGTTTCGCATCTGGGTGTTTGTCCCGGGATAATGTTATCTTAAAGTAAGGGAAATATTAAAAAAAAAAAAAAAAAAAAAAGAAATGTCTGTGCCTTTGTATGCAGTGGAACAAGGGCACGGACGGTTGAGTTGCGCTGTCAAGACTGCGGCCAGTCGATGCCTTTATGCAGGCTAGGGAAGCTGCATAAAGGCATCGACTGAGTTACCAGTTATCAAATAGCTCCAGTTAACGATGTCACCAGCAAGTCTGATCTCAGTCCAGCGCGTACGAATACTGTAAAGCATTCGAAACTTGTGTTTTTAAAATAAAATCTAACCTAGGTGAATCGCTATAATTTTAGATCATGAGATGTATGTACGATGTAACAAAGAGCTGTGGATTTTGTGTGAAATAAAAATAAAATAAAATTGCGTAAATATTCGCGTAAATAGAAGAAGTCATTACTGACGGGTAAACTTATAATGACTATGATTTGACGTTATATCGCAAGCAACTTTGCTATCTACGACACATCTCACTTATCTATTCATGAACTTATAAATCAGGTCGATGGAAGACCTTCTTAAATTAGCTATTCTTACTCAAATAATCGATGCCAAACAATTATTTCAATGATATTTGCATACCTAAAAGAGCTTGAATATTTAGAGAATTAAAGCATTTTCGCTTACAAAGAGACGATTTGCGTCTATTGTCTTTAAATCAACTTACGGCAGCAAGCATATAAACAAAAATTCACTTATCGCAGGCCTTGAAGTAAATATTGATCGGTTGCACCGGTTGATACATAGTTCAAACAACGTCTCGTTACAGAGGTCGAAAGCACATTGGCGATGAAACCATCATACTTCTGTTTCCCTGGTGGTCTTAGAGAACTGAGGCCTGGTGTACATTGGTGCCGGCACCGGGGATCAGGTCGCTAGAGTATATTGAATTAAGAGGGAGAGCTCGGCACTTGCTATCATGTGCGTATGTAAGAACATCTTGCAGTGTTATCATATATTGTCTCTCTGTATAGCATAGTATAAAACAAAGCCGTCCCGCTGTCTCTCTGTCCCTATGTATCCTTAGATTTTTAAAGCTACGCAACGGATCTTGATGCGGTGTTTTACTAGATAGAGTGAACATTAATATAAATTTAGATAGAGTGATTAGATTGAGTGCGAAGCCGAGGCGGCTCGCCAGTAGAATAATATTACACACGGATTTTAACAGAAATGCCAGCCAAAAAACGAATCGGTAGAGATCAGCTGTATGTAATTCCATACAAACGCCTAACGTACATGAATCCGTGTTAGGCTCGCACAAATTGGGCCGTTAATGTGTAACGGCGATAACTATGTCCTTCGCCGGTTCAGCACACGATCTGGTCGTGTCCAACCGAACGAGCACAAAGCCAACATTGACCTGCGACCATTTTAAATTACGTTAGATAAAGCATACAATAGGCCTATACATATTCCGTGCCGTTCTGCGCGAAACACAATTTTGTTTCCTGTTACTAAATAAAACTAATTTCGACCCGTCAATTTTTGTTGACAACGAATTTTGTCAATTGAAATCATTTTCGTCATTGAAATTTGGATGTCGAAAAATGGTAATGTACATTTAATGTAAAAATCAATTAACATAAAAAAATCATTTTGTGACTCTTTTTGAACGGTCTGGGATCAACCCTACAATACCTTTGTTTAGTGCTTTAAATATGCAGGTTTCCTCACGATCGTTATCATATTTAGTCATAGACTTTTTTCAAAGTCAGAGTCCAAGTATATTTATTCAATATAGGCCTAACTTAAGCTCTTATTGAACGTCAACAAAAATCTACCACCGGTTTACTAAACTAGACCTGCACAGAGAAGAACCGGCAAGAAACTCTGCGGTCTTGTTCTTTTTGTTATATATATTTTTTTTAATGCAATTATACACACTTATTTGGGTATAAAATCAGCAGCAGCCAGGGGTCTTGCAAGTGCAGAGCAAGAGTCATTTCCAAACATCCTTGTCCTCTATGTATTCTTGGATATTATAATAAGCCCTTGCCTTCCTTAATTCTTGAACGAAATTAATTTTTAATTTCCCTGACTGGGATCTCAGTTAACTGTTGATATTTAAATGTCATCTACATGACATCTAAATGTCGAGAAACGTAAGTACAGCAAGTTTTTATGCGACAAAGTGTCGGAGAGTCGGATTTCTCCACCGGTCGCAACTACAAACGCAGAACTCTCACACGGATGTCGATTGATAAACAGGAGATAACGGTAGACCGATACGGGGGAGGCAAGCCGCTCGCCATACTGAAAACGTACACAAAAAAAGTCTAAATTTCGCACCAAAAAAAGAGCGACTGCGCGGTCTATATACGTCCACGTACAGGAATGAAAGGGACAAAAGAGGTGTCTGACACACGAGCAAAATTACAAAGCCGTACCACAGTTAGCACATAATAAATACCCAATTACAAGACAGAAATTCTAGCAGTTGCAGAGACACTATTATTGGGTTGGCAACTAAGTAATTGCGGATTTGTTAAATGAAATAACAAATTTCTTTTTTACTAGGGATGAAGTTTAGTTTATAATGCATTTTCCATTTAATTGTTCTATTGCATTCTTAAGGCCCATTTATTTTGCCTGTTGTATACAATTATGGCTCAAATGGTCTAAACAATTATTGCGCGCAATTTATTGCATTCAATTATTGCTCTTGTATGTACAAGAAAATGGCATCGTGTAAATGGGTCTTTACTCTGGAAACTTGAAAATTCCTCGCTCGTAGAAGGTCTGATCCTATTCGGCCAAAAACTGAGTAAAGTGAGATTTTACAGCGTCATCATCATTGAGAGTTTTACCACGAAGGGAGTTTTGTCCAGGGATCGAAATAAGTGGTAATCCGATGGCGCGAGAACAGGGCTATTCGGCGGGTGTAACATCAATTCCCAACAATTACCAAATTCGATTCGGAAATAATAAAGCAAAATACAGAGGAAATGTTCGTTTTTGCACTCTATTAATATTTAAGTAAAAAAAAAACGAATAAAATATCTACACAATGAACTTGTAAAGCTAGGTAGGGATGACAGCCAACTTATATAAGAAGATCATAATAAATTGAAAATAAAATAAAGAAATAACTGCGTTGTGTTAATTTTTCTGTGTTCTTATTAAAGTTATATCTGTTTTTGGAATATGGTTCATTAATGCAGACTGCATTTCGAATGATTTAATAAGCAACATAAGGGAAAATAGTAAAGAAATAAAAACGAAAGAGAACAAATTTAGTACACCCAACACACGTACACTTTCTGCCATCTTAACGTAGGTCAGTTTCCAGTTTTCAGTGAAGGTACTCGTATATATGAGATACCAAGATATTAATTTAATAAAGCTGTACAGAGCAGAAGCCGCCAGCATTTTACATAGGTTCATGTAATAAATAAGGCCATGTAAAATGGCGGATGCTGTGTACGGGAGAGGTAATATGATTCGTTGCTAAGCGACGGCGGAACGCGAGACGAGCAGAAAGGGGGGGGGGGGGGGGGGATGGGGGTACGACGGAACGGGGGAAATTCCGCCCCGGTTAATTGAAACAGGAATAAAATAGTTTTGCTTTTATTATTTTCTACCTTCAGGCCATTTTTGATTACATCGGACGCGATATACGTGGCTGGTAAATTATATTGCACGTCAGTATAAAGCATCCGTACAAGTGCAGAATACACTAGCAAACTCTTCTCAGTATATACTTGAAAGTGTTATATGTACGGCCATAAAAATTAGAATGAATTTTCAAGACTTAGCAATGTGCATGACATCAATACTCGGAACAAACATGAAGTATTTCTACTAATAATTAGACTGTGTAGGATAAATAAGTTGAGTTTCTTTCGCCGGCTCTTCTCAAGTCAATGGCTTTTCTTTTCCGAACCGGAAGTAGTATTTTGACAATTAAGATATTTGAATTTGAATTTAATTGAACGCGGGTTAGATTCTGCAAGCGTGATTAAGACAATGATTCTAAATTCGAGCGTTCATCCCATACAATTTGTCTACGAAAATCGCATAAAAAAAAGTTAAGTAACAGCCTATACATGTCCCACTGCTGGGCAAAGGCCTCCTCTATACAGAGGGTATCAGGGCATAGTCCACCACGCGGCCCCACTGCGGATTGGCGGACTTGACATCTTCAAAAAATATATATATTTTTTTTGTTATTATTTCGAAAATATGCAGGTTTCCTCAAGATGTTTCCTTCACCGCGGAGCACGCGATAAGTCAACAATTAAGGTTAAAAACTTCATTGGTGCCGGCACCGGGATTCGAACTCAGGTTGCTCGAGTATCAGTCTCGAGCTCAGCATGTCACAGTATTATGTTTTCCGAAGGGCGGAAAATAAAATACCTAACAGCCTATACATATATATATCCCACTTTAGGGCTGTATCCCACCTCGTCTGTACAGCTGCTTTAAGCCTATTAGCACATAGTCCATCACGCAATACTTTTTTATAATAAAAATAAATATATTTTTATTAAAAATTAATACAAAATATCCGTAAGAGACCAATGAAGCATATGCCAAAATATTTAACAGATATAACTTTAATAAGAACACAGAAAAATTAACACAACGCAGTTATTTCTTTACTTTCTTTTCAATTTATTCCAAAATTCCCGTAATTATTATATAGGATATTATTTTTTATTCCCAAAAAAGTAAAATTCTTAATTTTTCATCGAATAACCTTTCGCCAAAAGAACAATAGTGCTAAATAAATGTACAGCGAATGTATAATGGCTTACTAAGCGATAATCTCGAATAAATAAATCAAACCAACAAATCATAAACGCAAT